AACGCAAACACATAGATTAACAGTTTATTTATACAAAAAATTCATTAACAACTTTTTGGAAATACCATAAATTTTAAAAAAAATAACGAAGTTAAGATAAACTCATTTATTAAATGGTTAGAAATTTATTTTTTACCTTTTAATGGTCAATTTTATACTAAAAGTTCGATTAATTTACTAAATAACACCCAATCAAGGCACGTTTTCATCGACAAATATGAAATTTTAGGCCAACAAGCGGTGGGAAAGTAGACTTACTATCCATGTTCGATTAAAATTCTAGCAGCAGGGCGTAGCACATAATATACTCGAATTATAGCTCAATTTTGAAACTTTTTTTACTTATTTTCGATATTTTCGGTCTTAACTTGATAAATATATTAAAAAAATTAAGGTTTTAACGTTTTAACTTATAGACTATTTTAACTAAGTGAAATGACTTAAAATTGCTGAACTTATAAAAAAATTAATCGTGGCGTTTAGGTTAAAATTGAAGTCCAAACACAAATTACAACATTTAAAAAGAAGAATATTTTTGTAGCATAGTAACCTACGTTATTTATTATTTTAAAATGTTGGTAAACGAAAAAAATACAGCCGTGTTAATTTTTTATTTATTTTAAATTCTAAAAGGAGTGAGGAATATACTGATTTTACAATGGGTTTATTTTTTATTTTTATTTTGTATACTGTGTACAAAATTTCTACCAAAAATCTTGCTCCGATATATCAAATGTAGCACTTTTTCTGAAAAGGAATTTTATTTTGTTGGTACTTTAAGGAGGTCAGTTTTTTATTATACAAATTTTCATAATAATTGGGAAAAGCCGGGAAAAACGTAGGAAAAACGAGAAAATTCATTAAAATAATGCTTTTATTATTTTAAAATTTGGGTGATTTCTGTTTTAATTCGGTTCAAAATGTTTGTAGAGACTTTAAATTTGAACAGAAAACTAACTTATATTTGCCTTTTATAGATGTGGTAAAATTTTCAAATCATTTAAGCCCTTTTTTATTTTATTGATTGATTGTTATTTGTTTTCGTCTGCCAATATATTTTATAAAAAATAGTGACGTATGTACTGCCCCCCTCGAGATCCTTCTCCTTTTTAAATTCCGTTTTCGCGGCGTTTAAACTCTAGCGATTTTAATCTAAACGCCATCAAATAATTTATGTTGTAACTCGCCCAGCCTTGATAAATTGTATATTAATCGCGAGTATTATAAAGTAAGAACATTAAAATAACAAAACACGATACCGAACAGTATCATACTTAAATAGAAACGTATCGTACGCCTACACGGCAGTGGAGTCTGCGGGCGTATGTGCGTGTGATTTCTAAAAAAAAAAAAATAAATAAATAAATGAAATGCATGTGAAATCGTTAGTCGGTAATCTGTGCTCATAAGAACCGCAGTCGTCGTCGCCGCAGCTTAATGTTTTGTTCTTCGATTTTCTATAATAATAAATATAACATTATAAATACGCATGCGATCAAATATCTCGGGGGCGTTAATATACGTACCATCGAAACAAATTGTACTTACTTATGCATACGATTACAAATAGTCCCGAAAGGTCTATTTTCATGTGTGTAACCAAACTCAATGTGTGTAGACAACTAACCCAAAATAATGAAGTGTGTAATGTGTAAAGATTGACATTTATTTATAGCGATTATATTCCAACGCTCGAAATTAAAAAAATCAAATAAAATCTTTGATCGTTATATCGTTATAAACTATACACTATCAGTATCGGTTTATACATGGTTTTGATTATCTATTTTAGTACAAACAGTGGTTTTTCTGTCATTTTCTTGAAACCTAGAAATAAAAATAATATACAATAATTTTACTTTAGCGTTTTTTTTTTTTTTTTTTTTTTTTTTTTTTTAAATATTNGTAGTTGTGCAAAGCGTAAGGAATATAAACAGAGAGTCTTTGAGCATGTTGATTATTTGTATCATATAATAAATAAAGAAAAATGTTTAAAAAAAAAATCTATATATAAATAAATGAACAAATAGTTATAAATAATATAAGGAAATTATGAAAGTAATAATGTGGAAGGAAGGAGAAAGAAAAAAAAACCTGTGAATATAAATTTATTGATAAGTAAGCATATAATAGTTTTATCGGATGGGTGGAAAAAGTATGATAAATAAAAAATTTTTTTTTTTTTTTTTTTTTTTTTTTTTTTTTTTTTTTTTTTTTTTTTTTTTTAAATATTTTTTATACTAAATTTCAAGTTGAAAACATATGATGATATTAAAAAATGTATTCACATGTTATCCAATTCATTACTTGAGCTATTAAATTTATTTTTTCTATGAGAAGGTTTTCTATCGGTTACGTATTTTTATAAGCTTTTAAAATTTAAACTTTGATTAAAATTATAAACGTCACATATGTACTTATAGTAGGTATACTGCTCATTTCGACTACTGTGTTATGGTTTATGTAAACACAATTTTATTATTTTTTGGCTCCATAAAAAAATGTTCAACAATGTGGGACAATCACGGACGTTTATACGTTATTTTGTAGTTACAAATGAATACGATTTTATCAAAATATAAGTTTAATCGAATTTCACTAAAATCGTTTTTCGTTAGCAATAATTTATCGTTGCGTATTACAGATGTTATAAATTAACATTCGCCTTCAATGGTGCGAAGCACGTCCGTTTTATATTTTCTCCCTTTTAGATTCTGAGCGGAGCGAGCAATATGACAATAATATTATTATGTAGATACATCGGTTTCGAAATATGTGGGTTTTTCTTTTCGTCCTTGAACAAATTTTCGATTAGTAAATATTGTGCGCGTATCTTTTACATCGTATTTATACCTTTTAAAAAAAGGGATCTATCTACTTTATTTAAAATATAATACAACATATTTCCAAGAAAAATCAGTAAATAATAAAAAATTAAAGACAACACAATTATAAATAAATTATTTATAGATATCGATACGAATAAAATGCGTTAATGTATCATGTAGAGATCTGCCATTTTTCAACATTAGCGAATCAACGGGAATCCGACCACCCATCTCGAGTTTTCGATTTTAATTTCTATCGGAGGTTATAGGAAATCTATAACGTCTCTCTGTGATTGCACATGGGGGAGGAAACTTCTTTAATTGATTCCACTAGATTTGTCAATGGTTTTATAGTACTAATAGTTGGTTTACAATATTTCTAATGGATAGTTTTGCTTATTTCTAAATAATCAGACTTTTAAAAATATATTTTGGGAAGTTTTAATTTTTAATTAAATTTTGGACTGTTTGATGATTTATTCTAAAAATTGCAATCAGTTCGGCATAATAATATTATGTGTTTTATTATAGGTATCTATTCAATTCCAATAAAATTAACGCGCAATACCTATTTGAATTTGAATTTTATATAGTTTTTATCAAGTCTGTTTGTTTTTGGTAAAAATTAAAGCAATACTTTTTTCATTGTTGTTTAAACGATATGTTTAATTCGACGGGTTTTCGACGTTTAAGAAAAACTCTTCAAAATTTACCTCCGTGTTTTGTAATTTTCGAATGCATATAACTCGTGTTACACAGCGCTGCAACCCTGCAGACTACAACCGCGAATAATAATTTTGTTTTTTTTTTTTCTGGTTAAAACCGTGTGACTTTAATGTAACAGATGTATGTATTTGACTGCAGTACATCGTATTATATACATTGCGTACGGTGAGTACGTTATACTTACGTGCGCGCGCGCGCGCGTATTTGTGTGTGTGTGTGTGTGTGTGTGTGTGTGTGTATGTGTGTGTGTATGAGTGCGCGAGAGCGAGTGCGTGCGATCGTATTTACCACGCAACAGGCATGCGACGGGGGTCGATTTGTATATAATATGTACTCGTATATATTATAAAATATAATCATTGGGGCGCAGATTTTTACGTAAGAACGTCGATGATAAAAAAACGATAGTAAAACGATGGTTTTATTGAAGGCAGATTTCTGAAATTAAAAATAAGCACGTTGCATAACACCCCGAATAAAATAATAATTTTTATTTTACACGTTTTACACATATTTCGGTAATTAAATACATATACGTAATTTTAAAATATTTTACCAATGAGTAAATATTTCGTATATTCATAATAATAGGCAAGTACCTATTAAATTCAACAGAAATATTGACAATAACCATTATTGTATTAACAGCCATTTGGAATATTCGTCCGAATAAAAGCAAAAGCACACCAATGGATATTGAATTTACATCATCTGCATTTAGGCAATTATAAAATATGCCTCATTACCCTCGGTCGAAGTTGGCCGCTCCGCAGCGGCTCTTTCACCCACTACAAATCAATTTTGAAACCTAACCACCGCAAATTTAAATTTGAAAATCTCCAAACGTACGAATTGTTTTCGAGAAGACTGCAATAGATAAAATAAAAAACAATAATTTATAATATAATGAGTATAGTAATTTGTTTATGATACAAATATAAAATTTAAAATACAAATTTTTATAGTAAATATTTGATGTTTTTTTTTTTTTTTTTTTTTTATTAGGTACATATTTTGGCAAAAATAACAACATAAATATTTACATATTTTGATATTTTTTACTACTTAAAATAATAATAATAATATTTAAAAACGCCATGTTAAGATGGTGAAATCGTGTGGTCGGGTAGTTGGTAAAAGAGGTGGTGCATTAGCAGAGAGAAGAATAGAAGAAGAATACGGATCGAAGAGGAAAAGAGCGATAAAAGAAGTACACCTATACAAGTGTGCGTATAATCGTCTGTATAATACCTAGTGGACAGTCTGTGAAAAAAAAAAAAAAAGAGGGAAAAAACACAACAACAACAACGACGACGCCGACGACGACGACGCCGACGACGACGATGAATGAAAAAAGTATACTGGGGTGGGGAGGAGAAGATTCCACCGGTGCCATTTTGTGTATATTGTACCGCCCGATGACCGAGTGGTGGTAGGCGCTGCGGCTCTGTGGCGCGCGAGTGTGCCTTGACAGATTGTTTCGGACCGTGCTGCCTGTTATTCAATCGAAAACACTCGAGCGGCGAGATGGGAAACCAAATGATGGCTAATAACGCTCACGCGCCTAACGAAAATCACGATATCGTGCCGACCGAACTTCACTGTGAGTATATAATATTATGCATATTACGCGTTTCCGAAAATTAACATTATTACACGCTTCAACCCCTTTCCACCCCGATATTATTAAATATAATACCGGAATTCAGCGTATAAGCGCGCGTGCCCACACGAATTTTTACTTTTTAATTTTTAATGGCACGGACATATTGCTGGCCCGCCGCTGACGCCGTTTGAGGAGAGATGCGCGCACAACGTCCCCCTAAAATATGGCACTAGAAACTCATACAATAATATTACGTGATAGTGGTTGCGGTCTTCCCGGTCCGATTCGCAGAACTGTTCCTCCTGGAACCCCGTCCTGTAATACTCTCCTTGTCCCGGATATCTCGTACACTCGACGGTCTGGAGTGACTTTAATACTTATTTTACTCAACCGAACTCACCAATAATAATAAATAATAAATAATTATCATTTCACCGATATTAAATTACCTATAATATCGGTATCGTTTTTAGACGAAAGTAAAAATGTTCAAAAAAATGCGTTAAAATCAACAGCCTTAAAATGTCTTAAAATGTTTGTAAATTACACACAAGTAATAAATCTACATTTTTCACTTATACGCGCGGAGATAAAAACAATTGAAATAGTATTTCGCATAGTTTCTTGGTGATACATGAAATATATTAAAATTTAATGTATATAGCTATTTGTTTAAAATACTATTCGGGTGTCCAGTCGATCGGACAGAGCAAAAACGGATGAGCGTATGAACTTCTTGCAAGGTTCCCGTATTTTGTTTTAGATTTTGAGCGTATTGGTTTTACTATAACGCGTGCTTCTTTTTTCTTTTTCTACCTGTGAACAACTTATTTTATATCTGAAATTTCGTTCCAATTATCATATCATATCAACTTAGAGAAGGGGTTAATTTCTGATCAGAAATATGGTCTACACTTATTACTCGATGCATTGTGGATGTAATCTGTTTGATTTTTTTTTTTTAATTTACTCGATTATATCAGGGAAATCAGAAGGTAAACGGAAACATCCACGCATTAACAACGGTTTTGGCTACACTTATTTTCGATTTTTGAATTTTTTTTTTTTTTTTTTTAATTAACATTTATTTAAACGATATTAAATAATACCGCCAAGTAATGAACCGAAGTTCAAAGTTCTGTATTTCATATAATACATGTTTGCATTTTTCATCGTATGTATTTTAGGAAAATTATATTTGTTATTTTTACCGGTATTTTTTTCAATATACCGTGTAGTTTAGATAACACGGTCTGAAATATTTTCCAAAATAAATTGTCTTTACGAATAACATTAAGGACACGCTGTAATAGTTTTTACTTTTATTATAGTCAACACTCGTAGCGTAGGTATTATATTACAATATCGAAGCGATTATATGGATTCGTCAATTATTAGGTATTCATATTTTAAAAATTTGTCGTAATTTTCAAATGTATTCAAAAATTATGTTTTTTTTTTTTTTTCTTGAACAGATAAAAATAATAATTTAGCCACATATTTTGACAATTTCCCTACTGCAATAATAATATTGTACTAGGAATGATCAAAATATGCAGTCGATCATTCCCAGTACAATATTATTATGAGTGATGAACTCTACAGTTATTATAGTACAAATAATAAATTGTATTTATAGTTGAAACCACAAATTGCATAGAATTAATATATTAATACATTTCAATAGTATAATAGGATTCAAATGTATTATACTTACATTAGAGCGCTTCATTTGAATTTCTATTTTGTAATCATATTTTTTTTTTTTGTTTTCCTCCAATATAAATATTTCGGTCGAAGTAATAATGCCGGTGAAACCTAAAATTTACTTCTGGATTTATCAGTAAACCTTAGGTTTATCAACTGCAGCCAGTAAATGACCGAATTTCAGACATTTACCATTTAATTTCTGTAAATCCTTTGATATACAAAGTAGATGGTCCAAACCCGAAATAATTTTTATAGTTCAGACTTTTACAGAAGAGATTTAGTAAATCTTAGCATAAATGACTAGTATTGGTAAAAGTCCAAAAGGTTTTTTTTTCTACTTCTCGTGTGGTATTTTCCCATTGCCTTAAACAAATTTACATTATTATTATTAAAATATATGACTGCGAAAATTAAATGTCTATTGGTTTGTTGTATTACTATTACACGCATTGTTATTTATTATTAATTTTACTGAGATTGATTTCGGGGATTTTTAATTCGATTTGAATAAAAATCAAGGCAAATACTAAGTGTTTTAGTTAGAAAACTATCAAAATAAAAATTCTAAAAGTTCATCGCAGGAAAGTCGACGCACGCACGTTACTTGTTGTGGTGTTAAAAGTTGTGGATGGTGATTTTTATCACATAGGTACCAAAGTGGGAGCCCTTTCCACTCTACCTTCCCAATTTCTCACCTACAACAGTGGCCTACCCACCGTGCGAAGTGTGCCTGTGTGTTTTGTTTAGAACTGACAATAATAATATCCGAAAACAAAATTGGAATACGTCAAGCGGTATCGAAACTATCCTAATCTGGTTTACAAGGAGTGGTAAAATGTAACTGATAATAAAATGTAAGACAAATCGATTGAAATGTCGCTTGAGAAACGTATTATGTAATTCAAGACACCAACAGTAGCGCAAATAAAAAATAGTTTGTGTAATATTTATTGAATGTACAATATTGTAATAATAAACGAATTGTATACGGTATATTTAAATTTTATTAATATTTAATAATAATATGAACATATAATTAACGTATAATGTACAGTAATAACATCCGAGTACAAATAGGAAGGGGAAATACCACACAATACGTAGAATAAATAAAAAAGAAATTTCGGATTTTCAACAACAATAGTTGTTTATCCTGAAATTTATCAAATTTATCGGTTTTAAAAGTGTGAACTATAAAAATTATTCGGGGTTTCGCCAAACCATTTTATATAATATGTTAAGTTTCACCGTTATCCTTATACTTTTATCGCAACATATAATTATTGAGGAATTTTATTTTGAATTTAGATTCTGAGCTGGGCGAAGCAGATCATTTTTTTGATTTTCCCGGGGGGTTTTCATAATAAGCGGGGAAAACCATAGGCTAATCGAGAATATTTACGAAGTATATTATTTTCAAATCGTAAATATTACGGCCTTTCAAAATATGTATAACCGATCTCCGCTCAGAATCGTTTTTCAATAGTAATGATTAATCATCGCGTACATATATCTATTCAATTTCCCGTCTACATTTCCAAATTCTCACCTACAACAGTAGCTAACCATCATACAAACGTATGTCCGTTTGTTTTTAAATATAAATTTATTAGTTTTTAGTGCGTAGGTATACATGCGTTTATTAACGTGTTTTCAGTGTAAAATAATTATAGACAGATAATTCGACAAATCGTATTGCTTAGAGACTTATGAACTTTACACGGTTATTGATTTGATTAACTGAAAGATGAGGAAACCGTATTTTAATAGAAAAATAAATGGACGACTCGAAAATTCGTTTCGCTAATCTGAAATTTACCATTACAAGGAATAAACTAATTAACTTGTGCCGTAACGCATGCACCTAAACATTAAACGTGAGATGATTAATTATTATTATAGTATTACAAATAAAAAAAAATATTACCTATGTTGTTCTAATTAATTTACACACGGAATGCCAACTCCATCAATAATATTCTCAATAAAACTCAATAATAATTTACTTACCACGAAATCCAGCCAAGCAATTTGTTTTTACCTAATATAATATAGTAATTAGAAAAAATAATTTAATACAGTACAATATACCTACGTTAAACTGCCACCCACTTTCTTTTTAGATTTTGGGTTTTTCAATATCTCCACCATTTAGTATATTATTTGTTTGTATTTCTTTGGCGTATTTTAGAATTTCTTTAGACTTTCTACTAGATATGTTACGAACCCTGACTTTTAAAGCCCAACCGAACCGAACTATCGTTAAGTTAACTATTCGTAAAATTAACGAATCCGAACTGAACCGATCTTTTAAAATATTTTATCGAATTCGAACATTAAAAAGTAAAAAGATTACGTTAGGTCAAACACGTCATTCGTTTATATTTGTTTGGCATATTTTAAATCAAATTAGACGATATTAATTATAAAAATAAATGAAGATATGTCAAACAAATACAAGCATAATAAATGTAAGGGGATTATTAAAAAAAGCCCAAAATTCAAACGCGGGGGGGGGGGTAGTTTCTTGTTCATATATAATATAACAAGTTCATTAGATTCCATACAAATAAATCTATTGGTTTTTTCGATTTTATTTTTTCAAATTTTAAACTGTGAAGCGAAGTGAGGAATATATTGGTTTTACAATGGTGTTTATTTTTATTTTTTATACTATGTACAAGATTACTATCAAATATCTTGCTCTGATTTTCAAGTGTAGCAACTTTCCCGAAAGGAAATTTTATCTGGTTTAGTACAAGAAGTCATTTTTGCTTTTATTATTTTTGGTTTTTTTTTTGTTATAATTCAATTGAGACTGAAATTTTGATAGAAATTTTATATTTGTTTTTTCCAAACGTAGTCAAATTTTCAACACATTTTAGCCGTTTTTGAGCTATGTATATACATTTTAATTTTGAGAGTTTTTATGTTATTTTTATTTGGTAGATACCTGATCTGTAGATAAAATTGTTAGGCTAACCAGAAATGTTTGAATATTTAACAGGAAATTCATTATAAGTTGTACTTCGTTGTCAACAAAAATGTTTTTTTATAAGAACTTTAGTATCAAATTTTGACAAAAATCGTAAATATTACAGTTTTTTAAAACATGTATAACCGAACTCCACTCAGAAACGTTTTTCGTTATCAATAATTGTTCATTGCGTACTATATACATTAAATTCCCTTCTATATCCTACCTTCTCAACGTCTCACCTATACAACCATGGTGAAATAGGTCCCTCTTTTTTGTATAATATATTTGATTACGAGACGTAATAATTGATTGTTCAATTAAAAATTTAAAAACAAGTTTTGAATACACTTAAACTCGTAGTATAATAATTTACGGGTATTGATGGACCGTGATAGACGATGATAACAATATTATAATAACCACCGGTTTCGAGATAAAAATTTGTATTTTACCTTTAATAAGTTATCATCGCAGCCGGAGCAGTATAATATCTTGTCAACCTTGTCTTACTAAAAAAAAAAGATTAGGTTATGAAACGAGTCGTGTAAACCACTTTTGTTTACAGAATACTTCTTCGAGTGTACTATACAGAATGATCATTTTATCATGGGACAGAAATTATTTAAGTGGTCTTGATTTCTATATTTTCAATCGTTGTAGAATTATTTAAGCTTTATTTTAAAGGTACTTTTAATTTACGCCTACTCCATAACCTACCTTAAATAATTGTATATTTTTGACTTTCAAATAAAAATACCCTCCTTTTTGAACACAGATTCGAATAGTCATTTTGAGAGTAAATATGCAAACGGAAAGGTATTAAATTGCTTATACAAATTTAGATGATAAATTTATAACTCTTCCTACTCCTTCGGTCTAAACTTTAAACTGTTAATATTCATGAATGGTAGATCCGATATTAGAGTTATATATGTCAACATTTCAACATTTTTAGAAAAATATTCTCTGTACGAATTTATGTTCATAAAGTGGGTTCCTATTTGAAAATAAAAATTATATAGTGTATACTTATTTAAAATACACGGAGTAGGAGTATAAAACGTTCATATGGTGTTCAAATATAGTTAAAACGATCTCACAATGGTTGAAAAAGACTGAAATCAAATTCACTTAAAATTATCTGAAAAAATTACTGGTTCATGATAAATTGATCACTCTGTATTACATTGCATCGTCATACACTACCCTATTTTACAGTTATAATCATTCCGGAATCGACTAGTTAACGATACTATTACAACAATTAAACACGCTTAATAATTAATGATATTAATCACGTGTTAAATAATAAACAATAAATTATACTAACGTACTATACAATTTCGAGCGTTTATATTCGATTGAAAAATTAAATCTTTTTTTGTATTTTTCTACTATTTATCGTGCTAGTCAATGGCGTATTACACTCTAAACGGACCGATACATTTAGTTGGAAATTAAATTTAATATTGAAATTAAGCTAAAATCGACGTTGTGGGGCATTCATGGGGGCATTGGAATGCTTGGAATACTGATGCAATAGTTTTTATTCTCTGACACCCTTTAGTATACCTCTGTTTCTCTCAAAATTTGATTTGTTTGTTGTGAGCGCGGGGCGAGGAAAGCACAGTTCAACTCTTTATATGTCTATGATGGTTTCAAGTGTAACTATAGCTTAATCAGACCACACATGTATCACTAATATTATTATTAAATTTGCAGGTTATACTATAATATATTATTATAGTAGTGGCGTATTTAGATGGGGGTTTCAGTATTTTCCAACAGAGGCACAGCAATTGTTCAATATTGGTGCGCTCAATATATGGTTTAGGTATGGTTTATCCGTCTAAATTGTGTTAACTCCTCCCAAACCTCCTTCCCCCTTGAAAAAAGTCAACAAATACGTATTTTATTGTATAGTAAATGTGGATTTGGTCATCAATTGTATTTAAATATAAACTCACTGGGCACAATTTACGACCAAAACGAATAATTATGTAAGCACTACAAAATCTTTTAATAATAACTATTGTCGTAGATAACCAGCGAACAAAAAAATAACTGAATGAACATACTAAATATTTTGAATATAATTACTATTATATACGATGAAATCGAACGAAATAATAATATTATTAACGTATATTATGATATGAATAATACGCGTGTATCGACCGCTTTTTTTTTATCGTAAGTTATTATAAGCTATTTAAATTTTGAAAACAAATTTCGTTTTTATCGCTTACAGATTTTTGTTCTACATTTAAAAAAAAAACCCCGGATTGTTAGCTGATATACTACGAATAAATAATAGCCACGGCTGTCATATTATTATTATTGCAATTATATGAGAATAATTATTAAATTACTAAGTATATTGAATTGTTGTTATTTTAGATTCTGAGTGCAGCTAATAATTGATTAGGCATATTATATAGTTCGACTAAAAGGTGTGTTTTTATTTCTCGGAAGACAATTTTACGGTTAGGTTTATTTAAATAAGATGCGGATTTTCGATCGGCATTATACTTGAATATATCAATTTTTTTTAAATTCTAAACAGTTTTTCTAAAAAAAAACTGACAACAATAAATTGACTATATAATCATAATATAATATAATTATTAATTATAAGTACTCTGGTTTTATATTTTACCCAATATTTTTATCCCTTTACTGAGCTCCACTCAGAATGGTTTTTTTTTTTTTTTATTATAGCGACTTTTTACCGTTGCATTCAGTATACAACTAAATTACCCTATACCTTCCAAACTTCTGACAATCCCACCTTTAACAATATAGTCTATTACCAATGGTGTGGAGTAAATCCGATTTATTTTTTAATCTACTAGTTTGTATGCCATGGCTGCAAAATACGAAAACTTATGACTTTGAAAACAGCAGGTGATTTTTTTTCATCATGAATCATTAGTTTTCTTATAGGATTTTAACTTTTAAGTGAATTTGATTTCTGTTTTAGATTCCGAGTGTAGCGAAGAAGCTATTATGGTTTTACAATGATTTAAATTTTTTATTTTTGTACTGTGTGCAACTTTTCTACCAGTAATATTGCTCCGATTTAGAAGTAGCACTTTTTTTGAAAGAAAATTTTACTGGGAAGGTACTTTATGAAGGCCATTTTTTGATTTTCTTAGGAGTTTTCTCAATATATTGGAAAAACAAGAAAAAACTGAGGAAAAACGGGAAAATGTATAAATGTATAGTAAAATATTATGGCCTTTTTTTTTCCAATGAACAACTTTTCTATCTTGAAAAAGCAACACTATAAGTATTTAATGTATATTTGTTAGCAACGATTAACCATTGCTAACGAAAATACGATTCTGAGCGGAGTTCAGTTGATATTGATACTCTGTTAACAATATATGTGTCATATTATGGTAAAATGAAATAGGCCTGTATATTATTTTTAATAGTATTTGTTCAACGTACCGATTTTTCATATTTCCTACATTTTCTCTGATTTTTCCATGTTTTTTCCTGGTATTTCACATTTGTTGAGAAAACTCCTAAGAAAATGTCCTCCTTCAAGTACCTCCGCACACCGATTTCCTTTCAGAAAAGGTACTAGACGTAAAAATCAGAGCAAGTTTTTTAGTAAAAAAGTTGTCTATAGAAAAAAAAAAAAACATCTTTGTAAAACCATAAGCTTCTACGCTCTACTCAGAATCTGAAATATACTTAAAATCATCCGAAAAAATGGTTAGACTATGACATAAGATTCATAATCTGTATGACATTCGGTAATACAAAATTCACTAGGTATTATAAAATATAATAATCGGCGCAATAGTCACACTACGATAATATCCCAATGATTATTATTTTAAAGCGACTATAATAATTTAAACGTCAACTACACGTAGCAAAAAATCTTTTTATTGCTTTTAGGAGAGACAAATGCTAAAAAACACATCGTTTAAAAATATTATCTATTATCTAAATACAAGTCTAATAAAACATAATATTATAACTTATAAATGCGTATAATAACATTATAATATATTATTATGTAACGTGATTAAACAATTTATTGTTTACTGTGGAGGCTAGTGACCTCAATGGTGCATAAAAAAAAAAAAAAAAATTAAATATATAATATTACTATTATAACAATATTATATGAATGGGCTGCATATAATATTATTATAAATATTATTGATAACGTTTTTTTTTTTTTTTTTTACTTCGATCACTACGTATTATACTGCGACAATAATGAAGGAAGTAATAATATAATTTTATTTAATAGTGGACCATTTTTTTAATAGAATATAGGTATCTACCTACTAGACAGCGATGCCAATAAAGGCGCAATTTCAATTTTAACTCGGATTTGATATGGTCTTTTAGATTCTGAGCAAAGCGAGTAATGTATTAATTTTACCAGAATGAGTTTTTTTTGTTTGTGTCTAAACAACTTTTATACCGGATATTTTTCTCCCATCAATAACTTTAGAGGATCTTTCTTCTCGCATTTTCGATTTAGATACATTGGGAAGGTAGTTGTTTTTCTCGTAAGATTTAATAAGTTGGAATGGCAATTTTCGTTTAACGTGTACTGATTTTTGGGTTATCTAGGAAACACGGGGAAAAACATGACAAAATAAATAAGCATAACAGCAATATCCCAGCGTTAATATTCCGCGCAAATATGGCTGCTGGTTTTCGCCTCTATTCGAAACCCATATAACGTGATACTGATACATAAACATATTATACTCGTATATTATATACTATTGTGTCCGTATACTGATACAATTACAATAATTGGTAATAATAATTATTACGAATGTGAACGACGTACGCCATTTTGTGCGTATCACAAAGTTGCTGACATAACTATTTATTTTGTTATAAGGAAAAGTTTTTTAGTTTTTAATTGTGTATCATGTAACGATTTTATTATTGCGTTTATCATCTCAGAAAACAATATTCGGTTGGTTTGATAAAAAATAAATGCTTCAAATAATATTGTTCACTCTGTAAGTACGTTAAAAGATTAACGATTTGTCCGACGGTATTTGAACAATTACATCGCATATACTTGACATACATATATATATATATCGACCTACTTCGCACGTAGGTGGGCCACTGTTGTAGGTGAGAAGTTGGGAAAGTAATAGATGGGAAATTTATTGTTTATCTGTTAGCAACGATAAACCATTGCTAACGAAAAAACGATTGTGAATGGAGTCCAGTTGACAGTGTTGCTTTGTTAACAATATATATATATATCATATTATGGTAAAATAATTACATAGGCATTGTATAATTTCTTTAAGAGGACGTTATACCCGCATCTACTGTCTCATTCCAACTACTGGGTAACATGCAAAACCAATGCTTACGCAGAAGAAGTAAAACTAGCTTAATTTTGATTTTAGAGTTAAAGTACCTATTAGAAAATGTATAGAGAACAATATTTTGGAGGGAATTCTATATATATTTTTTTGAATTATGAATTATTAAGAAAGTTACAGTTACTTAAAAAAGAAAGGTTTTTATATCTTTTATATCGGTCTGTATATTTTGAATAACACAAATACCCTCCAAATTCACTCCAAAATATTGTTCTCTATAAATTTCATAATAGGTACTTTTACTCTAAAATCAAAATTGGGCTAGTTTTACTTATTCTGCGTAAGCATTGTTTTTGCATGTTACCCGGTAGTTGGACTGAGACAGATTATATGTGGGTGTAATTTGTTTTTAATAATATTTGTTTAAAATTGTCTATATTTTCTTGTTTTTCCTAGGTTTTTCTCGGTTTTTTCATTTGTTTGGAAAAGTACTGGGAAAATCAAAAATTGACCTATTTAAAGTACCTCCTTAGTCAGATTTCCTTTTAGAAAAAGTGCTGTCATTGTAAATCGGAGCGAAATTGTTGATAAAAAAGTTATTCACAAGAAAAAAAAAGGCTTAACTATTTTTTAACTAATATCTTCATTTCGTATCAATTTTCTCGTTTTCTTCCATTTTTCCCATTTATTAGGAAAACTCTAGCAGAGACTAGAGTAATAAAGTAGACTCTATACTATAGCTGTTTACTTTATCAGTTTACTGAGCTTCACTAAGAATCATATTTTTATCGCAACGACTTTTCGTTGATTTCAGTAATTATAGCAGTGGCGGCTCGTGGTAGTTTGATGTCGTGGTGCGATAAAAATTATTTTTCACCTTACCTATTAGTGAATAATAAATACGTGATTTCATACATCTGTTAGTAGAATATATGTATACTGTGAAACCTTTAAATACCGGACATTTTCGGTCGCTGAAATTTTGTCCGTTCTTCAAACGTGTCAGTTATTTAGAGAGAAAAATTGTATTTTTATTAAATCAATTCATGCAATTTATTTTATTTTATTTTATTTTTACGTACACGAATCGCTGTACTACTACGTCATTACCACCATATATATAGACGTTTATCGCTCGCTGAGCCCACCAAGCTTCTAGAAAATTCCAGAACGAACGATAAACGCCTATGATTTAAAAACGTGGGAAAATTGCAAAAAATCGCAAAAACGTCGAAAATTGAAAAAAATTACATTATAAAATTAAATAAGCAGAATATTTTTATTTCAAAAAAAATTGTAATATCAATTAAATCGGGTCTTTAATAATAATGTACATTTATACTAATAAAAGATAACCTAATGACGTAGACTTTTATTCAAGTATTCTACCATTATTTTCAATTTACGATAAAAATGATCAATATCAATGTTAAAAAGTGTCCGTTATGTAGTGGTTTAAACGGTGAAAACGTCCCCGTTTACGAAAGGGAAGTTTCACTGTATACAAAATATACATTATGTATGTATGTATGTATGTATGTATACCAATACATGTGTACAATTATTTAGGCGTATGGTGTACATAAATATCCACTTATGAATATCAACTGATTAAATGAAATGTTGTCTGGCGGAATATATCATTATTTATCGGAAATCAGACGATATTATATTAGTAAAACACTGAATTGTAAACAGGTACACGATATTCTAATCACGTTTCATCCCTTGTAAACACAATAGCTCGGGTCGCCGCCGAAAATGTGCAACGAGAATATTAAGGACCGTGTAACGTAGTCCCACCGCCGTCGAAAATGTGCGTCGAGAACTACAGCATGCGTATAGAATCCCCGTCGCTGCCGCGCCACGTAGTTATATTAACGTACAATACACATTTATTGAAACAGGTTTTTTTTTTTTTTTGTGTGTGTGTGTGTGCCCCACGGGCCGTCGCACCATACACGACGAAGCGACATTACCTAACGACGGTCGTTAGGCCTGTATTCGGTTTTCACATTATTCATATCGAATCCGAATTGCCGAATTCAAATTACATTTTTCAAAATATTATCATTATTTTTCCAACACAATTTCGAATTATCTAAAGATTAAATTATTTCGAAAGAAATATAATCAATAACGGTTACCATTTGCTATAAAAATTAGTAGATATATATATATGTAAATTTTATTTTATTTTAAAATGTACGTACGGAGTGCGATCGCACCATCACACCATAGCACGCGCCACCATTGAATTTTAGAAACTGAATCTTATACTATATGCCTATCCAATTTCCTACTTACAACTACTAGGGTCAATAGTAAAAACTGAAAGGAATTAGGTTAAGAGTCATAATATCTCTTCCGTGAAATTTCTTGTTCCATGCAAATTATTTACCCGAGTTTTACGATTTAAAATTCGGAACGGAGCGAGGAACTATTGGTTTTAGTACGATGTGTTATTTTTTTTTTTTTTTTATTGTCTTTAAGCAACTTTTCTACCAGAAATCTTGGTCCAATCAAAAAATCACAAAAAACATTTTTCGTTGAATTTTGGATGATGCAATGGGAGGTCGTTTTTTAATTTTTATATGGGGTTTTCAAAATAATTGGGAAAACCGAAAAAAACCGTACAGTAAAAACGGATAAATATTTACGATTAGCAGCAGCGATTTCAGTTATCGATTTCATTGATTTTCACGCACTATGTTGTAACGTCTCGTTCCAGCCTTGTGTCGAAACAATCGTTATGTGACGTCAGTGCTTAAAAATAAACCAACCTATGGCCGAGACACGATGGACGGAAAACATAGGATTTTTTTTCTTTATAGATGATGGTAAATAGGAAAAGGTCAGGGCATCGATGAACAAATATCCCCGATTTGACAAAAAATAATCGCATTATATTATAATAAAAAAAAAAAACATGAGTGAATTACGTGGGTTGGTGTTAATTCCACAATTGAGTATTTTTTTTTCATATATAAGGGGTGGGGGTTATGAAAACGTGGTTATATACTAATAAAGTGAACTTAAATCGAGTTATTTACATTAAATCGTAATACTAATCCTACCTGTTAGCTATCTAAACTGACTACACTACGGGGTGCCATCCAAGGTATACTAAAAAAGGTCGCATATTACCAGATGTCCATGATGGTCGACGTGGTGCCACCCAACGGGTCAGCGTACGTGGAGATTTTTTACTCAGCCATTGTTGAGTTCGTGTTAAGCATCAAAGAAAAGAAAACATCAAAAAATGATTTACTCGTCCCGGTAGAAGTCGTGGAACGGCGGCGAAAAGATTGTGCGCTTACTGAGTGGATGGTTAGTGGCCGATTACCTACCACAGTGTGTTCAGTTTTACAATATAAGTTAATTAGCTGCACAAACAGTCATAGGTGTGATCGTAGTGGAAAGAGTGAGAGAGTGGAGTGGAGTTGGGTCCTTGTAGATCGACAGCTTATCGAGAATTCTCGCGCAGGGCGACCGGGGGGAAGATGCGCAAAAATAATCATTGCGATATGACTGCAAACATTATGTCATCAATTAAAACTTGAATATTATTGAAATGTTCGGTTTTGGACGTTACAATGTTTTCTGCCAGATATATTGTATCAATCGAAAAACGCCAGTAGACTTTTGTTGTTTGATTTTTAAGATGATTTAAGATGGTGATTAAGTAATTAATTTTATTATTTTCCAAATATTTTTTATAATAATTGGGAAAAATCAAAAATATAGAAAAATAAGTATATTCTTAAAATTACGAAAGAACGATTTCATTACTTCAAATTATTATACTTAATGTTTTATACCGGTCATATTATTCTGGTAGAAAAACGACGACAAAAGACATATTTTGATGCATTTTTTATCTAGCTGATGAGTACGAAAGTCGTTTTTTTTGATTTTCCGTGTAGTTCTCAAAATAATGCCAAAAAAACGTAGAACGAACGAGAACGTTTACGGAAATAATGGTTTCATTATTTTCAATTTTAAACTTAGAACGTGGCGAATTTGTTTTCTATTTATGAACAACTCTTCTACAATAAATCTTGATTGAATAAAAAAATGAAAAGAGATCAATTTTGTTTCAAATTAATATATAGAAACTGGCAGGGAAAGTCTTTTTTTGATATCTAAAGTAGTTTTCATAATAGGTATTAATTAGAAAAACCAAAAAAGACGAAAAATAAGATTTTTTTTTTTTTTAAATTACGTCAGAACGATTTAATTATTTTTAATTATTATGCTTAATGATTTCTACCAGAATATTGCTCTAATAAAAAAACAATAAAAGTTCATTTTTGTTGAGTTTTTAATCTAGATCTAGAAAGTTTTTTTCGATTTTCTTTGTATGTTTTTTTAATAATTGAGCAAAACCGAAAAATACGTAGAAAGAACGGAAGAAATTTACGAAAATAATTATTTTATTATTTTAAAGGATTTTTAATAGAATTCAGTTAAAAATATCCGTAGAGTGACTTAAAATTTTAACAGAATTTGTATATTCTCTTTTTCCAGACGTGGTAAAACGTTCAAAACATTTGAGCCATTTTTGAGCTATTTATATACATTTTAATTTTGTAAATTTTTTACGTAATTTTTATTCGGTAGATACTCTATGAATACAATTGTTAAACTTATCAGAAATGCTTGAAAATTCAACAGGAGGTTTATTATAAGTCATACTTAGTGATAAAAAAAAAAATTAAATATAATGTAGTATTTTTTTAATTTTTTATAAAAGCCATAAAATCGAATTTTGACGAAAATCGTAAATATTACATCTCTTAAAAATAATTATAACCGAACCTTACTTCGAATCGTTTTTCGTTAGCAATGGTTTATCGTTGGTTTCCGGTAAAATAAATAACTTTATGTATCCTACCTTCTCAACTTCCCATCAACAGTATAGTAACACTCACCCGAAGTATCATCTCTTTTGACATTTATTAAAACATAAATGATTCTATTATTAAAATTTATTGGCACACCTCAAATAAAAAAAAAAACCTCTCACTCTAAAACTATAAGTTTATTATTTTATCAGCATCAAGTAAAAAATATATATTTACCTATACTATTATACTCGATTATACTAAATAATTACTAAGAATATTGCTTCCACAGTTATCGCATTTTTTATTTACAGTTGAACTAATTAATGTCTTTCTAATATTTACAATACTAATATTTTAATGTATAATTTAGTATGTTTTAATATGCGTACGTTTAAATATTAACAAAAACCGGACACGTTATCGATACTTAACATTCTCTGGAATCCATTTGATTTTTAATTAATAATTAGTTTTTTCTTTGTTAATTCAAATACCACAAATTCTCATTCATTACAATAATAATACAATATACATATCTAATTAACATAAACAATTTTTATCTATAAGCATACACCCACACACTCAGGGTTGCGTATACTACAAAAAGTAAAATTATATAGGTATAGGAGAAATATAATGAATTTTAACAATAAATGATAATTTCGAATACTGCTGGTATAAGAATTATATTACATTTGAAATAAATCTAGTCTGATATGTTATTGCGGTGATTATTGTAAAATGTCGGACAAACCTTTAATATTTCTACAATAGGTGTCCTTTTAGTGATACCACTTAACGGTTCGTTATTTATAATCATTTATAATGATTTTAATTATTATTATTATCTGTATGTTTATCCGCATATCGGTGGAATTACATGAATCATATTTAAAGAACGTTTGAAACTTCAAATTTTTAAAATATTTCATAAAATTGAAAAACGCATTTTTTTTTTTTTTGGTAGAAACTGCATTATTATTAGATAAGTATTATATTTATTACATGAATTATGATTTTTTTTTTTATACATATACATTTATATAAATATAATTGTTTTTGCCGAATATAAGAATTTCTTCTTCTAAAAATCATCGTGTTATTGGTGTTTTATCTTTTCAACTGATTTTAAAACCCTTCTGTTTTTTTTTACGTGAACATATTTTGGCTGGATTGCTGTTAGAAAAACAGAAACGACAAATATCACTGTGTGAGACGTTCTATTAATAGCTAATAATTTCATCGCGGCAGTATACGAAATTCAAATGGCATCAACGAAATTCAAAAAATTCGAAAAGATCGATTATAATCGTTATATATTATATTGCATATAATGATTAAAACGTATTTTAGTGATTATGCTTATTTTGAAAATATCTACGAATTAATTATATAATGCAATTTGTATACATCTGTTTGTTATTTATTTTTTGAAATGTATGGTCGAACATTATAATTAGCTGTAACCATATTTTTATCTTAATTTTTGTGGGTCACTTTAATCGTTTCGAAACTGCTGATAAGTGATTATAATAATATATTGGGAAATAATATTATATGTATTATTATAATCTATATAAAAAAAAATACCATTTTTATTGCCATGAAGATAATAAAATACTGTGAAAATAACCGAGTATATAGGAGGTCACTAAAGCTCAATTGTTCTGTTTTTGAATTTTTAACTCAATAATTATGTCACTAATTAGTTAAACATTTTTCGTAATTCGTTACTCGAAATTCGAATTTTTTTTACCTTATTTTATCACCCAAAAACTATCTTTTAATTTTTGTTCGCGACCCCACATTTCTCACAAAGATAAAAAATTTAAATTTACCTACAAAGAAATTTCAAATCAATGAGAAATAATAAGGATGAATTTGTTTTTATTTGTTGCTCATAATACTTATTATAACAAATTCTACCCTATAGTCTCGCATTGATTTGAAGTCTCTAATTTCATATTGATCTATGCCGGTGCTGAGGTGAGCTTCTCTTAGGATCTGAGAATTAAAATACGAGTTTTGAATATTAAAATGAGGTAACAAATCTGAAATTTCGGGTGATAAATAATAAACATTTCTGCTGGGTCGTCCTGTATCGATTTAAAGACCCTAAGTCTATTGTTGACCTGTGTGCGTATTGAGGTAAGCCTTCCCTAGCACCTGGAAGTAAAAATATAGTATTTAGTTGTTAAAATGAGGTAAAAAATTTCGAATTTTGAGTAACAAATTACAAATAATTATAACTAATTCGTGATAAAATTCTCATGACAAAATTACAAGATTGACTGTCAGAGTATGTGAAGTGAGTACTAATACATCCGTTGATGTTTTGTTTTACTTGAAAAAAAAAACAATTCTAAATGGTTTTCGTACTTTTCGAGCTGAACAGTGATAATAAAACCAATAAAAGAAGTTATATGAATTATAGCAGTTATACGGGTGCTATTGCTTTAGTAAAATGATAGTTCAAGAATATAATATAGTTAATAATTCAACAAATGCGATTTTTAGTTACATCACTTTTTCTGTAGTAAAAATGCAGTTATTAAATAAATTAAACTAGAAAATATGTAAGGTATTTAGGAATATATAATATTGATGTAAATGAAGTATTACAGTATTATCTCAAAATAATACAGTGGATATTGAATTAGAATTAATTTTAATATGATTTGTGTCTAAGTTCACTAGTTAGTGTATTAGGTAACTGAAAAAAAAAAAGAAAGTAAATTTGGTAATCAAATTGTGTTTAATTTAATTTATAATTTACATAAATCTAAAATTGTATAATGATAGATAAATACTTTTTGTTTTTCATGTATTTAAAATTGTGTGAAAGCTTCAAACACGCTTTTCTTAAAACATGATTTTTCGAATTACCATACTCTACCGGCATTCTGATGGTACAATACCTATAATAAATTATAGTTTCACTAAACGACATGAAGTGTGATTGTAAATTGCAGGTGTACAATAAAATGTACCCAGAATTAATTTCGTACAACAAAAAACAACTAAAAAAATCCCGTCATTAAAAAAAAAAATACACAATTCCTCTCCGAATTTCTTTAAACGCATTCCGAAATCACGGCGATTACAAAGTCATTGTCCATGGTCACGTGCAATCAATACAGACGGTTCTAGATACGTGTACATTAGCAAACATTCAAAGTTGACTTTTTTCCCCCGCGTTCGTTTCAAACACGTTACACAGAAATACATTTAAATCGTTCAACCCCGAAATTGTTTCGTTTGGTAATCGGATACAATAATTTTATACATAGCTATGTTATAATAGTCGCATAATCATATACAATTGTTAGTAATAACCATTCCTAGTATAGTGTATAATATTCAATCGATATTTTTCGAATTATACACCTATATTATTATGTTGTTTCGACCGCCGAACCCGACTACACCGCGCAGACGGTTCATAGGGCATTTAACAACAAAACGATGGAAACAAAAACGACCGAACCGTAGAATGATAATAAATAATGTTATTGCCGCCTACCCTTGTTGTTGTCGAACGCGTAGTGGTTCCAGACGACTCGAAAGATTAAATCGGGGTCCGATATTTTATAGGTACCTAATATATATATATATACATCATACGATAACAATCGAGGGTTCGAAATAAACATTACCACCGTCCACTTTTAAAACGTTTCATATTCTGTAAAATGACAGCTGCTGGTATATTTTATTGTCGTTACGCCGTCGCTGCACCGTGTAAAATACAAACAGATTTTTTGAAAATAATAAGAAGTTAAGGTATAATGTGGATTTATTGTTTGTTGCAGACATGCATTATGTTTGAACAGGTACGGGGGTGGGAAGGCAAAAACTGAGAACAAAAACCCGGGACCTATGCTGAGAGTGTTCGCCCTGTCCTATATAATACAATAATAAAATATAAAGTGACGATCGCAGGACGTTTAAGTTACAATGATATTTCTTCTTCTTCTTCTTCTTCTTCTTTTTCTGCTCAACATTTCATTGAAAAGTTACAGATAAACTACCTACATAATATTATATACTTTCAAATAATTTCTAAAATAAACGAAATCGTCTTGATATATTATTACCATTGCTCGTTCACATCATTTATGCAACTAAAACCATATTAGTAATACTAGCTATTGTATTTATTTCAGTCATTATAATTAATAAAATTCACAATTTTCATAAGAACTCCGATTTATAATATGTATATTTTTTTAAATATTTTAAATGTTTTATTTTAGTGCATTTATTTTAATTTATATCTATTTCCCTATACACAGTAAATACCAAAAAAAACAATATAAAAGGTATAAACATATTCTACACAAGGCACAAGATAAAGATATTATAGTTTTTTGTAGTTAGTAATTGTAACGGTATATCTATCGTTACTCAGTTTCACTGAGTCGTCAAAATATTTTCAAAAATAATTCATAGGAACATCACTATATGTATATTTCTTGTATCTATATTACACCAAAATGTATTTATAATTCTATATAATAACCGTACGGTCATTAATACGGCAGTGACGGTTAGATTATTTTCGATTTTATTTATTTTTTTTTTTGTAATTCGGTTAAAAATATTCATAGATATCTGAAATTTGCACAGAATACTAGTTGTATTAGTCTTTTAATCACCAATGAGCAAGTTTTCTATCACACGCCAGCGCCATTTCAATGTCGAATTCCATCGTCGGTTTGTTAAACCGAAAAAACCTTACCAAATAAAAATTATGTCAAAAAAAAAATCACATAATTTAAATATCCATCAATAGCTCAACGATGGCTTCAATGTTTTAAAATTTTTACCACGTCTAGAATAGGCAAATATAAGGTTATGAATTATAGGTAATTCTATGATTCTGACCTCAATTTTAAGTAAATATTATTTTGTACTACAAATATTTTGTCTAGAGTATAGGTACGAGTACATTAATGATGTCACAATGAGCACTGTACATTCGTTTTCCCGGGGGCCTCGGCCACCTCTGCGTCCCTTAATATGGACTCCCTATACTAATCTCATACGTGCGCACGGGGTGGCAGGATGAAAAGCTGTCCTTCTTTTAGGCTAGATTTTTCTCTCAAAACTATACAATTTCAATTATTACGTATATTAAATAGGTAATTAAATGAATGGTATATAAAATTAAAATACTTCCGTCACTAATATTAATTGAACTAACTAATAACCAAAATAATATTCAATTATATCACTTATAATATATAATAAATTGTTACATAAAATTATTATTAATAATATATAAATTCTCCCCCGTCCCCTGCAGCAAGGTTTGTGCACACCTATGAATACTTGAAAATATAATACAAGGTTCATTAAAATTTGTTCTTAGTAAACACAAAAAAGTTGATTGTAATAAAGTAGTTTTTTTTTTTTTTATACACACAAATATTAAAGATCAAATTTTGACGAAAATCGTAAAAACTAAGACATTCAAAAACATATTTACCGGAACTCCACTCAGAATCGTATTTGGTTAACAATGATTTATCGTTGCGTACAGATATGAATTAAATAATAATTTTATGTGTTTTACCTTTCCAACAGGGCCCTGGCTGGGTACGCCAGAAGCACACCAATCAGTGGTATCAAATTGTATTTTTTTTCTTAAATTATATTTTATTTCTCCGTGCAAATTGAGATGAGTGTACAATTATGTACGAACGTGCTTATATTCACTCGGCGTGTCTAAAAATATTATTTTTGTCTCTATAGAAACGTCGTCGGTGGTTCGAATCGTACGACGATGCCGACGACAAAACAAGACACGCACGTGTCATCGTTTCCGACGGCGCGGCGACGTTATAATATTTTTATTTTAGTCGTCTGTTGAACGATTACCGTATACGTACACGCGGCCATACGGGGGTCGTCGAGTACGCCGTGGAGTATCCCAAGCGGAGCCACCGTTATTCTCATAGTTTTCAGTCGTTACTATTGTTTAAATTAAAATTCATTTTAGCCATTTTGACAAACAGACTGTTTATTTTTTCTAATAAAATATTATATTTTCCGACATTGGGAGCGTGGACGATATCTGCGGAGATTTAATTTCATCATAGACAATATAGAAAAAAAAACCTATCTTTGCGGTATCAGGCATTGTGTGTATTATGTAGTAAATGACAGCCAAATAGGTACCTCATTTCTCAGAAATTGATAGGTGTATTTTAATTGTTTTCATTTGGTCATTCAAATAAATTTTCATTAAAAATATTAGGTTTCGGAAAAAAAAATATTAGAATTAAATATTCGATAACTTATTCGAACTATTGGAAAATACTGAACGTATAAACTATTCGATAGTGTCCATCACACAAATAATATACTGGTAATAATCGTGTACCTAGGAGCGTGTATTATTGTCATAGAAAATACATAAAGGATAAGACATGCTTATAACAATAACCCATGGAGTTGCTTGCCAGAGAATTCCAGAGTTACCGCGTTTCTGGTTACATTCATTTCAGTGACATCGATTTTTTATCAAAATAAAAATACAAAGAAAAAATATTTTTTTTTAAATTTTAAGTTTATTGATTTCTACAATGTTGTACTTTTTTTAGTTTTAATTTAATTTTAACAATATCATGAGCTTTTCTTATTTCCACCATTTTTAATTATAATGATACTATGATATTGATGGGTTCTTAAAACACTTTTTTATATAAAGTAGCTTTGTGCATTTTTTTGTAGTTTATATTTAATCATTACATTCATTTATTGGTATTTACAGATCAATCAAACACATTACAAAAACCACTACAATAACTATCACTTATAAATATGTGATTATTCAAAAAAAAAAAAAAAATAAATTTAGTAGGTATTAATTTATGAATGATAATGAACAAAATAACCATCAATAATTTTACTAGAATATAGAATATATTTCCATAATGTAAAATATTAAAATAATTTGGTTAAGGTCAAAACTGGTAGAAAATATCAAACAACAACGTATTCAGTCATACAAAAAAATTAATTAGAACTAGATGAATATTTTAAAAGACATACGATACGTTAGATTAAGGGCTTTTTGACTTAATTTTTGCTTTTGTGATGGTTTTTAAATACCTACTTAAATTTCCAATTATACAAATAATATAACGATATAAAAGACATCCTAGGATAATGGAAATAGGTGCAGCCACTGTTACAAGTCATTTAATGTATATCTGTTATTACCATTGCTAACGAAAAAACGATTCTGAGCGCAGTTCAGTGGATAGTGATGTTTTGTTAACACTTATATAATATACATGTCATATTATGGTAAAATAATTAAATAATCATTTTATATAATCTTTATAACAATATTTGTTTAATATTGTACCGATTTTCCTGTTATTCCTGGTTTTCTCAAATTTCCTGAGAAAAATCTTGGGAAAATCGAAAAATGACCTTCTTAAAACACTTTCCTAGTCAGATTTATTTTAAGGAAAAGTACTATAATTGTAAATCTGAGTAAAATTCCTAGTAGAAAAGTTGTCTACAGAAAAAAAAAATCGTATTATTTTACTAATATATTACGTAAATTTCCCGGTTTTTCTCTGTTTTTCACGATTTTTTTCAAATATTATGAAAACCGCTTGAAAAATGAAAAACCGACCTCCCTAAATTACCATGGAGATGAAATTCTATTTCAAAAAATAAGCTACACTTGACACATCAGAGCAAGATTTCTGGAAGAAAAGTTTGCACAACAAATCGGTGGGATATTTTGGGATTAAAATAGTCCAAACGAGCGACAGCTGGGTTTCTAAGTACACCTAAAATGCATTTGTTTTTTTCCCTGTTTAGTTAAAAGAGGAAACATAAGTGCAAACAATTTTTTTCGAAACACGGGTTTGAACTCGCGACCCCTAGGATGACAATAGATATGTATAACCATTCGTGGCTACGACAAACATATTCTAAAGAAGACAATATAGTGTTATTTAACATAACATATAATATCTTCAATAATATCAGAACTTCTATGAGCTATAATTTCGAAACTTATACAGCGGTCTGTTTTTTTTCCCTATAAATTAAGACTTTTAATGAATATCCTGTTAAATTTTCTCGCATTTCTGTTAAATTTAACAATTTTATCGCAGAATATCGAATAAAAATTACATACAAAACTCACAAAATTAAATGTCTATAAATAGCTTAAAAATGGATTAAATTTATTTAGAGTTTTACCACGTTTAGAAAAGATAAATATAATTTTTTTGTCTTAATGTCAAGTCTCTATGAATATTTTGACTGAATTACAACAAAGAATAAAAGCATTATTTTCGCGAGGTTTTTTTTGCGTCTTATCCATGTTTTTCCCAGATATTATGAAAACCACACAGAAATTTAAAAGTATCATCTGGACAACATCCCCTTTCAGAAATAATGCCACGCGTAAATATCTGAGCAAGTTTTCTGTTAACATTTTTGTACACAAAATAAAAAAAAAAAAAAATGAAATAAACATCTTAGTAAAACCAATCGCTACACTCAGAATCTAATATGAAAATATATAATGTATAATCAAATTTTGTATAAAATAATATGGAATCAATAAAACAACAATTTTTAATATGCAGTAACATTCATTACTTAAAACTGTAGTAATTATAATTATATTGTTTTAGTTTAAGAGAAAAATCAATTTGTACTTTTAAATTAAATTAAATAAACTCTAGAAGCCCTTATTATGGTACACATAATAGTTAATAATACCTATAGTGTAAACAATGTATTTTTTAAAACAAAATTACAGTATCATAAAATTCGTTTAAAATATCCATTGAATATCTTACATTTTTACATATTTTACTCCTACTTTTGTTTAAATACTTATTGTTTTTTCCCAATATCTACCATTAAAAATTTAATTCACTTTCGATTAAAAAATTCAAATCTAATTTTTATACTGTCGAAAGTTAATAATATTAATATTAGGTACATAAATATTGTGCAATAATATTGCATGCAATTTAAATTATGAATAATATAGCCATTAGTCACTCTCTATTTTATTATTATAAGACATTAGTATCACAATAATAATATCAATTTCAATTACACTGTACATAATAATATATTATTTTTAAATAAACAAAACTAAAACACTCACATTATAGTGAAATCAATTGATCCGTCGTTATGTTTCGAACCTAAAAACCCATAGTCGCATAGCACGGATTCATATGCACTAAGAAATATTAAAATATGGCATATATTATAATATTAATATTTAGTAATATCTTGATAAAAAAAAAAAAAATGTTTTTGAAAATACAAGTTATTATTGTATTTTCGGATGAATGTATAAACTATACAGTTCTTATAAAGACAGCATTCAACGTTTAAAAAAATGGTCGCTTAGAAAAAGTATCTAGATAAAATCGCGTTCAATAATCATAGAATATACGTTTTGAGATAAGATTTTTTGACGCACGGTTTTTTATAATAAAGATATTCAAAAACGATCATGCTTACATCCGCTGCTTTTGATAAAAATCAAATTACTTTTGTGTTGATAAATAAATATTATTTTTTGTTTATATTATACGAAACGGTTTTCGTTTTGTTTTTGCAGCGAACCGCCATTGGTCGAGAAACTCTATGGTTAACCGGCCGGCAGAGCCACTTCCGCTGAACCTAATATCGATGGACTATTGCTTCCTGAAGAACGGCAAAAAACACCACACTGACATGTATTACTGCATGAAGGAACGCCGGAATTCAACGCTGGTAGTGCGCAGGGGCATGCCGATTTACTTTGAATTGACATTAAACCGACCGTTCAACATCAATACCGACCAAATGTCGTTCATATTCAAATTATTCGGTAAACGAGATAATCTAACCTATTTGGCACTATTTAAAATTATTAATTATTATATAAGCGCGTTTTTTGAGGAACTGGAGAAATATCGTTTGAACAGACCACGTCACGTCGTGTATACATTTTTATGTGGTACCTATGCTAATATTATTTTGGTCCTAAAAATGCCGATGTCAATGTAAACCCTCGTACACTCGTGAAATGCCATTGGATCGACGATTTGTATACTTATTTCAGTGATGGATTTACGGGTATCGGAGCTTAGACCACCTGGACACCACCACCATACACCAATATAATTTTAATAAAATATCGTTTAAAAAACATTCATCCATTGACAACAATTCCTTTAAAATACATATTATGTCTTTTCGGAACCTCCCGCCACTCACAGAAAATTTTCGAAAATTCGACACTGACTTATTTTATAGGATGTTTCTGGTACGTAATTCCCCCCCCCCTGGTATATAATTATATATATTTTTATATAAACTATTTATATACGAGTAGAGTCTTTCTCACCACAAACTTGCTTAAAGAGCAACTCATGTATACATTTTTAATTTGAAATTGTACCTCTAATATTTTTTTTTGTCTGTGAGCAATTTTTCTACCAAAAATCTGGCTCTGAAGTTCAAATGTAGCACATTTTCTGAAAGGTTGTTTTGTCAATTTAGTGCATTAGACATGACATTTTTTGATTTTCTGAAGAGTTTTCAAAATAATTGGAAAAAACCCGAAGAGACATTATAGGTTTAAATACAAAAAACATTATTTTTGCAATAATATTGTTATAAATTAACGGCCATAAAGTTGGCACCACTCATATCTTATACACTTATGACATAAATAATAATATTATAAAATAAAATGTCCTAGTCATACGTGCATTATAAAAGCAAAATAATAATATTATGCACGTTACACCTTAATGCAACTCGAACGTGTAGACAAGGGCGTCCATCTTCAAAAATCCAAGGGGAGGACACTGTATTTTTTCAATAATACTTCCTAATCACCTATGTTATTTTGATTTTTCCAATATGTTGTCAACAACCGTTGGGAAACCATTAATGAAAATAATCCTGCCATATAATATATTATAATATATGATGATCAATTTTTCATTTATTCCACGTATTTAACATAAATTATAATATTTTATGGATAAATGCATAATAGACACGGAAAACCGGTGGTCATATCCCGTCCTTATGCCCCCCCCCCCCAAATAGACGCGTGTGGCCAACGAAATAGTTGTTTTCCCCTTTTGTCGCCCAGTTAGGTAATCCTGTATTATTTCCGAATTATTTCTTCACGTTGAGACTGCGATAAAATATATTGTATGCAATTATCATGTTCTATGGAAGAAAAAAAAAAAAATCAAAGAATATAACTTAGGTACTTATTTACAATAATCAAAAAAATATTTTAAGTGTTTTAACTCATAATTGTATACATTATTTGTATAATTCCTTTTTTATAAAAAAAAACCTTTGCATAACGTAGAATAATTCGTTGAGGGTAATCAGTTTTCCGCATAGTTATAAAATATAATAATAACTAATAAGTCATAGACGCCGACAAATTTCGCAAGTCACTTTATCACATAACTCTAGTTATTACTTAATACAAACATTGTATTTTATATGATAGTAAATCAAATATATTAAATTAATAATTAAATAATTATATTAAATAAATTAAATTTGTTTCGTACATTTTATCTATTGATCGTCATTTCTCCACTAAATGTTAAATAAGTGTTAAGCATAATATAGTAAGAGGACATTTGATACCTAAAATACACCAAATATATGTTATTCAGTGTCTATTCGTAAGCTGGAAGTACTCTAATAAACTCTAACTGTACAAATTGAATTTATTCGAACTCTGCTTTTTTGGGTGCCTAGCAATAACTATGTTATACAATTGTTAAACTAATTAAACTATATTTATGACATTTAATTTCGAGTAAGCACATAACAACTTTTTTTTTTTTAATGTTACCCCCCACCTTTTTGGGCAATTATTTTTACTCTTATATTTTTTTTCATACATTTTAATGGTAAACCAACTTCATATGTTAAAAAATTACCGTGTTATGAATATTTAAATATTTGATATTAATTTTACCTAATATTATTTTTGGATATTTTTGTATTATTCACTCATTTTTTTCAATTCACAAATAACCTTCAAGACAATTTTATTTATATTATTAGTTATTTTAAGTGATTCTAAGCGATTCTAAATATTTTTAAAAGTTGTTCGGTTAAATATGAAAATATGTGTTCAGAAAAGGTGCTACACTTAAAATTCGTATTAAGCTGTCTAGTAAAAAAGATCTGTACAGATAGAAAAAAATTCGGACATATCCTATAAAACCAATTAATCATTCGCCGTGCTCTGCAGAGTCTTAAATGTATTTAATGAATAAAATATTAACAGTTGAATACCGTTGAGTGTCGGCGAATATTATTTTTCAGTCAAACTAAAAAGTTTAAAAATTCAACACGAGGTTTAATATAATTGTAGTTATAATAATAACAAAAACATAAAATACGTGATTAAGTACAAATTTTTACGATAATTGTAAAAATGTTGGCATTTCAAAACATGTTTAGCTAAACTTTGCTATTGTATAAACTTTCGTCATTATTTATTTTTGAAATAAACATTGATTTATTGTTGGAAATAAATATAAATTAAATAACTTTATGTAATTTACCTTCTTAACTTACCCTTTACAACAGTTGTACACCAAAAGCTACATCAGCTATTTTTTGTGTCCCTGAACTATTTTTCTACCAGGAATCTCGCATCAATTAAAAACTTTATCTAAATGTATTGAGAAGCTCATTTGTTTTTTTGTAGTTTATCTCAGAAACTGATACCTTCTGGTTTTCACGGTTTCGGTACTTAATTATTTTATTAAGAGGTTCTGGTTTCCGTTCAGATTTATGACAATTTTTATTTAAGGGTTCTAATTTCGATTGTAGTTTTTTGGATTTAATCTTAAATTTAAGATTTTAAGTTAGGGTTCTAGTTAAAACCAGTAATTCTAAAAATGTATACATTTTTATTTGTTCGTGCACGGCCTTTTGGTAGTTAAGTGGCATTGCTCATGTTCCCTACGAAGGGGAACATGGCCTACGGATGACGATGACTCACCGTGAGCAACTTTCCGTTATACAGTCCACTGTCGATGACCCTACAATTTGACAACCTGATGCAACTAGCTGTTTGAATGACAGCTAAACCAATAGGTATGTTGATGTATTACAGAACACTAATTCGCTGTCGAAACAGAGTGCGTTTGTCATTTGTTGACAATAGTCGATAAAATAATAATACTGTACTGTTGTAACTTATTAGTATCTATAGATTATTTTTATTTTAACTTAAATACACAAACATAGAGTTCATAAGTATTAGGTCATAACATTACTTATCAGATATCATTATTTCACAAGAAATAAACAACTCTAAATAAAAATAATTTATCAAAGCAGTCGTATTTTAGTCTGTGGTATAAGCAATATAGCCGATCAATTGAACACATTCTACGAAAGAAAAACAAAATTATTTATCAATGTTAAACCCGTTTTTTTAGTTTAAAAATATGGGTTTCGATTCCGGTTCCGGTTATTTGAAAATATTTAAATTCGGTTCCGGTTTCTAATATTTTAAGGGTTTTCGGGTTCCAAAACCGGTTCTTTTCGGTTCGGTTCCAGTCCCTGGTTTGTCTATTAAATCGGAAAAACTGGCAGTTATCGGTATATTTTTTGTTAATCTTTGGGTTACCTTGGTAGAAGGAGAAAAAACGCGAACAATACGCTGCTCAGCATCATTTTTCATTAGCAATAGTGTATTGTCGTGTACAAATTTAAATTGAATTACTCTATGTATTCACTACTCAAAATTCTCTCCTAAGATAGTAGCATACACATCAGCTGTATCAGTTTTTTGTTTTTTAAAAAATTCGAAATAAATTATTTGTTTTGATAGAATCGTTTTTTCTAGAAAATAACAACATGACCCGTTAATTAATTGACCATTTAAACAAGTTAGAATAATCGTTTAAAACGCACGATTATTATGCCTAAAAAGGTTAAAACCTTAAAATTGTTAAAATATGGTGCAATTATATGCTAGAGAGTAGATACGAAAATCACGTAATAATTAGATATTGTAAATTATTAATTATCTTCAGAATCAAGTCTGTAATGTACATTGCAATTTTTCGATCTGTGACAAAATATATGTTAAGTATATGGAATATTTTTTTTTTTGTGCATTTCTTTCTTAATAACTTAAAATAAAATCAAATTAATTTTATTGTCAAATAATTGTATATTTAACTTTTACACTAAGCATCTGCAAGTGTTCTCGAACCGCAACTCTATATCACTCCCATTATACGTATTATAATATTATACGCCACTTCAAAATATTATCTCCTCTATCGTTTCGCCTCTGGTAGCTGTAATGTAAACATTTTATTTTTGTTCCATTTTGATTATCTCTTTAGGTAAATAGTAAACAATACTTACTATTTCAATAACTGATGTACCCACGCAGTGGCTATATCATTAATTTACCGTACATAGATAGGTACTATTATAATAATATAAAGTGCCTACGGTTATATGTTTACATGTTAAAATGGTTTAAAATTGAAACTTATTCTTGTCATGTAAACACTTTGAAATGATTTAAAATAACAATCAGTTTTTATATTCTATATTCAGTTTAATATTCTTTATATTTCTTTTATATTCTAAGAATTTTTAGATTTGAAGCGTAGTGAGTTTTAATATGACGTGTGGTTTTTTCCATTTAGAGAAAAAACTCCTGGGAAAATCAAAAAAATTACCTTCATAAAGTATCACCCCAGTCGGAGCAAAATTGTCGGTAGAAAAGCTGTTCACAATAAAAAAATAAAAAAAATAAACATCATTGTAAAACTAACCTTCTGATTACACAATCAAGAGATAATTTCTAATGATAAATCTCAAAACAAACGTCATCACGGGAGCAGACAGTTATTTACAATTTAATTTTCTCGAAATCGAGTTTATGTTTGTTAGTTGCAACTAGTAGGGTGCCGAAGAGTTTTTCGCTCGTGGTATTATAATTTATAACAATGTATAATATCTCATTGTGAAAGACGTTTTTTGGTGATGTTTGATGTCATAATACTATAACATAATCGTAAATTATGATAAATAGATATTTACCATATTGGTATATACTGCATGACGTATACCTACGTGATACACCTAACTGCATAATAATTGTTAATATTCGCATTAGGTCAAACATACATATAAATCTAATAACCAAACCGCATATCATACCTACCTATTATTTAATCGAATATTGCCGTGGTGCTCTACTACGACCTCGATTATACGACGACTTGGACGTGGATATTTACTTATGTATATATATTTTTAGCCGTTATATACAGGCATTTTTGAAAGTTTTAAGTACCTTGTACCTACCTACCTACCTACCTACAACCTACCGATTAATTTTCATTTACAGATATCATTCAATCGAATTAATGTGTTTAAAATGTTTGATTCTATGTTGGACGAGTGAATTTTCGTCGGAACAACGTGTACTTACCTCATAAATATATGTGTTGTAAATTGTACCCACCATATTATCAGAACTATGGCCTGCATTTAAATTCATTTAAGTGAATTTAAATCGGTCAAAATATACCCCCTTATAAAAAAAAAAAAAAAAAAAAAAAAAAAACAAACAACCGAAAATTCATTATGATATTATGTATACATAATTTCATTGATGAAAGTCGGATAGGACTTTCCAGGTCAGTGTCATATTATCACTGTACTCGGATCTATTAAATTATATTAGGTACCTAATAACTACATACTACGCATAAATTTCGAGTTGCAACGGTCGTGATTTAGTAATAATTGTACGCGCCAACTCAAATGCATAATATTATTATTGTTATTTATATAAGTATGTATACCTACTTGAAACTATTATATTAAGCAGTGGGTGTTGTTCTAATATTATAATATGTTCTTGTTGTGTGCGAGTTGCATTTCCCGTTCAATTCATTATTACAACACGTCTTTATTACAAGGATTTAGTTTATAATATTAGCATGTATTATTTTCGTCGATGATGCCGTAAAAATAAACACGTGTCAGTGTCAAAACGGTAATTTAAATATTTTTTAAGTATTATTTTTATTATTAAATAGTACGTCTATCGCGACAAACTGACTGCTCAGGTTTATTCGTAAACAAATTTGTTTGCGATTCAGAAAACATTTTAGATTCGGAGCGTATAGCGAAAAAGCTATAATATTATAGTTTTACTAATATGTGGACTTTTGATCGCATGACGGTACTTATTTGAAAACTGACAACCGAAATATTATAACGATATGTTGGTTTTATTTTTGTTGATTTCTGGGTTACCTTACTTGCCTTTCAAGGAAATAAAATCACGTTCGATGCTATATTATATTACATTACTACAGTATACCAAGATCTAATCAGAATAGGTTTTTGATTGCAATGATGCTTACACTCGCTTTCAGTAGATTATAAACTAAATTAATCTATATCCTAATCCTATACCTTATTTTCTCTTTACAACAATGGTCTACCCATGTATGAACTGCACAATATATGTATGTCGTCTGAATAACCGGGCGATTTATATCTATAGTAATTTTATAACTCTATTTTTGGCAACATAAAAAATATTTTCAAAAAAAAAATTTTAAAAATGGTGAAAAAAAAAATACTCGTCGTATATTTAAATAAACATAATTATTGTTCTAATAAGTTTGAGATTTGTGATTAAAAATTTGTTATGAGCTTGTTTCCTTACTTGTTATTATATATCATACAGGTTGGTTCAATATGAATATTACAGCTATAATACAATAATACATCACGTAAATATAAAAAAAATTACAATAAAAAAGTTGTTCGATTTATAAACAATTAAAATAATTTTTAATTTAGGTAGGGGGAGACTAGTGGAATACTATTCAAACGCCGCGCACTGTGCCACCATACATAAAAGTGAATACATAGTGTTCCACGTACTTAAATTAAAAAGTAGAATATTTCGTCAACGGGTTGTCGAGATATTTCATCATCAAAATGTATGTGAACTAATACTCTATTTATTTACGGAATTCTGAAAAAAAAGGTTCCCATTTGAATTTCAAAAGTTGACCACAAAAGACCACTTCCAAAAAATACCGCAGAAAAAAAAGTTCAAATTGTTTTAGATGTTTATAAATTGAAAAATGTTTGTATTATAAATTTCCTTTATTTTCAGTATTTAAATAATAAAGTGGCTGTAACGTATATTTTGATCCACCATCTATACTATATTATTTACATAAATAAATAAATTCTAGTTTATTTTAAAATAAATAATCTATTAACAGTAACATAAATAAATAACATTAGATATATGTATGATTTATTTATTTATCAAAACAAATATATCCATAATGTATAATATCTATTATTATTTTGACCCGCTACCCACACAACTGCCTATTATTAATAATGCTTTTTTTTTATTTATTTATTTTTTATTTTACGTAGAATTTTCCGCGGTGAAAATAAAAAAATAAAATTCCTTTTATTATTCGCATCTTTCAATATTGTATTATTGGTATATGCATATTCAAGACCAACAAAACACGAATTAATAAATTATTGTTAATTTAAATTTGTTTACCTTGAATAATAAAAATAAATAGCCAATAGCAAATATCGTATGATAATGTGATAGATTAGAGAGGTTAAAAATAGCTTGACTGTATTATTTTAATTCATAAAAATGATAGCACTTTGAACTTGTAGTGGAAACACATCTTTTTTACGTGTTTGTTCAAAACTTCAAATCATTCAATATTATTATTAAAGTTTGAATATTAAAGTATAACAATGATTATACTCTTGTTATTGACTTTATGAATAAAATGTTATAAAAAAATTGTCCGCGTAAAACGGTTGAAAAAGACTCTATTTTCAAATGTAATACGGCATTGTCGGCATTGGCATTAATATTAGAACAAAAACATAATACTAATAAAAAAGTTAATATTATTATTTGTATGTATTTTAATGGTAATATGACTAAAATTATGGAAGTTTTCTTTATATATATATTAATACATATAAATAAATAATATAATAGTATTATAGTATGGTAAAATAGTTATTTATGATATTATTAGATATACTACACCTAGATGGTATATACTAATAAGTAACTATTGTTAAAAATGATTTGATATGAATATTATTAGGAGGTTAGTACTCGTAATTATTTTTCGTAATAGGTAATGATAATAATTTTGTTAATAATGTATTTATATTGTTGAAATATATTTTATTATACTCTAAAATTTTTTTTAAAAAAGTTTTTTTATTTTTTTTCATGGTCTGACATTTGGTTATTATATTTTCTTTTCTATAGGTAAATATCGTTCTAATATTTAAATAAAATTGTATAATGTATTTCGTAAGTTCATAATCATGTTCCGTACAGCCAACTTTAGACCCAATGCCTTGAAAATTACTCCATCCGTATCAAAAAACTACATGTTTATAATAGGTTTAAGTAAAACTTCCTAATTGAAAATTTTAACTAAGTATATTCAGGCATAAACTTATGTAAAAATTAGAAGCAGTAACGCAATTTCAAAAGTTTAGAAATAAAATACGAATAAAGAGAAATTTCACGAAATTAATTTATTAAAAGGAGGTATTTTAGAAATAAATGTAAATAAATATATTATAATATTTTAATTTTGAATTTCGTGAATTACGAATTTTTCCAACTATGTCTAGTATAGGAGTTAACACTATATCAATGTTAAAGATTACCTACTTTACTTGGAGTTTACTATCTTTTCGAGCAAAACCATGGGAGTACAACATGTATACATCTTTGATTTCAGAGAAGAAGGGTTTAAGTGAGTTGACATTGTAAAATTAGGAGTTTGTGTTTTTATTATGTTGACATTCGTCCGCCAAAACTCAACCCTCTAGCGTTTTTCACCACCGATGAAAACGTGGCTTATCACAGCCGAGCGACTATACTCTATTTCGAAACAATGAATATTTAACCCGACCGAAAATGCTGCGGAATATGCGGTAAAGAACGCCGTGTATAGTCCCGGCCTGTTATATAATTTTAACGTAAATAAAATCGTAAATATTACAACCATTCAGAACATAATAAATAACTGAACTTTGCTCAAAATCGTTTTTCGTTAGCAAAAGTTTATCGTTGGTTACAAATATAAATTAAACTAATTTACGTATCTTACCTTTCTAATTTCTTACCTGCAACATTGGTATACTGGTCATCAGTATCAGCTATTTTTTTAATTTGTATTTTTGGTCTACATTTCATAATCTTAAATAAATCGTACAAAAAAAAATACCAAAAATCCACTTCAGTCTTTCTTCCCTAAGACAATATATATGTATCTATTATACAGTGGAATAGTCCCTTTAGCGGGGAAAATCCGAAAAAATTAAAATTTAAAAACAATAAGAAATAAAATGTATGACGTAGATACAATTGCGGAAGAAAAAACATTGTTCAAAGTGTCTACGACTTTGTAAGTGATATACACATTAAGATAACAAAGCAATAGAACAAAAAAGCTGTCCTAGGATAAAGGAGATAGGTGCAGCTACTGTTGTAGGTGGCGAGTTGAGAAGGTAGAATATAGACGGGAATTTAATGTATATCTGTAAGCAAGAAAAACCGATTCCGAGCAGAGTACAGTTGATAGTGTTGATTTGTCATCAATATATATGTCATAGTAAAGTAAAATAATTAAATAGGCATTATATATTTTCTTTAATAATCGTATAATATTGAACCGATTTTCTAGTTTTTCCTACGATTTTTCCTATGTTTTCCTTCGGTTTTTCACATTTTTAAGGAAAACTCCAGGGAAAATCAAAAAATTACCTCCTTTAATTACCTCTTTAGTCAAATTTACTTTTAGAAAAAGTGCTATCATTATAAGTTAGAGCAAAAATTGTACGTAGAAAAGTTGTTCACAGGAAAAAAAAGATGCCGTAATATTCTTTATACTTTTAACCTAACCTAACCTTACCTACATTTGGTACATTTTCGTTCAGTTTGTCTTGGTTTTTTTAATATGTTGAGAAAACTCTTGAAAAAACCGAAAAATGATACCCCTAAAGTTCCGCCCCAATCAAGTTTTCTTTCAGAAAAAATGATACACTTGTAATTTGGAGCAATATGTGGGTAGAAAAGTTGTTCACAGTTTAGAAAAAAAAAAAAAAAAAACATTATTGTTAAACTACGCTTCTTCGTTCCCCTCAGAATCTAAAAAAATACAGATGGTTCGAACATTAAAAGTACTGAAATCTAATGTCAATTAAGTATAATATTTTCAAACACATACAACCACGTGTTATGTTTGTTTTAGAAATGGTAAATACAAACTTTGGAAATTCTACCATGGCCGCCGTACCGTTAAAGATAAGCCCGAATAACGGAGATGGCGAATGGTCGGCCATCATGGTACACTCGAACAGGACGGGCGCAAACGTATTGCATGTCAGGGTAAGATCAATGATAATACGATTATGACAGAATAAAATAAATAAGAATACGGGACACTAAATTTAAAATGCTGACGACAAAGCGTTTTTTAAATGTTTATGGTTGCCTATAATTAGCCCCTTACGTTTTATCGTAATCAGTTGTTTGATAAACCAGAACTTTTTAATTATGTAAGCTGTTGTTAATGTTATTATATGAAATAAAAATGTTCATGTTTCTTTTCAAATATTGCTTAACATTTTATTATTTAAATTGTACAAATTCGAACTTTAAATGATTGTAAAAAATAATTATTCTACGTTCAACTTTATTTGTTTTGCCACTAAAATACGTAACTTATGATTAAACTCGTATTAAATTTTTTAGCATTTTGACAACGCCAAAATAATTAAATCTACTCGTAAAACCAATAATGAATCAAAAAAAATGCCAAGAAACTGTGGTTAAATACTGTAGATTGGTATTTACGTTTTGGTATTTTTTTGGCTAATAATATTATTTACATTATACATTTAAGGCGTTTTTATAGGCAACCCGCTATGACGCTAGATCACTACGTAGAGCACAGTTTCCTAGAAATTTAACGAGTGTCCCGCATGGTCATCTGTAGAATTTGAATGATAAAATACATATAAAATTTATTTCGTGTACTGATATGTGTGTTCGAAAATTATTTATAGATTACGCCGCCGAACAATTGTATCGTGGGAAAATGGATAATGGACGTGGACATCCGATGTGGGCAAATGGTGACGTTGTTTTCGGCTCAAAAAAATCCAATGTATATACTGTTTAATCCTTGGTGTCCAAGTAAGCTTCAACATATTATAGGCAATTTAGGCTATGATATATTTCTTTTGCGCATATTTTTAAACAGTTGATGTTTACAATAACATGTTAACACTCAAAATATTCGACTGTTCAAAAATCGTTTTACGCAGGAAAAAAAATAAAGGCCTACTTTATTAAGAAATAAAATTTTAAGCACAAAAAAGGATGGACATACTTCGCACGTGGGTGCAGCCACTGTTGTAGATGAGAAGTTGGGAAGGTAGTAGAGGGGAAATTTAAAGTATATCTGTAAGCAACGATGAACCATTTCTAACGAAAAAACAATTCTAAGCAAAGTTCAGTTGATAGTGTTGTTTCATCAACAATGTATATGTATAATTAAATATGTATTTTATATTTTCTTTAATAATTTTAAAAATATTTGTTTAATTTTAAACCGATTTTCCAGTTTTTACTACGTTTTTCCCAATTATTCCAATTTATTGGGAAAATTCCTGGGAAAAACAAAAATATGACCTCCTTAAAGTATTTTCCCAGTCCGATTTCCTTAAAAAAAAGTGCCACTTTTATTAATCGGAGCAAGATTTCTGGTAGAAAAGTTTGCACAACAAATCAGTGGATATTTTGCGATTGAAATAGTCCGAGCGAATGATAGCTTGGTCTCTAGGTACACCTAAAATGCTGTTACTTGTTCCTTGTTTAGGTAAAAGAAAAAAATTAAATGCAAACAATTTTTTTGGAAACCCGGGTTTGAACTCATGGATAAAAATAAGTAGGATGAAAACAAGTATCTATCACCATTAGACTACGACAGACATAATGTAAAGAAGGCAATATAGAGTTATTTAACTTAACATATAATATCCGCATAATATCAGAACTTTAAAAAGTTATAATTTCAAAAATAAGTCAGTCCGCTTAATTCTGATTTCACCATCGTTCTTAAATCGGCAATATACATATGTTCAAAACAAGTGGCACCGATCTCCTCTGAAACATCTAAGCCATTTTAAGTAACATAACAACTTAAAACACCCACCCCATCGGTGCTGCACATAAGTAGAAGTTTAATCTATTCCCTTCTAACCCCCTTTAAAAAGATCATCCGTCCCGAGGATATCTATTACAAAGACCTTAAAATTATTTATTAGAGTAAACATTTTTTTATGAAGAAAATAACTGATTTTAAAGATCAATTTTTACTGGGGGTATTACACCATAATTGTAATAAACACTTCAATTTTCTAACACAAGATCTATTTTTGTTTAATAACGTAGCAAAATATTGCCTCTTAACGACTAATGCGGGGGTTCTTAACCGGTGGTCCATGGCACCCTAGGGGGTCCGTAGAGGGTAACTCGGGGGTCCATAAAGTGGGTGTGAGATTTTTAAAATTACCCAAATATAAATTTGTTTCAAATTATTCGATGAATCAAAATCGTCGGTTAAGATAAAAAATGTTATGTATATAATGTAAACTTTTTTTGTGAACATTGTGTTCATCATGTATATTTATTATTTACGTAAACTTGAATGGTTGTTCATATTATTTTGGTAAAATATTCGATAACGCTATTGCCTATTAGATAAAAATTAAATTTGTCCGCTCGGTCACTCAAAACACAACGGGAAAAACTAGTCATTATTAGTTCATACAATATCATATCTAGATTACGATATTTATGTAACAATACAATTTAAAAATTTTAACTGAACACGAAAACCTATCTCTCAGCTCTCAATATACCGCGTTGCAGTTGACCCGTCGCGACGACCTCACCTAACCGTCGCGGCACCGTCGCGCTGCACACAGTGTCGTTAAACTCGTTAAATTGTGTTTTGTCACCTTCGTATTCCGACCGTTACCGCGTTGGATTATTTGCTCGTCATAATCACTCCAGTTTACGTATTTCTTTAATTTTATTTTGTTGAAAAGTTATTATGTCAATGTGAAAAAAAAAGAAAATATGATAACTCATATACATTGTATGGTTTTACATTTATTACCGAACGCGATGGTTCGCAAAAATCGCAATGTTTTCTTTGGGAACAAATTCTCGCAAATGGAAGCATGAAACCAGTAAAACTCAAAGAACGTCTTGTTTCGTTACATCCTTAACATTCATCAGATAATTTAGAAGTCTTTCAAACAAAAAAGGCACTTTTTGAAAAAGGTGGTACATTAACCAAACTTGTATTTGTACCTCCATAAAAACCATGTCTCGAAGCATCTTACTAAGTAGCGTACCGCATTACTAGAAATAAGAAACCACATACTATCGGAGAATCATTAATAAAACCATGTGCATTAGAAATAATAGAATTGGTTTGTGGTTTAGAACAGCGAAAAAAAATTGAAGCTTATTAATTATTATAAAACAAATTATTAAATCTTAACTTCCATTTTTTTCATATTCTGAATTTAGCAAAGAATGTGTTGGTTTTAAAAAGATTTTTATTATTTTATTAATTTTTTATGTGAACACTTTTTTTTACCAGAAATCTTACTCCGATTATCAAAAGTAAAGCAGCTTTTCTGAAGGGAAATGTTATTTAGGCGGTATTTTAGAAAGGTCGTTTTTTTTAAATTCTCATTAATATTTGAGCCAATGAGGATAACTTGGTACTTTACATTATAATAGATTGAAAGATTAAAAATAAGGTTGTCATTAGCAACCGTTTTTATTTAATTTTATTATTTTTAAGTTTTTATAATCTTAATCTTTTTTACACAATCTTTGCTGTCGTGGAAACGCACATTGTAATCATTTGACTATAATATGACATATATATATTGTTGACAAAACAACACTTCTCAACTGAACATCACTCAGAATTGTTTTGTCGTTAGCAATGGTTTATCCTTGCTAAAAGATATCCTTATAAAATTATAAAATTATTATAAAATTTATCCTTGCTATACATTAAATTGCCATCTGTATCCTACCTTAAAAACTTCCCACCTACAACAGTGGCAGCTCCCACGTACTAAATATGTCCATCCTTTTTTCAAATGCTGTTTAAAAACAACATTTGTCATGTTAAACAACTGTCATGTTACGAAAGAAATGGAAACGTTTCGTTAGATAATATTATGGTGTTCTCCAAGAAATTTAGTGAAAACCACTTGTATTGTAATAGTTTTAAAATTATATTTTAAAGACCGAATTAGGAAGTAGTTTCGTTAAACCGTGTTTTCTCTAGTCATATTTTTAATAAAATATTACTTGTGGTCCAAAAAAAAAAAAATCCAGGTTTTTAATGTTGGTTTTTTCTTTAGATATTATATTTTTATATTTCTACATTATTAAAAAATACAAACGCTATATAATATAATTATATAATTTGGTTTTGTGCAGCTGACGAAGTTTATATAGAAAGCGAAGAGCTCAAAAACGAGTACGTGTTGAATGAGGAGGGGCTCATGTGGCGAGGAAGTTATAACAATCAAAAAGCTGTGGTGTGGAAGTACGGTCAGTTCCATAAGGACATGTTGGATTGCAGTTTCTTGCTGCTGTTGAAAATTCGGCGTTTAGGACTCATATACTGCAATGATCCGGTTCAAGTGTCCAGAAACCTGTCGGCCGCGGTGAGCGTTAACATCGAAAAACTCTTTCGCGAAAAGGCCTAACTTAACCTCTAAACCTATCATTGATTTGTTTGTTTATATACGAGTATATTATTTTATGATTTAGGTAAATGCTCCCGATGAGTTGGGAGTTATCCACGGCAATTGGACCGACGATTTTTCAGGCGGAACGCCACCTACCAGTTGGATGGGAAGCGTGGATATTTTAAGTAGATTCATCAGAACGAAAAAACCGGTTAAGTACGGACAGTGTTGGGTTTTTGCCGGTGTTCTCACTACGGGTTAGTATAGCATAATATTATAGTACACATTGTTATGATTAATGATAAGATACCGATGACCTAACAAAGTGCATAGGCTATTACCAACAATATTTTTAAAAAATCTTTTCATAACCTAAACGACCAATAATCCTATCTCTAGTTATCAAATCGTAACAAAAATCGTGTTGGAAAATGATTTTATGATGATCGAAACTTAAAGTTCTACTCATATTTCCATATAAATGATTAAAATAAAGTATTTTATCGAGTTATTCAGTTTATTTCGCTTTTACTATAGACTTATAATAGATAGACCGTTTTGTATATAGCTTCTTAATGCAAAAATTTGCGCAAGACGGACCGCAGACTCTAACATAAAATGGCTTTTACACGTTTATAGTATTGTTATAATGATTATATTGTACAGTATGTAGAGCTATTGGAATACCTTGTCGACCGGTAACGGCATATTGTGCGGCACACGACACGCAGAATAGTCTGACGATCGATTATTTCGTAGGCGATGACGGGAAAATAATGGATGAATTGCAAGTCGACTCTATTTGGTAAGTTTATAACCCATGTCTTAAAATATTATAATACGCCAAAGGTGGTGGTACTGGAAATTTTCTGGACTTTTCTGTCCATGAAAACTAAATTAATAACAATTATAATTTAGTTGTCAAATAATAATTAAATCGTATTTTCCATCCGTGTTTTCAATGTAACAATAAATAAACAGAAAAAAAAATTAAATTTTTTGAATTATAAGATTGAAAGTCCAGTGTCATCCACCCATTAGAGGTTTAACTCCGGAATAAAAGTAGCCAAAATATATCCTAGATAACACAATCTAGCAATGAAAGTCCCATCGAAATCGGTTCCACCGTTCCTGTGTCATAGTGGCGGCTTGTGAGGCTAATGTTCTGAAAATTATAATTGAATGGGGTGTTAATAAACATACACAGAGAGATGGTCAACATATTTGTTGACTTCAAGCTTCGGTTATCAGAGTAGTTATTATTTTAAAATTGAAAATATACCTATGAGTAAAACCACAGGTACATATTTTTTTCTGAAACCAATCAACGTATATTACTAAAATATTATGTTTTATGTAAACGAAATTCTGTTTAAGATTTTTAAAAATGTAGTTTACAATAAATTAAAGGTTTTATAAAATGTAAATATTTCAGTTTTATTACACCTAGTGTAAATGTTTAATAAATTGAACGGCGGTACACGAAAACAAATACGAAAGTTCAAAACAATTCAGACGAATCAGACGGACCACCACAAGCGACGATTCGAAGACAGAAATATCAAATAACAAAATAATATGACACATTCACAACGGTTGTCGGTTAGGTTATCGTTAAATCAATTCCACCGTCCTCCAGCCGTAATACCGGTGTATGGCATATTATAGTGAAAATAATAACGCTGTGACAATAATAACTGGATACTAGTTATGTGTTTTGTACGTGTATTACGTAGAGGTGATGATCATCGCGCATGCGCAATTCTATTTATTTAACAGTCGTGTGATTTGCGTAAATATGAGTGTATGTGATTTATATTTTATAATATATACACAATAAACAGTGTGCGGTGCACACACACGTAAAAATTCAGAGGCGATATTAGACGGTGCCTCTTTGACATTATCCGAACATCGCCGCCGGCTGTAACACCCGCGAAGCACGTTTGTTTACGTAATAATTATTTCGTGCGTTTCTTATCAGCCCATAGAATAAACACCGGATGATATACTAACGACGCAACAACAAAATATGACGATTCATAATTATTATATTTCGTAAATAAGAATTTTTTTTCCCAAATAAAATCGTAAATAAATTAAAAACTGTTGACGAAAGATGCGCGATCGGTGAGCTAAGAAGTATGCTTTTTGAATATTATTCTACAAAATTTTTAATGAGGCACCACCTCACTTGCCTCACACCTAAAGCCGCCACTATTCTGTGATTAGGCCGGACAGACAAACCGAAATTTCAATTGTTTTTATACGTATAAGATAAACGAACCTGTAACCTGTAACTATAAAAGACATATAGTAGTTAATAACATATGTTCTATATATATATATACATAATTATAATATTATAACCTTTCGTGTATATAATACACATATGATCTAACCACTAATAAACTAACCTATTATTACAATTACCTTTACCAATATTGTTCAAAATCCCGGAACCCATTATCCGATGAAAGGAACTACCACGTGTGGAACGAGGTTTGGATGGCTAGGCCAGACCTGAAAGTGCTGGATCGCAGCTGGCAAGTGATCGACGCCACACCGCAAGAGCTTAGTGATGGCCAGTTCAAGTGCGGTCCCGCCAGCGTCACTGCTGTTAGGACCGGCGAAATCCGTGCACCGTATGACACGGCTTTCGTGTTTTCTGAGGTGAACGCTGATAAGGTATACTGGAGGTACTACGGCATATCTCAACCATTGAAGCTGTTGCGCAAGGAAACGGAGGCGTAAGCAAAGTTGTTTAAATCAGGGACTGTAACCTTGATGATTTTATCGGTTCTGATTCTGGTTCCGGTTCTGGTTAATACTGGTCCTAAACTAATTTCTTTTGAATACAATTATATAAATTAAATAACTTTATGTATCCCTCCTTCCCAACTATTCACTTACAATAGTGGCCGCACCCGGTTCGTTTACTTAAAGCCGTAACTTGGTTGGTTTGAACGTACGTGGGTGGGATTTTTACTAGTCTAGTGTATATAGGTCTATTATGGGCACTTCATATAAATAGTACCTTCTTATATGATTTTTGGATCAAATATATCTCGTTAAGATCTAGTGATAGGAAAGTGGTTTTAACGCCTACGAATTTGGTTTGACGCCCCACATAAGTCCCTCCATAGTTTGATATCATAAAATCTCTTCCAAAAGAACTATTCTGGAAGTCGTCTTGGAACTCGTCATGAGCTGGAGGACAAATTTTTCGGATCCATATATAAAATTCAGAAAAAACAATGTACATATTTTTGGTATAATCAAGGTGTATTAATATACATACAGAACCGGATTAAAGGGGAGCCAAGCGGGCTATAGCCCAGCTACTCCCTCTCAAAAAAAATATTACGAGCTTGCAGCGTTTCTACAATTATTAATATACAATTTAAAAAATTATTTTAACAATATTTATTAAAAGACTTCGAAGGTGTCGACTGTCTTGACAACGAATTTTAGTCCAAATGATTACCAAAACCTGCTTCATTCTAAAAGTTTGATTCAATCTAAATTATGTTGTCATTTTGGATCTATGAGAGCATTATTTATTAATTATTAAATATTCTTAATTTTTTGAAAAACATAAATTAAATAATGATACTGAATTTGATGATAATTTGAAAACAGAATTATCAGTTTCTTCAGATATTGACAATTGTAGTGCAATAGCAAAACTTCTTTATGAACGAAATCTTATTGATATTTTTAAAAAATTGTATATTAAATTTAGATTATAGCTGACAATAACGTTGGCAATTTATGAAACAAGATGCTTATTTTCAAAGTTGGCTTTAATTAAAAACGACTAAGATCTACACAAATTGAAGATAGGTTGAACGAATTAATAATTATATCAATTGAAAATGACATAATATGTAAAAAAAAAACTATCATTTGATGACGTTTTAGATACTATTGTATCAAGTAAATTTAGAAAAAAAATATTTTAAATAATCATTTGTTTGTATTTTTGTATTAATGTCATATATTTTACATTTTAACCCTTAATTAGTTTGTATTTTTTAATAAATGAACAATGTAACGTAAATTTGCTCTCTAGGGGAAAATATTTTTCTTATTTAACTAATAAATATCAATTGACATATTATAAAAATACTTTTTTTGTAAAATTAGGGCCCCCAAAAATAAATTAGCTCAGGGCCTACAATTTCACTAATTCGGTTCTATATATATATATAAATACGCCTTGGGTACAGTAGTATAGTTTCATATTGATAATGGTTATCTGAAGACTACTGTGATAGAATAGTTAAATAATCGTTTGGTACAACTATCGCATGTCTACTTATGATATAAGTTTTATTATTTTTGATATTATATAAATCATTTAAAATGTTTTAATCACTTTAGTCAAGTTACAATTTATTAACTTCTTAATAATATACATAGTTTTGATAATACAAAATGCATATTAATTCATTAATGATATGAGAACATTGTTTAATCTTTGTATCGCTTCTCTTTTATTTATATACTTATATCATACAATATAAAATAATTGTATATAATTTTATACAAAAATATTAATTTTTTATGATCACTGTGATTAGAAGAGTATACCATAGGACAGTTCCTATTGATGTTAAATCGGAGTCGGTAAATTGCGTCCCCAAAAAAAGGTCATAGTCATATACTATGTAAATTGCGGCCCATGTACTTTTAAAACATACGTAAATTGCGTCCCGCAATATATATATTATTTAGCAACGTTGCATGGAAATAAAAATAATTTAGCATATGCAATCGTATGCCTAAATGGGTATCGCCGATAAGGACTACGTGCAATCGTACTCCACCGGTATTTATAATATTTTGAAAATCAGAATCATCCTACAAACTATATGGATGCATTTTGACAGTTAAAGAAGATGTTTTTTTATTTCTTAGAACCGATAAGAACCTAAAAGTACTTACAATATATAAACGGGTGCAGCCACTATTATAGATAGTGCTTTCTGTAATTCTGAGCGGAGTTCAGTTGATAGTGATGCTTTGTCAACAATATATAACATGTCATTTTATAGTGAAATAATTAAATAGGCTTTATTTATTTTTTTTAATAATATTTGTTTAATGTTGTACCGATTTTCTCAGTTTTTTTTACGTTATTCCCGGTTTCCCCATATTTTATCCCGGTTTTTCTTATTTGCTAGGAAAACTCTTAAGAAAATCAAAAAATGATTTTTTTAAAGTACCTCGCAAGTAAAATTTCCTTATAGAAACATTGCTATAATTAAAGTTGGAGCGAAATTGCTGGTAGTAAAGTTGAACATAGAAAAAAAGAAGTCCATAGTATATCGTAACTAATAAATTTCTTATATTTTCCCGGTTTTTTTTTTGGGGGGTTTTTCAAATTTGATGAGAAGATTCCTGAGAAAATCTAAAAATGACCTTCCTAGTAGAAAAGATGCGCACAAATAAAAAATAATAATAAATAAACATCTTTTTAGAATTATAGGCTTTTTCGCTTCACTCAGAATGTAGAGCTATAATTAACCTTTAAAGACAGGACATTTTTTTTATTTGATCATTAACTTCCTATACTCATGTAATCGTGACACCGTTCCTATTAATTATTCTTAATATTGTATCAATTTTATTGTATATTATATGTACATTGTAATAATTTTTTGAATTTGTGTATAAGAATCGGAAAACTAATCTGTACAAAAGCGGTTGGTAGTTGGGAACAAGAAGACATCACGAGCATCTACAAATATCCCGAAAGTATATTATTTTAATTTTATCTTATCATTTAACTTTTTGAATACTCCCCCAACCCCTATAATGTGAAAAGAGAACTTTGAAAAAAGTATTATTTTTAAATCTCTACCAAGTTCATAATATGTAGGTGTACCAGTGACAATTTTCAAATACCTACTTTTTTTTTTAAAAAAAAATTCTTCTTCTTAATAATATTCGACTTACCATAAAGTTATATAGATTTACCGCTATTTTCTATTAATCCGGTAATAATATCAGATTATTGAATATTACTTTTAAATAAATTCCACGTTTTTTTTTTTTATATTAACGTGTAATATATTACTCTCAAAAATATTACGAAAAACTGTTAATTCAAAATGTAATTATGTATTTATTTATAAAAGCAAAACAAGTCATTTTTATTAATATCAAATGATAAAGTAATCACACATCGTGAATTATGTGACCAAATTTGAGATATTAATTGTTTTTAATATTTTTTCAGATTCAAAAGAAGAAAGAGACACAATGTTCAACGCGTTGAAGAAAAATAATAACTTATTTAGCCGTTATTATTTAAATGAAGATTTCAACGAAATCAAATTTGACTTCGAGTTGATGGACGATATAACCGTTGGAGAAAATTTTAGGTACGAATTGAATAGTCAATTCAGTGGGCAGTATTTATTTTAATATCTACAATATCTGCATATTATATGATTAATGAACTTACTAAATCTTAACCTTTTTTTAAATAACATTTTGTATAACCTATTGGATGTAATAATAATAGTGTAAAACAATGAAAAAAAAAAGACAAATAATTGGAATAATTATTAACTAATAAGATCGTGTTATCGAACGTATAAAAACTAGAATCTTGTATGAACCGGGGTGGCCTGACCCAACCCTAGTTTCGACTGCTTCGAAGCCTAATTGGGATGATTCAGTCCTATTCATTTTTCGGATCGGATTAGTTCGGACTCTAAAATAGTTCATATTTTGGTTCAGGTTAAATTGAGTCACCCCTAGAACTCTGCACGGACTGGGCGATTCGAGTTTCGGCCCAAAACTGACACAACCAGTCTCGTTCGGAAAAAGTGCTAAATTATGATTATTTTTTGGATCGAATTGAGCTAGATTTTCGGATTTTGAAATCGGATTGGATTGGATTGAATTTTTATCGTGCCCGAGTAGGGCCCTAGTTAGAACGACCAAATCATTGTCGTCATTGGATTAGTGAATATACGTGTAGTCAGTTTATAAGTTGATTTATAGATTTTCTGAAATAAAATATTTATAAATTGAACCAGTTTAATAACTGGTAGTTGATACCTACGAGTATATATAATTTATAAATTTTGAATCCATAAATTATGCATTTCTACAGGTTCACTTTTGCTATTATTTTGATTGTTATTTATATGAAGTTTGAAAATAAATATTACATACTAATCATATTTAGACAACCGAAATGTTTGTTCTTAAACACAAAATTTGACAAAAAATGGAAATCCTAAACAAATTGTATGTCCACAAAAAGTACACCCCCTTTGGAGAATTCATATATCCAGTGAAGCAATTAAAGAGGGGGGTTAGGGGTTGTGACCTCCCAAATTATGTTTGTGAGTTTTTTTTTTAAATTCTTCGTAGTACGTTGTTACAATACATAAATAAGTGATAACATCTACGAAGTGTTTTGGTTATAACTTACAAGTTACTATAGACTTTATAGTATACTCTATGATATAGATTAATATATAGGGCTGGACCTATACCGATAACTAATGTTAATATTGGTACTATCGGTAAATCGGGTATCGGTTTTATTTTGAATTGATAGTGAAATCGATACGATGTATACAGTGCAAGTCACATATAAATTTGTATGCAATGACTGTGGTTATAGCAATAATTATATAGACATTCTGAAAAAACTTTTGTTAAATTACAACTTATATCGGTTGTCAAATTTTAAAAAAATACAAACATTTTGTTGTATAGGTTCATAAAATATCGAATTGGTTATTCGATTTATATCGGCAACGTGTATTGGAATATCGAACATCGGAAAAAAATATTTTTGGTTCAGTTCTAGTAATAGAACTATTAACTTTTTTTTGTTACCTGGAATTTCAGTTAGTAGGTACTAAGTACAAGTGTTCTATATTATATTTATTACATGAACTCTATGGTATTTGGTAATAAATTATTACAAACATGTTCAGCGTTAAGTTTTATGTTATCAGTGTGGTTTTATTATCAATGGAAATATCCGTTAAATGTTATAATATAATTATTAATAGAATAATCGAGCGTGTCCAACGTAAGTTTCTCGGTTTAGTCGCCTCCCGTTTCAATATCCCCTATCCACCGCACGATTACTCTCCCATCATCCTGGAATTACGCCTATCTATTTTTAAAATTAGTCTAAATTCTTTTTCAATATGCATTATCTATACATAAAATGTAAGCAATTTAAAGATTTTATTCATAAACTTAATTTAACCTTACCCCCTTCTCACTACCAAACACATTTCGAAATTGAGCTATCTATAACCATCGCATTACATGTTCGAATATGTATAGTTTTAAAAATATTATGTATAAATGTAAAAGAAAAAAAAATGATTTAGTGACATTCGGTGATAGTGGAACTAATTCAAAAACGATATTATAATATATATATTTTATATTTTTATTTGTATTTTAGAGTCGCGCTAAAAATTACAAATCGGGGACACAAGGATTATACTATCAAGGTGATTTTAAGAGTAGACACTGTGGATTACACTGGGAAAAACGGTTCAATGGTTAGCAAACATGAAGAAGAAATAGTTATACTTCATGACCCAGGTAAACTATACCTATTAGTTGATTGAACGAATTATATCGTGATCAACATCACATGAGACACTCAGGAAAATATTAACGTTTTTCAAAATTTGTTTTTTTAGAAATAAATAACTCTAAAATGATACATTCCAGTTATTTGTTGTAATCATTACTTTAAGGGATGAAACATTAAAGCCACTATATACTTTTGATTTTAAAATAGCAACCTATACAACAAATTCCATAGACAGAAGGAGTATTAATATTTAATTTAAATAAATTATGAATTTTTGATTTTCAACAACTCGTTGATGAGTTAGCTACTCCTATCTAAACTCAAAAGTGTATAAACATAAGTGGTGGAATATTATTAAAATGCCGCACTTCATGCCACCACACATATGACACACTACTACTTACCCTCCCGCAGAAACTTAAAAGTGGATTATTTTGTCAACGGATTGACAGACGTTCAAATACAAAAATTAATTTAATTAGTTTAAATTAATTATCTATTTCTAACTATTTATAGGATTTTTACTATAGGTGGGCATTTAAAAATCAAAAGTTGGTTATCTTTTCACCATTTTAATAAAGTTTAACAAAATCTTTTTAAAATATTTAAATTACTCTAGTAATTTAACATTTTAGAATTACTTATTTCTTAAATGTTCTAAAAAACGAATATTGAAAAAAGTTATTACTTCCCGAAATAATAAGTGTCTTACTACGTTATATTGATCACCAATATTCAACAAACAAATATTTCGAGTCAAATTAACTATTTTTCACTTTTAAATTAGACCAATCTAATATATTCGATTAAAAATGCTTCCCTTGAAAAACATACCTTGGTAAGAAAAAAAATCTATAGTAGTGTCAAAAAGTAAAATAATCACAAAAATGGCTTCCAACTACTGCATGATTGAAGTCACTTGTATAATATTGTATGACAGAAAACTATGCAAACAAGAATTTTTCACGAGACACAATAATTACATATAATTCCGTTTGCAGGATCGAACGTCCAGTACGTTGTTACCGTTCTGACTTACTCAGATTATGGAAAAGACGTCAAGAATCAGAACGTTTTCAACGTTTCCTGTTTGGCGAGTGTTATTGATACGGACTATGAGTACTTCGGGCAAGACGATTTCCGAATCCAAAAACCTGAAATCAAGTTCGGAGTGAGTATCAGGGCTGCAAAACAGTAATTAATTAAGTAAACATAACATTAATAATAAACGGTTTGAAATAATTTTTTTAATTGTTATTGTTTTTGTTTGTTTTAAACATTGTTTAAAACCAGACTTTTTAAAAAATATTTTGCTTTTTTAAAATGGTTTTTTCTGTAATATTAATATTAACAAAGAGGATTATTATTTATTAACTTTTATTGTATAAACATAATTAAAAAAGATGTCATAGGAGAATGGGGACGGTTGCAGTCACTATTATAAATAGTGATTTAATGTATACCTGTAAGCATTAATAAACCATTGCATACGAAAAAATGATTCTAAGCAGAGTTCCGTTGATAGTGGTGCTTTGTCAACAATATACATGTTTTCATACCGTTTTTTCCGGTTTTTCAAATTTGATGAGAAAACTCGTCAGAAATTCAAAAAATAATCTCTCTTAAGTACCTTCCTAATGAAATTACCTAATAGAAACATTACTATCATTAAAATTTGGAACAAAATTGCTGGTAAAAAAGTTGTGCACAGGAAAAATAAATAATAATATTTTAGTAATATATTTCGTACATTTCCCTGTTTTTTTCAGTTTTTTGTAAAACTATAAGCTCAGAATCTAAAAGACGGATATACTTCGCACGATGGGCTACTGTTGTAGGTGAGAAGTTAGGAAGGTGCAGGAGAAATTTAATATATAGCTGAAACTGTACGTAACGGTTAACCATATTGCTAGCAAAAAATGATTCTGAGTGGAGTTCGGTTAATGGTATTGATTTCTCAACAATACAATACAGGATGATCCACTAAGTGTGCGCACCACAGTTTTTATTTAAATTCTGATTTTTTAAATTTTTAAGTGTAGTTAAGATTTATATTTTCGAATACTTAGATTTTGCACAATATTTATGGAGTGCCCTGTGGTGATCCAACTTTCGTTTTTCAAACGAAAACCTATATTAAAAATTCCATAATTAGATGGAATATTTTTTTAAAAAAATTTTGGTGTTAACATTTTTGATTTCTGTCAACCCGTTGACGAGATATTTCATTTTTAAGTTTAGGTAGGAGGAGAGTAGTGGAGCACTAATAAAATGCCGCGCGCCGTGCCGTCACACAAATGATACACAATTTAACCATACAAATGGGGTGAACACGCTTAGTGAATCAGCCTTTATCCTTATATATAATATATAAAATAACATGTCTTAACTGATTTGACTGACTGACGGATTCATCATGGTTTAGCTCAATCCACTCGACTGATCGGGCTGAAATTTGGCATACAAATATTTATTATGACGTGAGCATCTCTAAGAAAGGATTTTTAAATATTTTACCTCTAAATGGGTAAAATTGGAGTTTTATAGTATTTTTGGTACGAATATCAAATTGTATAATTATAAATTATTATTTATTCATGGGTTACCTAGGTGACATTTATGACAATTTGGCTGTCGTGGACAAGAAAATTATTATTATTACTATTATTTACACTATTATTCAACAATACAAATTCTGAGCGGACTCAGTTGATAATGATACTTTGTCAACAATAAGTCATTTTATATTAAAATAATTAAATAGGCTTTATATATTTTCTTTAATAATATTTGCTTAATGTTGTTCCGATTTTTCCAGTTTTACTTCGTTTTTCCCGTTTTTTCTTCTTTTTTTTCTTATTGATTTTTCAAATTTGTTGAGAAAACAACTGAGAAAATCGAAAAATTACCTTCTCAGACCGATTTCCTAAATCTGAGCAAATCTTTTGGTAGAAAAAATAAATATCTTTATAAAACTGTAAGCTTCTTTACTTCATTCAAAATCTAAAATAATTACATATGCATTAAGTATTTTCTTTAATAACATTTGTTTAGTATTGTGCATATTTTCCCATTTTCCTCCGTTATTTCTCGGTTTTTGTCATTTATTGGGAAACTAAAAAAATAACCTCCCTAGAGTATCACCTCAAATCAGATTTCCTTTTAGAAAAAGTACTACTCTTGTAAATGGGAGCAAGACTTCCGGTAAAAAAATTGTTCATAGATAAAAAACAAAGAAATAAATAAACATTAATATAAAGCCAATACATTCAGCTAGTTGCATTTTAATTTATGAATTTATGATTTTACCTGACGATGAATATTTAATTCGAAACAGGTCGTACAATACATACAGGGTGATTTTTTTTATCTGGTAAATATTTCTGAGAACTTGAAGTGAATTTGATTTCTGTTTTTTCTCATAATTATAAAATCATTTAAGCTCTACTTTAAAATAATTTTTAATTTTTTACCCCTAATTCATATACCATAAATAAATGCATACTTTTGATTTTCAAATAGGAATCCTCTCTTTTGAAGATATGTTTGAATAGAGAATATTTTTCTAGATATTTTTGATATGCATCACACTAATATCAGATTTACCGTTTGTGATTTATAACAGTTTAAAGTCTATACCGTTTGAATAGGGAAGGGTGATAAATTACCTATCTATGATCCTTCTATACTCCTCCGATCTAAACTGTTGTAACTCATAAACGGTAAATCTGATATTAGTATGATGCATATCAAAAATTTCTAGAAAAATATCCTCTATTCAAATCTATCTTCAAAAGAGAGGATTCCAGTTTGAAAATCAAAAATATGCACTTATTTAAGGTATATGAATTAAGGGTAAAAAATTAAAAATGGTTGTAAATTTAAGCCTACACTATTCCATAATTATTAGAAAAAACAGAAATCAAATTCACTTAAAATCCTCTGATAATTACTGGTTAATGATAAATATCACTTAGTATATTATAATACTCTCGACAACACGCATTCATTTATTTATTTATATATTTATTTATGAATATTAACTACATAAGAATTTTGTTTTTACTTTTTTAGTATTTAGTTATTCTATTAATTAAGTTACAATTATTAAATTTTATGTTATATGTATTATTATTATTATTATTATATTATATAATGTCCTATTTCAGATGGAAGGTACACCGGTTGTGGGTCAAGATATTATGATCAACCTTTTGTTCACAAATCCATTGCCTGTATCAATGAAGAACAGCAAATTTATAATATCCGGCACTTCATTGCCAACTTTTGTAATAAAAGTCGGGTTCGTACAATATGACTGAATAGACTGAATCATAAGCCATTAACTGCATACAAATTAATAATTGAATTAACATATAACTATCATTATAATATCTTCATCTTTTTCTGGACTTAAAAACTCTCTTTGAGTTATTTCCACCACAAAAATATCATGTCATATATCCATGTCTTAGACTAAGTCTTTCCAGTCTACTACTCCCAGATTCCTTAGATCTTCTTTGAGACCTTCTTCCCCTGAGGTTTCTATTTCAGCGCTGCTCTTACATGATCGTCCTTAACTTTTGTATTCTCTTCGCATTATTTGATCTAATCATTTTATAAGTAGTCTTTGTCCTTTAATAAAACTGGCTACTGGTGCCAAATTTACTGTATCATATACATAGATACAAATACAAATTTTAACATGTAGAGGGGGGCTGGGAAAACATATAACACAAAAACCCGTGAAGGGTCTATCCCCCACATTACCCCCATTATCTGGATTTTATTTTTTATCAAGTTCATATACCTATCTTTAAACAATATGTAATTATTTTTTCATTTTAAAGTTATAAATGATATTATTTTATATAATATAAAATTACTTTTTATATTTTTCTTAGATATAAGCGTATGATACATTTAAAGTAATAATATATACAAGGTTGTGTATCATAAAATATTATTATTTATAAAAATATAGTAAAATAATTACGAATACTAAAAAGACTGATTTATGTCTGATTTATTTATTTACAATTGTAGTTTATGATCAGTTTTAACAGATTCATTTAATATTTCTTTATCAACCTTTCTTGGTTTAATCATAATACACAGTTCTTCATCAACTTCATTTCAAATTTTACTGAATCAACATAAATTTGCAATAATTCTTAAGAGTATATGATGGTTTTAAAATATTCAATTTTTGTACATAAAAATATATTTTAATTTTTTAAACTCATTTTATAATGATCAATAAAACAAGTGCTGTCATTAAAACCAAGTTTGAGTAAATTGTATACGCCAATTATTGTTTACCAAAGCTATCTGCTGAAACTGTTTTTTCTAAATTTTCAACGAAATTTTGAAAATAAATAGTTCCTCAGTAATCTTCTAGATAATTTACTTTTTGTTAAGTATCAATTTGCATATTTTCAGAACTAGTGATAGTTGATAGATAAAAATAAATAAAATACTGGCTATTTTTCTTCTTCGTTTTGACCCTTTTGAAAATAATTTAAAAATATTATATAATAATATCATTTATAACTTTAAAATATTGTTTACAGATAGGTATATGAATTTGATAAAAAAAAACAGACAGTTAATAAGGGGAATGTGGGAGGCAGACCCCTCATGTTAAAATGTAGAGACAATTATCATTAGTAAATACAATGTTGCAATAATTTTTTTAACTAGGTAAGAAAACGAAACAAAAATGACACAATTATAAGAGAAACAGATTTTTCTCGTGTTTTGATGTAATTGAGAACTTAACATGTTCATTATTTGTATAATGTCTTCTAATACAATGATATGAAAAGGAAATGAAACTGAATTCATTCATGTCATAATTCCTATACCTAAAATTATATTATGATTACCACACAAATATTTACTAAATAAGAATAGTTTATAGAGTATAATTTATTTTACCTTTAGTTTGGAAGCTAGCTCGGTCATTTAAACATTTAATCTCCTCCTTCAATACATTAATTATTATGGCTTTGAAATTGTGTTTCACTAATGTGCAATTTCACGCTCTACAGTTCCAACGAGTATCATAAATTTGGCTGATTGATATTTTTTTTTTACTGATGATTTTTGTTGACTTTCTACTAGTTTAAAATTATCCGTTGATTTAAAAAGTTTTCAGAAAAAAATCATAAGAAAATTGTAGCCACAGCGACTTGCAGCAATACCAACTTTGAAAAGAAAAATATTCTGATTATATTATTATAATATCCGATTGTATTAACAACAGAATAAGAATATTTATCAAACCTAAAATACCAAAAAAAAATTAAATAAATACAAAAAACTAAATTTTGTATTTTATATTCTATTCATATAATTTATTTCATAATTTTTTTTTTTTTTTTTGATGGGCGCTAATTCCCCCAACCCCCCATTTTCTTCTATGATCACACAGATTCCTATTGTTACTTCCTCATTAATTTATTGTTGTTCGTCATAAACAGGGTCACAGATTCACAGATTTTTCTCAATATATTGTTTTCGAACGACTTTAGTTTCCTTTCTGTCTCGTGAGTTGTCCGTACTACACAGACCTAATAATACGTAAGGCCTTAAGGACATTAGTCTTATGATAGCTGCGTAAAACATTATATTAGTTTTTCTAGACAATAGCTTGGATTAGAAACATAAGTGTAAAATATGTTTTATCTGCCTTATTAAAACAAATGCCGATCTCACTGGTCCGTTTATTTTTCGTGCTTACAAATTAATATAATTAAAATTTTATTATAAGGGCTGTGATATAATTGTCAATGATTAATAAACTATATTTTTTTTCGGTATGTTCTGCAGTAAATTAATTTCCTATAAGCCCGTCATTGTGCCATTTAAGTTTACTCCTCTATCGAAGGGTAAACATACAATCACAGCGAAATGCACCTCCGATCAACTGCAAGACATCGAAAACTTTATACAATTTATGGTGTAAGGAGACAAGATCAAATTTTTATCAATGATTATGTTTTCAAAATGTTATAATAATTATTAAACATAATTATTCAACTATTAGTAGTAACATGTAATTTTGTTTAAATTTTAAAAAAAGGGTTTTTTTTGGAAAACAATTGTTTTATCTTAAATTATAATATATTATAATTTTTTAATGCAGCTAGTAAGCCAACTATTTACTTAAGTTATATATTTTACTTAAGCAATATACTAACGTGTTAAATAAGATAAACAAATAATTTAAGACAAAAACTTGACTGATGTTATAAATATATATACATATATATATATTATGCACCATTATATACCATTATACGCATTATACACTTACATTATATATTAATTTATGTAATAATAATAAATACATTTTCGTTAAATTCTTAATTATTTTATTTAAATCTATGTATTATAATGAAATAATAATTTTTATTCTAGTTATAAAACAATAATAACTTATAATATTATTATTTAATTATTAATTACTAATTACTTATTTTATTATATACGTGTACTTTTTTTTTAATCAAGATTTTCACTAGAATTTACGATACGTTTAGAATACGTTTTTACTCACAATTTGTGTAATAATATTATAATATTCAAAACCTGTTTTCAAGTCGATACAACATAAACACGCAATACCATTATTATTTGCGATATTTCATTGTTATAATAGTTTATTTATATTTTCGTTAACTTTAAAATACATAATAATACGCACGAACAATTGTTACGGGACGTTTGGATACAGTATTTTGACGAGAAGAATGTACAAGCGCGTTTAGGTCTACAAATGGTTTTATTAGAATTTAAACAAAACACGGTCAAAAAAATTATATTCATAAGTGAAAACCGTACGACACCAGAACCCGGGTCAACAATTAGTTGTAATTATCAGGTATAAGCGCACTATGGAAATGACTGAACGGGTTGGCGTCGAGGTGACCGGTACTCCTCCTCGCGCGTCGATGGTGGTATCGACTTCCGACTAAGCTAAACCGTCTCTTGGTGATGATCCCGGTCTCCTAATATACGTTTGTCGCCTCGATCGAGCCCTAGGTGGTGGTGGACGCTGCCGCCGTTGTCTGCTGGTGGCACGTCGTCCGTACCCGTACACGTTTTCCCATTGGCCCGTGAAGACGTATCATCCGTTGTTGCCTGGGAACGACGTCGGTTTACCACACCCGTATTAACAGCCCTGACGTGCGTACACTTAATGCGCGACCGATTTCATATCTTGTCGCGTGGAATTATTAATTTATAATTAACAAACTTCAACACGTGAAGGACACAGTCCTTAACACAATGTGTTGCATTTGCACAACTCGATGGGTCAAAGTGTCCAGAAGAATCTACAATTACAAAACGATTAATTCGACTTTTTTCCATAACAATAAAATAAAAAGTTATTTTTGGATACATTTTTTTTTACCAAAACATAAGAATGTATTTAAATACACATAATTATAAATATAAATATTTGTAATCCTTTTCCCTATGAGAAAAAAAAACAGAATTTGATTACCTTTGTTATTTCCGGAGTTATCAAAATGGGTATATCCTTGTGGGACATCTATATGTATTCCTCTCGAACAACGAATGCTCGGTTATAATTATTGAATAACTAGCCTTTTTCAATAGAAAATACCAAGTAATTGAATGCGTTCAAATATTTTGTCACACTGTTATAAATATAAATAATTCTACTTGGGTATGTTGTGTGAGCATAACATTACAACACTACCCAATATGTTTACTGCATCAGCGGAACTACTAGCAACTTGAACCCCTACAAGGTTTAAACGGTGTACATAACACCATACATTCACAGCAGGCAAGTTTACTTCTTGTAAAAACGCTTACAAACCTTCATATTGTTCTCGTATGTTGCTATATCTCTAACCAATAAGTAATAATTTCAGGTTTACTTCATTTTTAAAACAAATATCTTGAACTATTGAAAAAAGCTGACGACCCGTAATTAATGGCGATTTCTTTAGTTATAATATTATTTCATACAATATTACACGGGGATTTTTTCGTCAAGCTAACATAACGTACAATGAAGGTTAATTGTTCATGCCTAAAAGAATGAAAAGTCGAATTAATTGAAATAATCCAGCTGTTTTAATCCCCATAGCAAAAAAAATATTTCCATAATATGAACATAATATTTTTAGCACAATTTTAAATTTGTCAAATTTTTTTCGATTATTATTAAATAATGGTGTAAATATTATCGAAATAACTATTTTGGATATAGATACAAATAAAGCATTTAACAAATAAAATAATTAAAACTATTGTATTCCATCTATAAAAACTACTTTTAAAAGGACGTCCGGGAATAATGGAGACGGGTGCAGCCACTGTTATAGGAAATTTAATGTACATCTACAAGCAACTATAAACCATTGCTAACGAAAAACGATTCTGAGCGTAGTTCAGTTGATAGTGATGCTTTGTCAACAATATAATATATATGTCCTAAATACCTATTAAGGTAAAATAATTAAATATACACTAAATATTTTCTTTAATAATATTTGTTTAATATTGTGCCGATTTTCCCATGTTTTTTCCGATTTTTTCTATTTATTGGGAAAACTCCTGGGAAAATTGAAAAATTACCTTATACAGAAAAAAAAGGCAATGATATTTTTTTACTAATACTTACATTTCGTACATTTTCCGTTTTTTCGACATCCTGGTTTTTCCCAGATATTATAAAAACCGCCTGAAAAATCAATAAACGACTTTTCTAAATTATCATGAAAATAAAATTTTCTTTCAAAAAATAAGCTACACTTGATACATCGGATCAAGATTTTTGATAGAAAAGTTTGCACAACAAATCGAGGGGTGTTTTTCGAATAAAATAGTCCGAGGAAGCGATAGCTTGGGTCTTTAGGTACATCCAAAATGAATTTGTTTGTTCCTTGTTTAGGTAAAAGGGAAAAAAAATGCAAACTATTTTTTTTTTTTTTTTGTCATTCTAGTTGGAACTCGGAATCCCTAGGGTCATAATAAATTAGATCACGATAAATATACTTTAAGAAGAACAATATACAGAGTAATCAATCTATCATAAGACACTCATCTCGGAAAATATTAACTCTTTTAGAAATTTGTTATATAGAAAATTTTATTAATAAGCACCTCTGCAATTTTACATTTATGTTATTTTTTGTCATCCTAATTTTTGGAAGTGAAACGACTACCTACTTTTGGTTTTAAAATAACAACCCATATTAAAAATTCCATAAATAGATGGAGTAATACTTAATATAAATCTTAGTTTTTAAATTTTAAATTTTCGTCAATCAATTGACGATATGTTCCACTTTATAAGTTTAGGTCGGGGGAGAGTAGTGGTACATTATTAAAACGCAATACGCTGTGCCGCCACACAAATGATGCTCCACTCTTCTTTCCTGATCCAAACTTAAAAGTGGAATTTATCGTCAACGGATTGACGGAAATAAAAAATTTAAACACCAAAATTTATTTTAACTACTACTTCATCTATTTATGGAATTTTTAATATAGGTTGCTATTTGAAAATCAAAAGTAGGTAGTCGTTTTACTACCAAAAATTAAGGTGACAAAAACTAGTGTGAACGTTAAATTTTAGAACAGCTTGTTTCCTAAATGTTTTTTAACATAAATTTCGAAAAAAGTTATTACTTTCCAAGATAATGAATGTTTTATAATAGATTAATTACTCTGTAATGTTATTTAACACAACATATAATATCCGCATAATATCAGAACTTCAAAAAACTATAATTACGAAACTTAGTCAGTCCGCTAATTCTGACTCCACCATCATTTTTAAATAGTCAATATACATATGTTCCAAAAAAAAAAAAAAAAAAATTGAAAAATTATATTTGTTCCACATCATTTTTTTGTCAAAATTTTATATTAAAATTCCCTTATAAAAAAAAAATACCACATCAAACTAAAATTTTTTTTTTTCACTTAAAAATAAAAACATTTCATATTTCATAAAGTATGTATCCTAAAATTAAAGTTTTAAATAGGTTATTAACAAAAGCTATAATTTTTATTTTTGTATTTTATAAATTAATTTAGAATGGTACACCGAACACTTACTTTTACTCCTGATGGGAACATAGCAACAATTTGTTTTCCAATGCAATTAGTTTAATTAACTGATATCGATAATTTATTTGTTATTATATAATTAATGAAATTATCCACTAGTATAGACCTTATGTTGTCATTAGATTTGTTATTTGCTTTATAATAATTTATTATCATTGCTCCTGTAGTAGATGAGTTCAATTGAGTTTGTTCAGAATCATTTCAGTTTTGCTGACAATTGGATCATGATTTTTCAAATGATTTTTAAATTGATGTCTTAGCGAAAAAGTACGAGGTATAGAAGTAGTATACATAGGTATTTGATTTTTGATGTTTCTTATTTTAATTAAAGTATTTAGGTGTATTTTAAAAATAAAGAGTAAAATTTAATTTTTAAATTGTACCAACTCGGAAAACTCTCCATTTTCAATATCTCTGAAGATAAACATTTAAAGGAGAAATGTCTACAATCTTTAGGCATAGATCATTTTAGTGCTAACGAGGTTATTTGCGAAACACATTTTCGGGATGACCTAATAATAGGATCAAATGATATTGTTCATAAATTATGAAATGTTATTTGCTCAGTAAATATATTTGGCATGCAGGTGTGGAAAGGTTCATATGAAAAAACGTATCTACAAAACACAGAAGACAAATTTAGTTGAAAACTTAAAATTAAAAATTAATAAAATAGTTTAAGAGAAAAATTAGAAATTAGATGAAGTTGTTGAACATAATTATATAAAGGCTGAAGTAATAGTTTGTCTAATATATTATTTAACTGGTATGTAACAAAATATTGTAATACATTTACTATTAATTATCATAATATAAAATATTATTAAAAATTAAAAATCACATAATTACTTTTATATGGTATCTATCTAAACCAAATTTTGAAATACATTGGTGACTGCAATATTTGTAAGTTAGCTTTTGTAACACCACAAGATTATTCTAAAAAAATGTGTTCTGCATAAGTTAACATGAAAACGAAGGGACGATTGATACATACGAACAGTTTTGTTTTTGACCAAATCAAAAAAAATTATGTATAGTTTCAGAAAACATTCTTTATCTATACATGTATTTGAACTCATCATCACAGATTTAATGTCTGGAGAAACAATACATTTCCCATGTCCAAGTCGTGGTGGAGATATAATTTAATTTAAGGCGATGTATTATATTAGAATGAGGATGAGGCAATTTTTACAAGAAAATAAGAAAAAAAAATAAATATGACAGAAATTAAAAAAAAATTGCCAAATTAATTGCCGAACATTAACCTATTTACAAATGACGTCATATCTAAGTATAGAATAATATAAAGAGTCGGCTATTTAGTTGAATATATTGTGTATCTGTGGTTTATGGTGTAACGGGCCCAACTTAGGAATAGGACTTGAAGGGAAAATGTTGAAATAAATTAAACTCTAACTCGAGTTTACAAATAATTAATATTTTCACACAAAAGTATTACAAGTCCAATAATAAAATCTTCACAAATATATTAAGTCCAATAATACAATTTAAAACATCAAAAATATTCCAAGTCTAATAAAATAAAATTCACAAAAATATTCATAAAACAGAGGGACACGAAGTTGGTCGCATTTGATCGTGGTGGACTTATCTAATTAGACGATGTTTCGAGCGGAGTTATATATGCTCGGGGAGACCTCCGCAACCCGTCGTTCAAATCACGGCTATCTACATTATTTCTTTATTACACATTTTGTTTATTATCTGGGAATAAATTATCTAAAGATTGCGTTTGTTATAATAAATTATATGTTTAATTTACAACCGTTGTTTAAGGTCTAACCACGCTCTTGGTATATTTATTGTATTCCGGTGACTCAAAAGTTTTGGCAATGAAACCGTAAGAAAATTAATCAAAACGGTGTCTTGTGATTTTTCGATTAAATCATTTTTTCTGGTAGAAAACGTCGTCCGTGTTTTTATAAAATAATGAAATCGTGAAATTGTACGTTTTTACTATTTTTTTTTCCCCCACTTAAGTGCTTTTATTTAAAAAATGATGTCAAAAATCAAAAAAATGACTTGTTTAAAGTACAGTAAAGGATAATTTGAGCTAACAAAAAAGTAGCTACACATAAAAATCGGCTTAAGTTTACTAGGAAAAAACATATCCACAGACTAGAACAAAGAAATAAAAAAAAGAAGAACAAGAAAAATTAAACAGCATTGTAAAACCAATAGCTCTACGCTTGGAATCTAAAAAATTATTGTATAGAAAATTAAGATTATTCATAATTATAAATTAATAATAAACAATATTTGATAGTAACATGTGAAAAAAAACAAATTACACATTTTCACCTCAATTTTTATACCTCGATGAACCCGTTAAATAAAAGTTTAAGATAAATAAATTTAGAGGAATTCGAGTTAACACCCACGACGAGAACATATCGAATAGATATACGTAGTTAGGGAAATAGAGTACAAATACAATTAGAACCAAATATGAATGTTGAAAATCCGAAAAAAATTACTGAAAGCAAAATGCAAGCGTTTTCTTTTACTGAGGCGTTAAAAATGACACAGAAATATTATGAGGAAACGGAAATACGACCGTTTATGGATATTTGCAAGATAATAATGAATACAGTAGAATCTATTCAGTTATAATATTTTCCTAAAATGATCGCGTCCTCGAAATTGACGGACAGAGCATACAATGTGGTATAGTCAAGGCCTGATTTGATGAAATTAAGGCCAAGATCACTAACTTATTTGAGACCTCCCAAGTCAAACATTTTCCTGAAGAACATCTGCAAAGCATAGAGAAAGAAACGTTGACAATCAAAAAATAATAAACTTTTGTTTATCGTGTTAAATACCTAACTCATATCTCATAAAATATTTGTACATTATTTGATGCACTACGGATACTATTTAGTTACTTGGTTTTGTCTTGTATAAAACCTTTATTTTCTTTAATACAATTCGTTTTCCCGTTTTTTCCCATTTATTGGGAAAATCAAAAAATGAGCTATCATTGTAAATCGGAGCAAAATTGCTGGCAGAAAAGTTGTTCCATAATATTTGTTTACCTACATTTCGTACATTACATACAATAACATAATATAATTATATACAAATTAATATTCAATATAGGTACTCAATATTGTTAAAATTATTTTATTTTATTTATGATCACACATTAAACATTTTGTAGATAATATATATTTGTAAGGAAAATAGTTATAAAAGTTTGGCAATATCATTAACATAACTGATATTATTATTAATAATAAATGCAAATAGGAATAACTTGTTATATTTCTTTATAGTAAATAATGGAATGCTGAAAAAAGTTTAAAGGTTAAACATATTTCACCATACAATGTTTATAGTATAATATTACAATGTATAATAATACCTATATGCAGTGTCAGCCTGGTCATGGACATGATTACAACAAGGATTGTTTGAAATGTACTGTTGAATTTTTATCTGGTTGGCTGGTCCCTGGTGATTGATGAAAACAATTTTATATGGACCCATTTATCGAAAATTAGACCTTTTGTAATTTTAGGGCTCAATTTTTCTTTACAAGGGAAAATTTTCTGGGCCTTAAGTTAAGAAAAATTGGGGTGTCTTAAAATATTTATGTGTGCATATAGTTTTTGTAGGATTTTAACCAATATTCTTTACATACTGTAATTAGGAGTCAAACACTACTATTAGACTACTAAGTTTAACATTTCTGCCTTGCTTGGTTTCAATGGCACTAGCAGCATATTTTACCTTACAAAACAGCTAGTAAATATACAATATACGAATGTCTATAGCCCATCTGCAGTGTTTTTAAAATAGCCTAAACTTTTAAGACCCTAGAAGTTTTACAGCTTCTAAAATTAAAACAATGCTTGTAAAATCTTCGAATACTATGTGTATGACTGGATTGGATCAAGAAGTGGCTGATTTACAGGGGTGTACCTGAGGGCCTATCTCCAAATACCAATATAATTTCAATAAAATATCTTTAAAAAAAATAGGTATATAATAATAATTACTTTTAAAAAACAGTTTTTTCAGGACCCCTCCCAGAAAATGTAGAAAATCTCCAACTGTCAACAAGTAATTTATTGTAAACAACTTTCTGTTCAATATGAAAATGTTTCACCACAAATGCCTGAATATACTATTGGCTGGCCACAAAGATGGAAGTGATAAAGATTATGATGAAATATTCAAATAAGTAAATAGAAATAAATACAACAAATGTATTTACTGTGTGTTTTTAATTATAAGGGAATTATCATATCAATAAAATGTATTTGTTATTTATATTTATAAGTTTAATTTTTTAAATTAAAAACAAACTTCAATCAAAATCACATAAACCTATTAATGGCTATAAAATAAACAATATTTATTGATACTCGGAAATTGATGAGACAATATACATCAAACAAATTTAAAAATTTAATCACATAAGAGTATAAATATTTGTGTTTTATTATTATTATTATTATAAATATTATAATTGTTTAAAAATAATTAATTCAATAGTTATTTATATAATTTAAATAATTTTTTATTGTTATCAATGTATTTACCTAATATTATGTATTACTGATTATAATAGAAATTGTAAATCATAATTATGTAGTTAAATTAATGGATACTTTACACCATAGATGGCCACTATTGTAGGTCTAAAGTTGGGAAGGTTAAAATATGATATTAAAATCTTTAAAAAAAAAATGTTACTTTACACTTAATATTTTTTTTTTTACCATTAAGTATACACTTTAATGAACCTCCTGTTACATTTTCAAACATTTTGATATAAAAAATGTATTCACAGAGTACTTACTGAATAAAAATTATGTAAAAAACTTTCAAAAATTAAAATGTCTATTAATAGCTCAAAAATGGATTAACTGTTTTGAAAGTATTACTACATCTAAATAAGACAAATATAAGTTTTTGTTTAAATTTCAAATTCATACTACTAATTTTAACTGAATAAGAACAAAAACAAAATTGAAAATGTGTTATTTCATTACAATATTATGTAAAAAATATTGAGGAGCCTTTATTTTATTATGGGGCCCAATAAAAAAATGCACCAAGGACCTTTAGTATACCAGGCCAACACTACCTATATTTCCTATACTAAGAATCATACATCTTTTCAGCAGTTTAAGAACTGTATTCTAAAAGCAAAATAGTATGTGTTCAAATGAACTAAATATTAAAATGCATAAAACTAAAGTATACTTAATACTTTACGACGAAAAATTAATAAATACAATATAAATGAATATTGATATTTATACAAACGCTTATTTAAATACCAAAAATCAATCAGACCTGAAGTAATTAAGATAAATCTTAAGAGGAACTGGTAATGGTAGAGAGTTAATTTTATCTTTTAAAAGTAAACTTAATTTATTTTTTTTGCAATCACTTTGAAACTTATACCTGATTAAATCATTATAATCTATTTCATCATTTTCAGTATTGTCACCTGTATTGGTCATAATAGTCCGAAAGGAATTAAAAAGTTGTCTTGCATTGATTTCTTCGTCCACATCAAAATGCTCATTATCAACATCTACTTCATAATCAGTAACTGATGGAGATCTATTAGGCGATGTGGCCCCTGAGGATGTTGATACACTTGTGCTCTCTTCAGTAGATGAATCAGTTTTTGTTTTTTTTTGATTTTCCATTTCTAATACACATTGTGAACATCCAGCCTCTGGAGACTTTCTTTTAGAAAATCCATACGATACATATATAGTTGATTCATCATTTTCCTTTTCTACATCCTCATTACAACCAACTTCCTCATCAATATCAATTTGTTTATATTTTTCTCCATCACTTTTATTATCATCCCTGGTTTCTTGATTGTCTAGTTTAATATCATGATCAATTTTCGTATCATCAGTTATCTTATCTTTTTCTCCAACATCCAGCTTGTTATCAACATTAGTATTTCTATGTTTTTCTTCACCATTAAGTTTTTCTCCATCGGCAAGATTATTATCATCATGGTTTGAAATATCATTTTCTGCACCTGCATTATCATTAGTCGAATTCTGAACATCATAATGGACATCATCATCTTCAGATTCACCAAACATAGAACATGTTTCACTTATACTTTCTAAGTCATCTGTATCATCAAAAGTGTCTAATGGAAAACGCAAATAAAATATTTGTTCTTCATTTAAATTAAATTGTGAACGAATACTTTCAGATAATGTATCACGGAGACCAAAAATTTTCTTCTCAGGATCAGAAACTATTTTACATTTAGTGAATATATCCATATCAGGGAATTCTTTTAAAATATTTTCATAAAAGAAGGATCTTATAGCTGTTCTGCATAAATCTTTTAAAGACACTGGTTCAATAGGAGCTAGAAAAATTATAACAAATTACAATTTACCAGTTTAAAAAATTTAAATGTTTAACTCACGAAACTCGATTTTATTTAGACCAGATCCTTCAGGCACAATAAGATCTGTGTGTGCTACTTTAAATAATTCAATTGTATCAAATCTAAGTTCATCTATCCTTGTTATCCTTACAAGAGAATTGTCTAATGGCATAACTAATACTCCACCAATCTAAAAAAATATCCAACAACTTTAAATTATTTTCTATTATGACACCAATAATAAAGTAATATAGATAAGCATCAAAAGGTCAATTGGGTATAAAATAATAAAATTATTTAGTTTCAATATTGAATGCAAAGATTAGTCATAAAAAATAATAATTAATAGTATGTTATAAACAAATTATTACAAATAATGAATATTATATGAGAAATTGTACCTTTACTCTAGATGTTTTTATTTTTTTACTAATTAGATTAACTTAATACAAATATATTAAATCTGCACATTTTTTTTTAATGGTATGTAAAATTGTATTCAGATAAATCAAAAATAAAACTATTAAATTAGGAGATAATTTAAAATTGGAAACTTAAAAAAAAAAAAATTCTGCTGTTATTAAAAAAATTAGCAAACCGATAAAATATTAATGAATATTTCTTCTATGGTTTTAATGGATTTGCAGCCATCTCCCATTCTTCCCTATTATCTGCTTTTTTTTTCATTTCTATATATGAGTTGCGTTCTTGGTTCTTTATTATCTGTTATATATCCAATAATCTTGGCCTTCCCCTCTACATTTTCTTCTGTAATCAGTTTTAACAACCTATCCATTAATTTCTTCTTCTAACTATATGTATTTCTCTATAAGAACTTTCTTTCAATTTTTTCCAGCACCTCTTCATTGGTTACTCTGTCCATCCAACATACACTTAACATTATTCTATAGCACCAAATTTCAAACCACTCCAGTCTTTTTGTTCTCTTACTCATAATATCCAGGTCTCACACCCACAACACCATACTCCATATACTTGTCTTAATTAGTTTTTCCTTATTTTTAAGCTAATGTCTCCTGATGTAAGTAGAGTTTTCTTGTTGTTAAAGGTTATTTTGGTTTGGCTGATGTGTACTCAATATATATATTAATTCATCTACTTGTTTTAATATTTGGTTTCCTCTGTATTCTGGTTTTTTTACTCTTCCACATACAAGCACTTTTGTCTTTTTCACATTAATTTTCATGTGAAAATCCTTAATAAATTACTCATTCATGGTTTTGATTAGTAGATCCAAATCTTTCTTATTTTCAGCAATTGAAGCTATGTCATCTGTGCAACATTCTAATTTTCTGACCATTAATCTTTATCTCTAGATTTGTAACTTATTTTATGTTATCTATTGTTTCTTTGATTTATGCTTTAAATATAATGAACATAATGAATATTATGAAAATTATTATTATTATTATTCAGATAATTGAATGTTTGAATGTTAATTTATAATGCACTAATAAAAAACTGGATGTACAAACATTTTATTGAGCCAATGTTGAATTTCTCCAGAGTATTTAAAAAAAGTGCATATCATTTTTTATCACTTAATAATATTCAGTTATTAATCAATTTTAAAATCTTTATTCTGAAAACTTTTCTAAAAACAACCAGAATACATAAAACAAGTGAGTTGTATTTTGAATTGTTTTATTTAATCAGTATGAGATAACAACAATATTATACTTGCTGACTTTGCTCTACTATTAAAGTTAGACTCTAGAAGTCTTCTTGAAATTATGTTCTCAGATAGAAAACGAAAATGTACACATCGTAGGAACTGAAATTAACAATTAATTAAAAAATTAGTAGTACCTTAATAAGAGACTTCATAAATTCAATGTGCTCAGGTGGTACACCAGGTCTACAATAAACTCTATCATAGAAACTTGTTGATAATAATTCACATGCATTACCTAAACGGAAAACATTAATACATAAATATTTATTCATACATTATTAATTAATACAAATAAATATACCATGGATAAAAATTGGTTCACAAAATACATGATAATCAATAGCAGCAGAATTTAATTTAAAATCGTCCATTTTTTGATTTGCAATATCAACTAATGCCTTTTCAATTTCAATACCATGATTAACACCAGTTGAACCTAGAAAACAATGTAACAATGTTACAACGTTAAAATATTGAAAATACATAAAATAAATAATAATATGTATGCTTACCCAATAAAAGCCCAGCCAAAGTATTAAAATACCCATTTTCAGACCCAATATTCAAGAACTTGTGACCTGGACGAATAATCAAGCTTTCTAGTACTGTAGAAGAAATGCATGGTGATACAAAATTAAATTCCTTTGAACGTAATTTGCAGGCAAACAATTTTGAATTGACAGCTCGTATAGCTTTTTCCACTGTACTCGTATATATGTATTCTCTATCAATTAAAGAATTGATAAGCTTATCACTGTTGCTAACATAAATTGCCTTTAAAGCCATTTTTGTTGAAGTGAATTAATCTGCCAATGTAATAAATTGAAAGCCTAAAATAGCAAAACAAAATAAAGTTACATGTTATTGAATTAGTGATTACTTATTAAAACTAACTTATGTAAAATTGACAAAAATAATAAAAGATGTTTTCATTTTCTGGGATTCATATTTTTGGTATAAATCTAGTTTAGCACCCCCTCAAAATTTCGAATTTTTTTTTTCCGGTTACATATGTCAACATTTTAAAAATTAATGTTTTTTGCGGAAATCATTTGTTTTAAAATTATTGCCTTATGAAGTTCACCATTTTCTGAGTTTTACACATTTTTATAGGGAGCAACTATACTTGTGAAAATATAGGTTAGATCAGTGGTTTTCAACCTGGGGGTCGCCAATACTAATAGACGAAATGATTTTTCCATTTTATTTAAAAATAAAATAAAGTTAATTGTTTATTTTGTTCTAAATCTATACAATAACACGCTGAGAAGCGTAATCTTATCGATAATATGTTTATCGATGGCTTATATAGAATATAGATTATTAAATTGTTATCTTATAGTCACAAATTCACTATACTTACGTAGGTATATTTGAACAATTTCAATATTATAACTTTATAATGATTAATAACACTGACAGAAGTGACAAACCAGGATTAATGAAAACAGGATTGAAAGACCCAGCAAAAATCCCATATTGTATGTAATTATTTGTATCAGTTACAATTAGTAGTGATTGGAAATCACTATTACTATATTTCTTGAAAGGGAACTTTTTTTTTGTTTTATAAACCTTATAAAACGTAATACCTACCTTAAATATTAATTCTAACAATATAATATAGGTAACAATAATTTATTGACATTTGACGTTTTGAATAAGAGAATAAGAAACTATAGTTACACATTTTATTTTACTATAGACTAAAATATAGGTAACTAATTACTAATACCTATAACTACAAATTATTAAATATTAATTCATTAGGTGTGTTTTGGCGTTCTTAACAGTTTAGTAATATAGTGAGATAGTTAAGTGTATGGTTACACATTCCGGTTATTACACAGTAGTATATAAACTATATAGGTATAACACCAAAAACGAGAATTAAAATTCGAATTTATAAATTCACAAATATCACGTGTGCTTATGTAGTCGTGTTTATCAAAGTTAATTTTTAGTAACCAAAAATTGGTAAACACTCGAAACAAACACGAAATAGACGGTTTACAAAATTCACAGTTTACTAGATAGAGTAACTAGTCCTTTGAATTTCGGGTTTCTACTGTAATATTATAATATAATTTATTTCAGCAATTTTTTTTTTTTTTGTTATTCTCCATTATAAATGGTTAGGTTGGTTGGGTTGGTTAAAATTGTGATATCAAACAAAAAAACAAAAATTGAAAGCACACATCTTCCTCTTCTACAAGAATTGCTTATAGGTGGTATATATTTATTGTAAAAAACGAATATGTATAGGTACACCGTTATAATCCTAGAGTAACCTTAAATAACCTAATAGGTTACTACAGGTGGTTCACCTATTTATAAATTAATAAAAGTGGATTATGACGTCCATGTAGATTAATTTAACTTTCCTTATTTTGAATGTTTTTGTAATTATATTATTTATTATTTATAAATTATGGTTTTTTAAATTTAAATTATAATATTTCTCTCCTTACGTATTTTTTTACTATTTTGTAATCTTGATTTTTTTGCAAGTATTATTATTGTTTATACACTTATATACTTAATACTGTAATAATATATAATAATAGTAACTTAATAAAAATATATCGCCGTAAATATTAATAGATTTTCCTATAACTTTGTTTTCCGCTTTGTTTCCAAAATTTTTTTTGAAAACCCCTTGACAAATTAAAAAATGACCACTCTAATAAACAAACTAGATAAAATTTCCTTCTAGAAAATGTGCTACACTCTACATTGAAACGAGATATCTTTTCGAAATGGTTTACAAACAGAAAAAAAAACTTCGTACGTGGGTGCAGCCACTGTTGTAGGTGAAAAGTCAGGAAGGTAGTATACAGAAGAAATTTGGTTTTTCCGATTTATCACGAAAACTACTTTAAATATCAGAAACTACTTCATCTGAAAATAGCTATACCTATATTAAATGAAAGAAAATCGATCCCATGTTATTTTCCGATTTGGAGCAATACTTCTAGTAAAAACATTAAGTTAATGAAATCGGTAACGACGCGGCGCGCCGTAAATATTTGCCGTATTACCTACAATTTTCTTTGAGGTTTTTTCCCAGTTATTTTTAATACCCCATGGAAAATCATAAGATTTCCTTTCAGAATAGGTACTACACTCTATACATAGGAGCAAGAATTTTGGTAGAAATTGTTCACAGTAGGTATATAAAAATAATAAAACCAATAAAACTCTCACTACGCTCCAAATCTAAAAAAAAAAAAACCGATACAGGAGACGGGCGCATTACTATTGTTGGGGAAAGTTGGAAATGTAACATGTACATAAATTTATTTAATTTATACCTGTATGCAATGGTCAGGCATTAATAATAAAATACGATTCTGAGTGAAGTTCAAATATAGGTACATATTTTGAAATGCTATAAATGTTACGATTTGTATCAACATTTTTATGTTAAATTGACTTACGAGCCCAATGATGATTGGGCTCGTCATAAAACGTACCTTATACGAATATTCAAAATCTCCCCTCCCCCCCACGGTTATCTTGTCCTAGATTCGCTCGTGCCTGGATACTAGATTAAATATTTCTAGCCCCTATTATTGCATATAGTTTAGTCTCTAATATATAAATACTTCTTTTAGTACATATTTGAATATTATTTAGCATATAACTCAGTTGCGAGCTCTGAACTTATGAGTTTAGTTTACATTTTATTTTGTAAACGTAATTGTATCGACAACAATTCTATAGAAATCCATTTATAAAAAGGTACTAAATAATATAATCGAATCATAAACGGCTGGGACACGAAAACAAAAATAAAATTGTGTTATTGCATTAGTTTTAATATGGAAGGGGGCCGGAAATTACCTACGTATAATCAAATAGTGCATAATAATAATAATAATTAATACTTATTATAGATTTATTTTAGAAAATTGTAGCCATATACTTACCTAGACAATTCGCAACTATGGATTCTATTTCATTAGGATATTGCAGCAGTATTTTCCGGAATCCGCGAACGACGGACGTTCTCGACAGACGAGTTTGCGTACAGCACAGCGGAGTAGGTATACTTGGGTAAATCGATTTTTATTATTATGCGAAAGCGAAGGGTGCGGCGACGCGTGCGCGCGTCCGGGAGCTCGAACGATTTTTCGTGGCGAGCAAACTGGCCGGGGATGACATGGCAACCAGCGAACATTATATTATAGTTATATAGGTAGTGTATTTTTGATAATCGATTATTACAGAACCGTAGGCAGAGAGTAGAAGTGGAACGACCGGCGCAATTTTGCATAACAAATCGGGGTTTATTTTCAATTAAAAGTCCGACATGACGGCCAAAGTCACCTAAACGGAGCAATTGTTGAATGAAATAAAATAGCATTTAAAAAAAAGTTTTTTTGATAATTGCATTTTGGGTCTAATTGGAGCATTTAAAAGGTCATTTTTTTGATTTTCTAAGGGGTTATCATTAAAATCGTGGAAAAAATTATCGGAAAGGTGGACAAATATTTACGGCATTGTCGATTTCATCATTTTCAATTTTTACAATTTATGTTTACCACCAAAAATATTTATACAACCGAAAAAACAAAATTTTTGATTGCATTCAATAATTAGTTGGTGTGTACGAAAGCCATTATTTTAATTTTCCAAGCGGTTTTCATGAAAAATTGAAAAAACCAAAAAAAACGGACAAATATAATATATCGTTAATACTTCATTATTTTAAATGTTTACGAATTATGTTTTTTACCTGACATCTCACATCTAAAGAAAAACGATAAGAAACCTTTTTTGTTGTATTTTAAATCTAGTTGCGAGTTAGAAATTCCAGAAATAATGGTTACATTATTTTATTTTATTTTAATTCAGTTAAAAATATTCGGAGAGATTTGAAATTTTAACAATAAACTTATCTTGATATTTTTAAGCTATTTATGGGCATTTTAAATTTTCTAGTATTTGTAGGTAGTGTTTCTTTGTTAGGTACTAAGTGGATAAAATTGTTTGACCAAATAGAAATACTTGAAAATTTAACACGAGGTTCAAATAGGTTATACTTAGTGGTAAACAAAAACAGAAAGTTGTGAGCAATTTGTACCTAGTAGGTTTTTTTTTAATCATTTTAACAACAAATTTTGATGAAAATTGTAAATATTACAACATTTTAAAAGATATATAACTGAACTTCACTCAGAATCATATTTTGTTAATAATAATTTATCTTTGCTTGCAAATATAATTAAAATAACTTTATGTATCTTACCTTCTCAAGTCCCCACCTATAACAGTAGTATACCCAATATGCTACCCAAAAGACATTTTTTTTTTATTTAGGCCTACAATTTTCTTCTATACCTAAACTCTAGAGGCTACATGCTATACATCTATGAGCAGATTCTAGTAAAAAAAAATTATGGGAACATTGAACGATTAAGAAAGATAAATACTAGAATACTAGTAATACAATCTATTATCTTTTTTCTTCTATGTTAACTCATAATACAATCTGTCCAAAGGTTAATAGGTCTATGCTACAAACTAGATCAACAACAAAATTAATAACTATATGTTTTTGAAGTTTAGAACAATTTGTAAATAAATATATTTTTGTAATTTTTGATTATTCTTTCAATGGGTACATATTTAAGTTTGTAGTTATGACTGGTTTATACACTGATAAATTAAGTTAAGACTATACAATTGATAAGCATAATAATAGAAAATAAAAAAATTAAGAATAATAATAAAGTAAAGTGTCTGGATATGAAGTGTTGTAGGTAATCATAAATCTGTGAATACTTATGCATTTCTTTAATATATTATACATATATTTTTTTTTTTTTGAAAATGGAAATATCAATTATATATTTAGGTTGGTAATGTATATTAAATCAGACATAACTATTCACTCAGATAAATGCATATGAAAACTTGATAACTTCCTTGACAAGTTTATGTTTCCAACATGTAAATGATAAATCATAAAATCATAGTAATTTTGAAAATTAACATAATAAAGATATGTATGGTATTAAGGTAAATGAAGCAATAAATCTACTTCAGTAACAGCTAAAGAGAAATGGTGTCAGTCAATAAATTCAACTGACATATTTAATGGGTTTTAGTGTGATGTAAAACTGATAAACATATTTTATATATAAAAAAGGTAAGATAATGGGAACTGATGCAGGCACTGATGTAGGTGGGAATTGGGAAGGTAGGATATAGACAGGAATTTAATCTAAATCTGTAAGCAACAATAAACCACCAAAAAAACAAAATAATTAAAAGATTATATTTCGTAAATTTTCCGTTTCTTTTTTCAGTTTTTCACATTTGAAGAGAAAATCGAAAAATTACCTCCCTAAATTATCTCTTCGAGTCAGAAAGTGTGCTACATGTAGAAATCCGAGCAAGTCTTCTGGTAGAAAAGTTGCGAAAATATAAAAAAAAAAATTAAAAATATAAACATCTTTGTAAAACCATAATCTTCTTTGCTCTACTCAGAATCTAAAATCATGCATAGTTTGGATGCAATGCACTCTAAAACTATGAAAATGATTTTGATAAGACTATACTCAATCCAACGTAAAAAATAGGTTATTCCAAGGGGATAGAAGGTTCTTAGGTATTTTAGGTATGAAAATTAAATTATTTTTGTTGAATTATGGATTATTTTAGTTAAACAAATGAAATTAAAAACAATTTTAAACAAAAAATAGATAATAAACAAAAATATAAATGCCATAACTATAACAACTTAAAATAAAGAGTCTATCTGACTATCTACTATTCTATAATTGGCTTGAAATAAAATGAGCTAACTTAATAACATGGACGAAAAAAAACAAAAAACTATGCGCTGTATTGAGTGGGTAATTGAAAAGTGAAGACATATAAAACATCATTTTTAAATTTTTGGTACAGTAACAACACTACAATACTATAGTACTTTTACTATTAAGTCCTCATAATTTAGTGGATTACAGTTTAATCCCTGTGCTATGCAAGTAATTATGGTAATACAGATGAAAAACATAGGTTCTCCACTGACCCACTATTTTTTTTCAATAAACTTATAGGATCCAAGCAAAACAAGATTAAAGGTTTTTTTTTTACCTTTATTCCTTATTCTTTATTCATTTAACTTTATAGAATATATAATTTATATAACGGGTAACGCCCAGCACTGGACAGCTAGTAAATATATATATTTTTTATGAAATAATATCTAAACAATTTACTTAAAATATTATTATTAGAATATTACTTTTTGGTTAATATACTGAACGAGTACCCTTTTGTTAACTAATTGAATTTACAATTAAACAAATAAAAATAAATACCCATGAGTAGTAGATCTCCATTGCCAAATAGTCAAAATGTGATCGTTTTTTTTTTTTTTTTAACTCTGACTGAGATTTTAAAGCGAAACGTGTGACCATAACCACATTTTATTATTTAGTACCTATCATCAAGGGCAAAGTAATAAAAAATAAAGTTTTAATCAAAACTCTATTAGGGATTCTATATTAGTTGTTGTTAGTATTTATTTGCATTTTAGCAAACCTATTTTGTATACCTACTATGTTCTATCAAAACAAAGAAAAAAGCCAGCAATACATTTTCTTTTGAAAAATTGAATTTTCCATTGTATATTGGTAAACACCATGATATTAATGTAAATAATTATTATAAAAAAACAAACAGTATATAAGTATAGGCAGGTAACAGGAAAACTTAATTAATTACCTAACTTTTCCAAACGGACTAACTAAATTAAAAGACTGTCATACTTATATAATCACTATTACTCCTAAAAATAACATTTGACCACAGAGGTAGACCCATATCAGAAAGTTAGTTGCAGGAATGGAATCCCACCCGGCCTTAAAAGATGCTGCGGGTGCACTGATCTAAACGAATAATAATAAAATAGACTCCCCTTGAAAGTATCGCAAATAAGTAACTTCTTTCTAGGGTATTAAACTACTGTCAACATTCCATTACAGTATTCACTTATTATAATTGTATATTTCTTAAGAATCTAAATAAAAGGGTAGACTTAGTACTAGGTACACACAATCAATTCATATATAACTAAGTAATACCTAACTAATAATGCAAAACGTAAAACTTTAAAAACTATACAAAGGTATGTATTATATTTATACTTACAGAGTACCTATACGATTGACGTGAAGAAATCCTTTAGAAGTGGAATTATTTGTTTAGTAAAATATTGTAAATCAAATGATAGAGCGAGTGCAGTAATAGAGTAATCAACAAAATATTATTCGACCATTCGAATGTTCGGAAGAACTATGCACAACAGCTAGTTATTTTAAGTTGATAAATTAAGCATTACTGTTTTGAGGAACTGGCAACGTCTCTCGGTCTCCAGTATTCCAGTATAGATAAAAGATTCCAGCCTCTGACAAATCAGTGTATCCGAGTTCGTAGGTACGATTGACTCTTTCGGCAATATTATATTATGAAATATGATCATCTGATTATAAGCCCTTATCATTTTTTTAATAAATGCCAAGGAGCACATATAATATATAATATGAACATCAATCCTTAAAATCTACAAAGTAAAATTTCTGGAATGCCGTAATTTAATATCGCACCACGTCATTCGGAGTTATACCACTGCTACGATTATCAATCGCCACCATATAATGTTACTTTGATATTTTATTATTGCTATCACTGTCACATATACAATTACTACGAATGTCAATTTTTACGAATATCTACGACAACGATAATATTATCTATAAATCAAGGTGGTTATAAGCGTGGGAGCGCTGAAAATTACATGCGAAACGACATTTATCTAATTTTTCATGAAAAACGGAGTTTGTACATTTTGAAACTAAACTCATCATAATATAGAGGTGTTAACATTTCCTCTCTTGTATCACTATAATAGTGAGCCGAAAAACCTTAAGGCATCCAATAGCCTTATGCTCTTATCATATTTTTACCGTCATATCTCTTATTTTTACAAACATCTATAAGTGATCAGTAATATCAGTATGGACTATGGTGGAATACTAGATGACATTTTTTTTAAAGGCTTTTTATTAATATTATTTCTAAATGCTTCAAATTTAAATTGTGCAGACGACAAACATTTCTTGAATACATTGAGTTCTTTTAAATTTGAAACAGTATTTAACATTGTATATAATATGTTCTTAAATTATTATTTTTCGTATTCTAAATTATCTACTTCGTTTATTACTTCTGTATCATTCAGTTAAGCCTGCACCGAATTTTTTACTCACTAAAATTTTCTTCAACTTACGATGATAATTTGATGTCAATCTATTGATTTTTTTTTTTTAGTTGTATTTATGTCAGCTATTAGATCGATTTATTTTAATTTATTAGTTAATTGTACATAGCATTCTTATTTCAAAATTCTATTTTTGTACAAATCACTTTAAATTTTCCACGTAGCACGTAAACTACGATATAAACGTATAAATTCGCGTAAAAATTCTTCATAGTTTAATTTATTTGCCATTTTTGGACGAAGAAATAAAATTTACAAAAGACAAAAAGACACGACCGCTAAAAAAATTTGACTTAATTGATTGATAAGTTGTACATTCATAGACATAAATGGTCAGTTATGAAGGTCAATCATCTTGACTGATGATAAAAATTCAAACATGTTTGAATTCCATCAGTCATGAAATTTAATTGTCAGTCATTATCATTTACATACATACACGATCACTCTTGACTGTCAATCACCTTGATTGTCATTCATGACTGACCGTGTATGTATGTCAATGGGGGCTTTAGGAAATATTATTCATATATAAATAAATGGAAAAATGTTAATATTGTTAATATATAATATTGTTAGAGCTACAGATCTGAAAGCTTATTGTTCTGTAAATTTATATTTTATGAATTATTTATTAAGATAAAGACTTAATTTTTTAATATTTATAATTTTTAATTAAATAAATAATTAATCTCTAAATATAGATAATTTTTTTGAAATTATGAAAAATTAAATAATATGTTATAGCAATATGTTCAGTAAATTTGTTTAAGTGAAACAGAATGAAAATAAAAATAATTTTATGTAATATTTTTAGACCCAACATGCATACAATAAGTTAGCTATTTGAAACGTTATGTTGAAATTATCAAACGTAAATTTGTAATTCAAACATCAATTGGCTTAATATTTTTAGATTTCTTTCAATACTTATGGATATTGGTTCTAATAGTTTTAATCTGTTTTATATTATATTTCAGAAAAAGTTATTAATGTGAAACAGTACAGATCGTGCCAGGAATGGCATGATTATATGTTTACAACAATTGCCTACCTAATTTTCAATTATTAGTAGACTTCATTTTGATTTTATAATTATAGGTAAACTTTATTTTTTGTAAATATGATAAATTGTTATAAATATGATAAAAAATTCATTATTTATTGAATTATTTTTTTTTATTATAATTTAAACCAATTAGGTATAAAATAAATAATAATTTTGAATATTTTGATGTTTGCTTTTCAGATTTTATTTTGGTATTTATTTATCATGAACTGGGTATTATCAATACTTAAAAATCAAGAACATAATTAGTACTATTTAAATTTGCTTTAATCCACACATAAACTAAACTAATTTATTTTACAAGATGTCTCAATTTCCTTTTATATTTTTATTTATTTTTACAGTTTACATTTTTTATTTGTTTTTATTTTTACAAATGATACAATTGAATATTTTATTTTAATATGTTGATATTGTTTATACTTTTTTTTTTTTAAGTATTTTTCAATTGACGTTTTTCAAAGATTAAAATATTACAACTTAATTACAATATTAATTTATTTATACCTACCAATACCTTTAAAATTGTATTATAAACTAATAATTTTAATAATTAATGCATTTCTTAATTGGATTAAAGTTAGGTATTTTAGTTTGAAATAGTATTACTAAGTTCTAAAAATATATGTTTACAAATACTAATTACTAATTATTACTGGTAAGTAGTTTCAGTGGCGTAACCAGAGGGGGGGCTAATGGGCTTCAGCCTCACCTATTTCGTTGACTGCGTTATATGTAATAAAAAAATAATTATTCCACGAGTCACATTTTCATTACTTTAGCTGTTTGGCTTGTACTAACTATATAATTATTATATATTTTATATAAAAATCTTTTTGGCCAAGTTTTTTTTTGTTTAGTCTCTCTCCCATTGACAAATTCTGGGCACACGACTAACTAGAAGTGACTTAAAATATAATGCTATTATAGTGTAAACATTTTCAAAATTATTATTGGAGTCCGGGTTTATATTATCTTAAAATGACCAAATAATGATGTTCATATTCTTTTAAAAATTTGAAAATATGCTTGATTTATTCACAAAAAATATAAGTAAAATACGTCACACTCGCATCTACTACTGTCACACATCCATCTTACAAATACAAGACAAAGTAAGTTTGTGTTCAGTAGAACACATTTTCTACCATTAGTTTTACTATTACAGCGAATGGGCCTATTACCAGACCTAATAGCAAGGATTATTTGTGCCATTTACTGTATTTTTTTATATTTAAATTTTTAAATAAGTAATGATCCATATGATCATTACAATATCACAGTATATTTCACATAAAAATTAAAATATCAAAATAAGTGCATACCACGAGCAGATATGAAACATAAAAAAATATTATGCTAGGGACACAAATAATACCTACTTAAGAGTTTAGTAGTTGGTCAATTCATTCTAATATTAAAATTAATTGCATAAAATATATTATACTGAATATTGATGTGTATTAATAAGACAAACAATAGGTGCATTATCATCTTAATATATTCTCTTAAAAACAAAGTATACTTTTGTATGCTGAAAAATTGTTTATTCAGATTCTTAATGAACTAATGAATTATGAATATAATTTACTTGTAGTTGTGCATATGTCCAATAAAAATATTTTTTTACTTAACTATCTGAACTCTATTATTTATGTTAAATTAAAAATATGAGTTAATTTTAGTTAATACATAATTCAAACTATTTAAGAATAATCAGTGGCGCTGATCTATAATTTTAGGTATTGTGGTTACTACACATTTTTTTTATGGATTGGTGGTCAATAGGTACCAGAATTTTTTTTTTAAATTGACAATAAATATTTATAAATATATAAATAAAAATTATTACAAATTTTTTGAGGATTTCTATGTACCTGCAATATAATTTAAAACAAACTACATCTCCATTGAGAACAATAAATTAAATATTACAAGTTATTCATGTTAGTACCCTACACTTAAACTGCTACAATAAAAACAAACATTTATTATATAATTGTTACTGTAATGTTTCTTAGTTTTTTTTTTTTTTAGTTTCTTACTTTATAGACTGGTCTCCATTTCAAATTTTTCAGTATTTTCTAATAATTTTATATACATACATAGTATTTAATTTTTCATTGGAATTAGTGTAAAAATAATTATTTTTGTAATTAGTTTTCAAAACAAAATTACTGTGTTTTAAAAGTTTTTACTTAAATATTATTATTTATTTTATTTTATTTTAAATTAATTCATTTTTGTAATTAGCATTTAAAACATTACTTAGCTTTTGACAGTTTTTATACACATATTATTATTATTTTATTTTTTATTTTAATCAGTGTCTAATTAATTAGTTTTTTTTTTTTAACTATACATTGTTTTAAATTTAGGTTAACTAAGATATTAATCTAAATATAGTTTTAGACAAAATAATAGTTGCGCAACAAACGTATTATCCGAAATATAGTTTTAAATAAAAAAACATGTTCTAGGATAATGGAGAGGGGTGCAGCCACTGTTATAGGTAATTTAATATACATCTGTAAGCAACTATAAGACATTGCTAACGAAAAAACGATTCTGAGTATAGTTCAGTTGATAGTGATACTTTATCAACAATATATGTCATATTATGGTAAGAAATTTAAATATGCATTAAATATTTTCTTTAATAATATTTGTTTAATATTGTACTGATTTTCCAATGTTTTTTTCTGATTTTTACATTTATGAGGAAAATTCCTGGAAAAATTGAAAAATCAAAAAATGACCTCAAGTTACCATGAAGATAAAATTTTCTTTCAGAAAATAAGCTAAACTTCATATATTGGAGCAATATTTCTGGTAGAAAAGTTTGCACAACAAATGGAGGGGTATTTTGCAATTAAAATAGCCCATACAAGCAATAGCTAGGTCTCTGGGTACATCTAAAATGCATTTGTTTTTTTTCTTGTTTAAGTTAAAGGGGAAAAATAAGTGTAATCAATTTTTTTTGTTAAAACGGGTTAGAACTCGGGACCCATAAAATAATAAATATGTATAACCATTCGCAGCTACAACAAACATATTCTAAAGAAGACAATATAGTGTTATTTAACATAACATACAAAATCTGCATAATATCAGAATATCAATAAACTATAATTTCGAAACATAATCAGTCCGCTAAATTCTGACTTCAGCATTGTTCTTAAATCCACAGTATACATATATTCAAAACAATTTAAAAATTAGATTTGTTCCACATAATTTTTTACTCAAACGATTTTCATCAAAATTTAATATTATAATTCCAACATATAAAAAAATAATACATTAAACTCAAATTTTCAGTTGTAACCACAAATTAAGGATTTTAATGAACCTCCTGTTAAATTATCAAGCATTTCTGTTAATGTCTAATAATTTGATTACAGAGTACCTACCGAAAAAAATTACGTACAAAACTCTTAAGATTATAATGTTTATAAATAGTTCGAAAATATCTTATATTTTTTAAAAGTTTTACCTTGTCTACAAAAAGCAAATATACATTTTCTGGTCTAATTATAAATTGACAGAGGCGATAAGAATATTTAAATCTGAATTTCAACAAAAATATTAAATTTTTTAAAAAAGTTTAAAAATGGCTCAAATATTTTGATAATTTGACCTTGTCTAGAAAAGGCAAATATAATTTGCCTGTCTAAATTTCAAATATCTACGAATATTTTAAACTGAATTACAACAAATAACAAAGTGACAAAAACATTAAGAAGAGTTTATATTATATTATAATTTTAAATGTTCCAGGACCTAGAAATTTAAGTGTGACTTATCCAATTGTCAAAATGATCAGTTCGGCACACAACACAGTAGTACTATCTCAATGGCTTAACAGTTTAAATGTTTTGTTTTAAAACACAAACTGAATTGGCCAGTATTTTCAAATATAGTTACTGATTTTAGTTATGCACAAATGAATGCTTTGATCATTGATTGGAATGGCTTTACTCAATATTTGACAACTAGAATTGGTGTTATACAGTATTAGTTAAAAATATTGATGGGTCAATTATACAGTCATAATGGTCTGCGCCAATCATTACACAAAAATAATAGTAAATCATGTTTATAAATATTATCAACCAGAGTCGAACAATGGCAAAACTGAAAAAATAAAAAACCAAATTATTGATTGTCATACTTTTTAACACTGTGACTTTGAAAGTTATAGAAAAATGACCCAGCCAATTTGCCTTTATATTATTGTCTCCTAATGAAACTGAACAAACTAAATGTTAATAATCAGTAAGAAAACCAATTTTTTGTTTTGATTAAGTCACCTGACAAAATGGATGATAAAGATAATTTGGATAAACTGAGTGAGTTCCTATGCAGGTCTGGATCTGATAAATCTATGATTTATTGCAAATTTTAGTCAATAAAAGTGAAAATTGAAAGTGATTTCAGACAAAAGAGCAAGGGTAGCGATAGCAATCATGATTACTTTGAAGAATCATATTTACAAGAGTTTGTTGCTAAATCATATCCTTCTTTTCGCTTTGGACACCCATTGTGAATAATTAAGTTAATAATGGAGTTGAAAATGGAGCAAGAGTACGCTACAGTGGAATTCTGGTTCAAAATGATTAAAATCAACATGTTATACAGTGATCGCAGACTTAAATGTAGCCGATTTTTGAAATCCACTAGGGAACATATACTCAAGGTTAATAAACAAATAACTTACAAAATTCAGAAAATTGGGTTAGGTGTACCCAAGTGCTCAATTTTCAAAACAAAGTAAAAAATAAACCAAAGGTACCTAAAATTCAGAATTTAGGTAAACAAAAATTTATAAAAAAAATACAAGCAAGAGTACTTTGAATAATCTTAACACCATAGAAAAAAAAAATTTGCAACAATCAGACTATAGAAAAGATAGTTGCATTAGAGATATTCAAATAGACTCAAATATGTCCCATGGAGACGATACCACAAAGAAATCCACTTTAATATCTGGTAGTTTTAAATCTACATTTAACTAAATTGACAAGTCAGAAAACATTAGAAGAATGGTCTTCCCAAGGATTTAACATTTTTGAAAATGGCCAGGTAAAATAGTAATAAATAGTATTTAGTTAGAACATATGATTACACAAGGACCGACCTAAATTCAGATATTCTGATAGACTTGGACATTGCAGCCTTTGACACATTAACAGAAAATCATTGGCTGTGCAACTTTGTTACCAATATCTGCTAAACAGCTTGGTATAATAGACACAATACATATTTTAACATTTAATATAGTAAATTTGTTGATGGATAAAACAGAGGTCAGAGAAGGATTTGACAACACAATTACTTTTAAGAAGAACAGTATGGTTATCGTACCATGGCTAATTAATGAAAATTAATGGATAATAGTATTCATAAATTTGTATACAGAAGAGTATTATGGATCATGGATCCCTATAAACCATATGACAATTGAAAATGAAAATTGCTATTTAAAACTCAAGTTTGAATTTTTGTGGAAATAAATTAAATTAAATTCTAATTTCAAAGGTGGAATTCCAACAATAAAATTTATTCAATGTTCCAAAACAAAGAGATTTATTTTACTGTGGAGTTTTTATATTATACTATATGTTTACAATTATGAGCAAATCACATTTCAATGTAGAATTCAACCCTTATGATTACAGAGCTTCACTAAAAAGACATCTATTGTTGAACTCTGAAGACATAACTGAAGTGTTTTTCTACTATGATAGGCATTCTGGAAAATACCACCTCAGATGGAAGATGAATGGTGTTGAATAGGTGGCATTTTTATTCTGCTGTTGTTGGATGGCACTGAATTGTCTTCCTAAAGAACAGAAAATTGAAAATTATAAGAAAAAGGATTACTTTTATTTTTTTATGTTGCAAGTAAATGTAATAATCTAATGACCACAATATTGCACTATGAATTTAAATGATAATAATTACTAAACTACTAAGTCTTTCATAATATTTATATAATATAACAAAAATTTTACAATAACAATTGAATGTTGATCAACAATAAATTTAAAATGTCACTGAACATTTGCTACCGAGTGAAAATAATACTCTCTAAAATTCAATCCCTAAAGAATAGCTGGCATAGGAATTTTGGTATTTGGTAGTATAATTTTTGTTGATTGAGTTACCTTGGTAACAAAGTACATTTAATTATTATTTTTATTAATTATGTGGTAACTATTAGCAAAATGTACCTATAGTATCTACTGAATATTGTTTAGTTATTTCATTGTAATTTTGATTGCTGATCATCAATGTCCAACAAATTTAATTTCAACGCTATTTCTGTGTAGTTATGTCTCCAATAACAATAATAGTAATGATAGTAATAATAAGTATAATATAAATAAAAATAAAACATTTTTTTTTCAACTAAAAAGGTATACTATAGTAATATAGGGTATATATACTTCAATATTTCTTCCATAAAAATTATCTCTTAGGATTTGTCATTGAAATACTAAAATATACAATTTTTCTGGTAATCACAATACATAGGATATACATCTTTAAATAGAAACTATAACTGTAATATAAAAACTGATAAATAAAAGTTATTGGTAACATAAAAAAACTGCACAAGGGTGAAGCCTTGGGGTTATTCAGCTAGTTAATAATAAAATAGATTGTACAGTTAATGGTTTATAGTGAAAAACAAAATAAGATTCAGTTAGCCATTACGTGTTTGTTAGCTAGAAACACAATTTTTAACCAAACCAGATAATAACATTCCATTAATCTACTAACAAAGATTTATGTTAATGTGAATCTGACAGTCTGAAGTCTGTGCAAAACAGAACAGAATTTTGTGTTTTAAAATACCAAGTTTTTATTTTGTGTTTATCCTTAAATTACTTATATATACACGTTAATAATATTATGAAATTATAATAGAATGTAAATAATGGATAATATACAAGTATTATTATTATTCTGTGTGCTCTTATTGCTGTTAAAATAAATACACTCACCAAGTAATGAATGAAATTTCACTGGTTACTGTCAGAAATATAATTTCATCATACTGTACTTCTTTTCGATAATTTTCCAAACTATTAAGGGAAAAATACAAACATTTTTATAATTGGAAACAAAATTACAAACTGTTCATACTGATAATACTTGGTGCATATTAATTTATACATTAAAATAGTAGGTACTTCTACTGTATTTTTCTATATTATACTGTTAAAATAAAAATTAATTATTTTTATTTTGAATATTGGTTTCAGTGACAGTGACACAACTAGGGGATGGGCTTCAGAGGTTGTACACCCCCGAAAATATGTTAGTGAGTTTTTTAAAAATTCTACTTAGTATGTAGTTGTATCGATTTATATACAGATTTGAAACATAATGTATCATTATGTGCGTGTTACTCGAAGAATTTATCTTAAACTATAAATAATAACTATTATTATTATACTATAACTTAGTAGTTAGGTATATTTAAATACTTAATATGAGCCTAAATTGTTTTTCTGCTTGAATTATCTATACATTTAAAGATTTGACTTATAAATCTAACTTAACCTTATCCAATTTTCCCCACCAAAATCTTTCAGAAATTGAATCTTTCACAAAAAAAAAATAAAGTATATCCTGGTTGCGCCACTAATTAGTTTTAATAAATTAGTATAAATTGTTTAAATCAAATTTAAAAGTTAATTTTTTTTTTTTTTAATTTCAAATGCATCACTACGGAGATTATAAATATAATGTCTTACTTTTCTGTAGTAATTTGAAATTTAGAGTAGGATTTTTATTGTCTGATGTCATTACATCCAATGATAACAATTTCTCATTCCAGCAGTTTATATGCTCTGTCAAATTTTAATTGGTTAAATAACTTCCCAACAGCTAAAATACAGAAAAAAAAATAGTACATAATATTGTTTATGAATAAATTTAATAAATAATGATTTACAACTTGATCATATTATGAATAAACTAGATTGACTTTTATAACTATATATATGTATTCATTTTATTTAATATTTTTTAGTAGAAATTAATCAATTAAACAATTTTTGTTCTTTTACAATATTACAATCAATTTATCTTTATTAAATGGTTGTTACATGCTTTTAATTTTTATACTAAAATAATTTAATGCTAAAATTCATTACACATTACATAAAAAAAATTGATGGACTTAGTTTAAATCAATATAGTACTTAATGAATATTGAAAAATGTATACATTTAATAGAAAAACAATTATTAATACTTATAAAATATAATTTTAAACGAATTTACATTCAATACAATGGCATTTCATAGTTTAACATTAAAATTAAAATTTGAATTCGTATATTATACATAACATTATATCTAGGGAGAAATATTTATTTAAAACTTACTTCATGAGTTGAAGAGTCACGATAATTTGATATTTTGTTATGATACTCATAGATAATAAAGTTTATTGTCTTTGATGGTACTATGTACGAAACAATGATAAACGATTACTGATAACACATATCTTTGAGATATTGCTGGTAACGATTATTGGACTACGGTTATAGATAGAATGGTTGCATGAGTCAGTTGCAAAAGCGGCTCCAAAGGTTTTTATGAAAAATATGAAAATTTTCCTGCCTTGAGTGTCATATAGAATGAGTTCCACTTGGACGCTTACAGCGCTCACGCTCATGCTTACAAATTGTTCTACTATCAAACAGACGCATACAATCCCTTTGCTTAGGTACACTCCAAGTGGAACATGCGTGAACCCTATCATGAGCGCTTAGCCCGTGTTTATTAACAAAAATTAAATTAAAAACATGATACACAAATTTGATTTGTTTTCGTGAATATTTTGAGTCTAATTGGAACGCACTCATAGTTAAAATTACCACAACAATTTCGAATAAAATTACCCATAGCATATTATTAATATTGCGACAATAATCTGTTCATTCATTACTGATCTATACAAATTTTTCGGTACAGACAAATAGAACCCAGGTCATTTAGATCCCAACCGAACCTTTAGTAACATTGTGGATCTAGTTGTCTCGGGATCAAATTATCGTGTCTTGATCTAAAAGTCCAGATATCCGAATGTTATCAGTACATACAATTATAATAATAGTTGGTGTGTCGTCTGTATAAAGGTAAATACTAAATATTTTTTTGATCTTTCAAATAATGTATCCTTTCACAATAATTTTCACAATATGAACATCGTACTTAACAGAACCCCGAACTCAGTGTCATTTAAGTACTACAATGTATTATATTGTCATGAAGTTAAAAGAATATGGTTAAGGGTAAATAGAATTTTCGAAAATCCATTACCTAGGTAAAAAAATTATAAAATCATTGCATGAATAAGTTTTTTTCATTTTCTCAAACAATATTTTACGAGATACTACCACTGTACAAATATTAAGATTAAATTGAATAGAATTAGGTATTTTTATACTTCTATATTTTTAATCTGTGACATGATGTTTCTTGATAAGTTCAAAATTTACTAATTTAAATGGGAGATGAGCCACCAGTGAAGTATTATACATTATATCCATTTTTATCATAACACTGTCAATTACAATCTATAAATGTGATAATGACAAATAACTGCGTACAGGTAACAGATTAAATTTTTTTAAAAAACATAGATAACATAATAATAGGTAGTAAAATGTTCCTATTTGCATTTACTAGAAAAAAATAAATGATAAATGATCAATTATTATAATGTCAAGATTTGTTTTTAATAATGGACCAAAACATTATTAAATGGGTGTCAAGACAACAGCTCATTGATGTTATTGGTACCTATACTATTTATAAAATATATTTTACCTATATAATGTGTACTTATATATTATTACCTAGTATTACCAAGCTAACTTTGGTTCCAACCATGTGACTAATTTTCATACAACATTTATATACATAAAACAAGTACAGATTCTTTGTAAAACCCTATTCAAATATTTAGATGTAATGATTATCATTCAATACTGTGGATATCAAATAATCTTTAAATACCTACCTAAAATAATTTAATGAAAATAAAATTATTTTTATTAAACTACTTGGTGGTTAGGTTTTCTTTAAATCAAAAGCTATCTTAAAACAAACTAAAATTGTAATATTCCTGGCTATATTTATTGTATTATATATTTGTATAATTTTTTATATTGATTTATAATAGTTTAATATTAATCTTATATACTTATTAAAATTTTTTTTTTTGCTCATACTCATATTTGCCCCATATACTCGAGGTATATAATAATAATACAATCTGTAGATAAAAATGAATGATCTAAGAGAATAATATATATTTATTTGTTTATTTAGAATAAAAAAATGCTAAAATAAATTGTAATTATACATTTAACTAATAAATATTTATATGACACCTACCACATTATTATAGCAGATCTCACACATGTCTGGAAAAGAGATGATACAATCAATGCACTTCCATCCATGGCCGCCACAATACCTTGAGAAATTGGGAGTGTCTCAGAAGGCCCACCAGCAACAAATGTAGTTACTGCCTATCGGATCCATGAGGCTGTTAATGTTGGACATCCATAAAACTATATCCAAAAAGTAAGTACATTCAAATATTAACCATTAAATGCCATTATTATACCAAATATATACCATGATCTATAATATTTATTCTAAAAATCCTAGGGAATTGAATCCCATGCAGATGGTCAATTGTTCACCGCAAGGATCACAACACCACCTGTGTCCACATGATAGAAGAACATTTTAACTTCGCCAACTTCATCTCTACATCCCTAACAAACAAAACAATGATCATGTTCATCACCTGTTATAGTATAAAATAAGTTATAGTTAAAGTGGTATTTTTGTATTATCTAGTTTAAACTAATGACAATTTTTATATTAAGAATAGAGTATACATTTGAGCAGTTCTTTAGTAGTAAAAAAAGGGTGTACTGTATAAGTTATACTTATAACTATACTATAATTGAATGTAATCTTCTAAAGACATACCCTATACAACCTTAACGTGAAGGTATATGGTGTATACCTTTCACTACACCCCTGCATAATATGAGTTACCTGCTATTTATGTTAATGCCTGTTCCTCCAAATGTATGCCATTCAGTTGTTCAGAATCTTCTCGATATTAACATTTGAATCATTTTCATAAGTAAAAATATTTAAATATTAATATTTTTCTTTAACAATAAATTGTTTATATTACCTGAAAATACAGTTTTAATTGACATTAAAAACAAAATTAAATCTGTGTATTTATGTACCTTCATTTTCATGATTAACTTTATGACATTATATTGTCTTTAAACAAATTTACATTTTAACAATAACTTTAAAATTATTATTATTTATTAAAATAAAAATTAAATGTTTTATGAAGTTACCTATCAGTATAATATTACCTTGGTCTGTATATTGTGGTTTATGTATATTGGTATGGGACTTAATAAAGGAAGATTTTGTTGAAGTACTTCCTGAAAAATTTGAAAAGGTAACCCAAAACTTTGATATTCTGTTAGCTCTATAATAAATAAATAATTTGGTTTGTATAAATAAAAAGACGAAAAATTTGTCTTGATTATAGTTATAATATCTTATAAATGGTAAATTGGATATTAATTTTATGTATATTCAATTATTTAAAAAAGTATTCTCTTTTCGATTTTGTGTAAAAATGTAGGGAACTAATCAAATTTAAGATTCTGAGTGGAGGAACTGAGTGAGGAATGTATTGGTTTTACAATGATGTTTATATTTTATTTATTTTTGATATGAACACTTTTTCTACTCGGTCTTAAGGTTAAAAAAGATCAAGATTAAAAATAAGGTTGCCATTAGCAACCGTTTTTATTTATTTTTGTTATTATTAAGTTTTTATTATTTTAATCTTGTTTTAACTATCATTGTTGTCGTGGTGACGTACATTGTTTTAATCGTTTAACCATAATATGACAATAAAAAAATTTTCAATTGAACTCGGTTCAAAATCGTTTTTTCGTTAGCAATGGTTTATCGTTGTTTACAGACGTACATTAAATTCCCGTCGGTAGCCCACCTTTCAAACTTCCCACCAACACTGGCGTCACCCACGTGCGAAGTATATCCGTCCACTTTTTTAGCTTTACTTAATGATTATGTCCAACATAACAGGTAGGTAGGGGTAATTTTACATCAATTATACTTACCTATGATATAAAATATAAGTAATATGAATAAATACGAAATGTTGAAAATACCACCAAAAATAAATAGATCCATATGACTCGGGACCATATTGTCTCGAAATCTTAATATCTGTGTTCTGGTATAAATTCTTATCATAATATTTACAGAATATTATGTAATTGTAATACGCAAAGAATCAAACTTATTTTATTAAAATGTCTGAGTTTAGCTATTACTGACATACGAGCAAAGCACACTTATGACATTTGGCGTTTAAATGTAATAAAATTCATTGGTTTTGCTTTGTAGATCATCACTTCATTAATTTCCGTGGTATAGGCAACTCAATTTACAACGACAATATGACACTATTTCTTATCAAAACAGTCTCAAAAAATTACATAATTTTGAAGATAAAAAATGCCATAGAGGGCGACTGTCCCATTTGCCCTCCCCCCTGAGGACGTCACTGCAAAAAATAAAATAATTAACTAGCTGCTGGCTGCTGTTAACTACTTAAATAATTTTGACTAAGGTAGTTATGTCAGACTGTCGAACTAATACGAATCGTTTGATATGAAAAATCAATATTTGCCCAAGGTTACGTTGGGTTTACGGTTATCTACACCGTGAGATAACCGTACCTACAATTATGTCAGTCATATATATTGTTTATTGCTGTGTATTGTTTATTGCTGTGTATTGTTTATGCTATGTCCTATGGTAGTGAAGTTTATAACTTACACGGTATACACCTTAAATTGTAGTGTCTACACTGTCATGGCTACACGTAATCATCACGTATCATGTTTTATCGTTTATTTAATTTCAAGTGATCGAAGTACAAAATTATAAGAAAAATAATATCAAACCAAATTCAAAATTCTTTATAAGTTATAATTGATAACAGAGTTAAGTAATGACTAATGAATAATGACTAATATTTTATCATAATAATTTCGTCTTTCAATATTAATCGTAAATACGTTTAAATCAGTCAACTGAAATTAAATATTTTATTACATTTTGTGTATGGTGTTTAGTGCAAATTAACAGATTACATTGTTAAGCTTAATTATAACTGTTGATCGTACGTACTTGTGTTTTTACTAAATAAAAAAGTTCACTCGACTTAGTTTACAATGTCTGAAAACACAAGAAGTTCTGCATTTAGGAAGATCGACGTTGATCAATTTAATGAGAATTTCAAAGATGATGAACAAACCGAATACCAATCGACAACAGTCATTCCAGATGAATCAGAAATTACCAAATTGATTAACCAGTATCCTTTAGCATTTATAATGTGTGTCTACTAATTTTTTTTTTCACATTAGGTATGGTTAAAAAAAAATGATAATCACAGACATATCAGGTAATCATTTTGTCTGTTAAAATCTAGGATTAATAGTTTAAAGTTGTTATAAGATATGTTTACCATTTTAGAGTAATCACAGTAATTCAATTGTTATAACTATCCCACTAAAATTATATTTATTAATTATTCAGATTAATTTTTAACTACGTACAAAATAACTACATTTTTAATTTATTCTATGATAATAATTTAATTTTTCTTTTATTATTATCATATTTTCACAGTGAATTATGATTGAGTAACTTGTATTGGTATAATTTTTGTAGCCTCACTAAATTTCTAAATTGCTTGAGCTTTTTATGAAATCAAAAATTATTTGTATAATAATGGAATCTAACTCAAATCTTTGGTCCAGGTGCCTAATAAAAAATATATGCATTTTTCTATTTTATTAAACCATTCAATTTTTGACATTTAAAAAAATAAAACTATTGGTAGTGCCATAAGCGTTGATTATAAACATGTAATCATAATTTAGTGGTTGGATTTAGTTAAAAGTTACAGCCATTGAAATTTGTTGATTTTAGCGTTATGATTGTGAGGCCGGTACTATAGGTACTACTGCAGTTGGCTATCAGCATTAAAAAAAAAAATTGAATATTCCTGTAAATTAGAAATATACCAAATATATTATTATATTTACACACATACATCCATTTAAGATGTTGATTAGTTTTATATAAATTGTTACCATTCTGCAAACTTCAAAGTGAAACTATTAGTATTATTTTTTTTTTTTTTTTGGAAAATTGCAAATCAAATTAATGATTTTCAAAAAATAAAAAAATATTTAAAGCTTTCATATCTTAAACCTTTGTTTATTCTTTTTAATATTTAATACCTACTGAGAAAGTTACTATAATATAAAGTTAAAATATAACTAACCAAACAATTGCCATGTAATGAAAATGTGCACAATATAACCGTGTTGGTAATCTTCATATTTTCAAATACATTGTACCATTAAATTTTCAATTACTTTATTATTTCCGATAAAATTGATAAAAATTGCCTTTTCTTTCACCTTCATCTTTATAGAATTAAACTTGAATTTATTTTTGTAGTTTTTAAATAATTAAACTAAGGTAAAATCAGGTTGGTATTTTAGGGGACAAAATAATTAATTAAGAACGTTAAATGAACAGATTTATATGTAGTTATAAAAATAAATATACTGGTTATTCATTAATTCTAGCAAGATGATAAATTTAAAATAACGATAATTATTATAATTAAATTATATAATTATCAAATACTTTATAATAATGGTATTAAGGATTTTCCTTAAGTATTGTCACAGAGGTAATCTTGCAGAGGCTTTAAAGTCTGCATTGAAAAATGCTCCTTTAGGATCAAAAAATCAACAATTGAGGGTAACTTGCACATTTTAATTAATTTTAATTTTCATTACTGAAATTTATTTTTCTTTAGGACAATGCATTAAATGTTGTGATGAAAGTACTCCTGGCCACCAAATTATCTCAAATAGATGAAATCATTACTCAGTTAGATGTTGACATGGTAGATGTTCTTATGAAATATATTTACAAAGGATTTGAAAAATCAACAGAAAAAAAAAGCAGTCATCTTCTTATGTGGCATGAGAAAGCATATGCACTTGGAGGAGCTGGTAGCATTATTAGAGTTCTTACTGACCGCAAACGAGTTTAATATTACTAAAAATCTATTAAGAGGAGAACTGTCAAACATTTATTATTTTATCAAAAATTATTTGCTACAGCATATATTTAATTTAATTTTCATTATTATTTATTGAACATTTATGTATCTGCATTTCATTTTTTTAAGAAAATGTAAGAATATGTATTATTTAGTTTTATATTTGTTTTATACAAATTCAACTATCTGATTTTTTTAACATTGAAATTAGTTTATTAAAAAAAAAAGAGAAATAAAGATGTTCAATAATTATCTTCATAATATAAGTACATATAAATAAAATAAAAATGTCTGTCTATGATTTCAGAATAATTGTCCTTTTATAAAATTTTTATAAACATATATATTTTTAACACATATAGTTATTTTCAAGATTTAAAAAAGATATATATATATCTTATCCACTTGACATTTAATTTTTCATTTGTAAGACCATGCTGGATCAGTAATTATACATATTTTTGAATACATGTTTGGCTATTTTTTTAAGAATCTTAAATAATTTAAAAATAATTGAATTTTCAATATTTTATTTTGGATTTATATTTAAATTAATAATAGTATTTATGTAAAACACTATTTTATACATTAGTTAAAATATATTATTTTAATGGTTTTAATATCATATATATATATATATATATACTAACCAAATAGGTATAATTATAATAATTATTTATGACTAAAAAATGTAAAATTATATTGCATTTAAATTATTTAATTTGTATTGCTTTGTTTGATTGTTTATTTGATTTGGGACGCTTTTGTTTATTTTATAATAAATTGATTTTTTTTATTATAACTTAATTAGTATGAATTTAGAGTTTGTATCATTAAATTTTATAAATTTATCATCAACAAATATGTAAGGTAATTTAGAAACTTTTTTTTATATTTAAGTAATACAGAAATCTGTTTTGTAATCAAGCATATGTGTAATTGTAATTTTATAATCTTATAGAACAAATGAAAAATTTCAGTTTAATACAAATTGTGTAGCTTTAGCAGATTAAATATTTGAAAAACTAATTAAACACTTTGTAGTTATTCAAAACTTGTAGAAAAATGTAATGGTACATTTTACCTAGATAGTGAATAATTAATAACTATGCCAGAAAATTGTGAGAGTTATAAATCATAACTTAAGATTTCATAAATATTTTTCAATTGTGTTTCTGAATTTTAAATTTTAAACTTATTTTGCACATTTGTATAGTTATCTCATCAAACTATAAGTACACAGTTCAGAATAGTTAAACTGTAAGAAAACTAGAATTAAAATCGCTTTTAGTAAGCAATGGTTTATCGTTGCTTATAAACACAAATTAATTTCCTTTCTATATCATACCTTCCCAACTTCTCACTAGCAACAGTGGCCGCACTTGTTCCCATTATCCTAGGACAGATTTTTTAATTTGTTTTTTTTTTGTTGATTCATATATATAATTCCGTCTTGTCAGAATTTAGAAACACAATTTAAGGGTTTAGTTTATCTAAATATTTGTATAAACATGAATTATTATTATTTTTTTTATTACTAACAAATGTTACATCTTGGTGGTTATTTTTAATAAACAAATTATTTTTGAATATTTAGAAATAGTTTATATAAGTAGATAGTACATATTTACAATCATATAATGTTTAAGTTATATTAGATTCTAAGCATAATATAGATTTTTTTTTAAAAATGTTAACAACTTTTTATTACAATTAATGATCTGATCATCAAATTTAGAGATGGTTTCTGCTATAAATTGTGTCTTATTGATATAATGGGAAAGTTATATTTTGGTACTGCAATAATAAATTATTATTTTTTACAATTTTCTATTTTCATTTTTTTGTAAAAAATAATCTTAGTAACTTAAAACTTTTATTGAATATTTAAATATGTTAGCACTTTTCAAACATTGTAAAATTTAAAAAATATTCTGTGATTTTTAAGTTACCTACCTACTTATTAATTTGTATTTAGAATTATTTTGATTAAATGTTACGTAATTCATTTTTATTAGTTTAAATTTGTTTTAAGTTAATATTCTAAATGATAAATTAAATTAACATTTATTAGAGTGTCTATATGTATAGGCATTTATTATTTATTTGTATGGAAAAACAGAAAACAAGTAATAATGTTTATGATAATTTTAACAATAACAAAATTAAAATTAATAAAATAGAACATTAATAAGGTTATATCAGTAAGACAATAACAATAACAATATATACAAATACATGCCATTTTTTACTAGAATAGTGAACCAATTTATCTCCTTTTGGATATCAAGATTTTGTATCCATTCAATAGCTTCTGGGGAGGCATTGAACATATTTTCAGATTCGCCATCAAATTTCCTAATGGAACATTTAGTTAGTATATGCGACATTGTCTGGTATGGATAGCCATATTGGCAGTTGGGGTTGGAACCGTGTTCTATTAGTGCATCAGGTAGCCACATCTACTGTCTTGTGTGAATGCGTTTTAGGATAAACCATTCTTTTCAAGGGAGATTGAATCCAGGAGGTTTGTCTGTAGCCTCTTTTAGGTAATTCTGTTCATCCAGTTTTGAAGCTTTCCATTCTTTTTTCCATGCCATTTATATTGAAGTTCGTGTTGTTAAGTGTGATGGCAGATTTCCATGGTAGATTGCGTGATTTAAGTCTTTGTGGGTTTATAAAGAGATTTCTCAAAATTGTATATAGGCAGACTTGACTTTATTGTGCCAGTAAGCAGTGAGTTGAACATCAATCTTTTTTGTGTGTGCGCTATTCAGCCATATTGGTGAGCAGTATTCAGCGGCTGAGTACATTCATATTATGTATCATCAGTTTTAATACTATGTAACAATACATTGTATAATGAATCAATAAATTGTATGGCACATCAATAACATAATTATTACTTTTATGTGTAATCATTTCCTAAAAAACTATCTACAAATTGAATAATGTATAGTTATATTAAACTGAGAACTGTTTAATTATATGACATTAACACAAATAAATTTGTATGAATCTGGTAAAAAATTTAAAAATGTTAGAGGATGTTTTATGAGAGATGAATACAGAACCTTTAACGAATGCATGTGGATTATTAAATTTAAATAATTCTGATCAAGAAGGATTACATTGGATTACATGGATAAAACATGAAAGTTTAAAAATTTATTTTGATTTTTGTGGTAATGTTAATCCTCCAAAAAAATTAATAAAATATTTAGGAGAAAATAATCTTAAAATTACATAAAGATTTCAAGATTACAATGATCCACCTATTTGTCGATATTTGTGTTTAGATTTTATTAAAAATTATAAAAAATATATCTAAATTATTATCTTTTTTGATTCAGGTTTCTGATTAAAAAATTTATCCTTAGATTATAAAAATTGACAGACCATTTTTCACAAATTTCATTAATTTGCTTATATAATACAGTAAATATGCGTTAATATTCATTATTTTTAATAAATTAAACTTTTGATATTTTTCTGGTACATACAGAATATTTTCATAAATATAATCACTTAAAACCACAAAAAATGAAATTAGAATAATATATGGGATGTTTAAATAAAAAAAATTGTTTTCTTAAACTATAAGGTAAACTCTTATTCCAAGGATGATAATCTACATACGTTTCTTTATTATTAAAAAAGCTATTCATATTTCTTTATTACAAAAAAAAATATTTATCTTTTTTATAATAAATGGAGAAATTTTTTAATAAATATGATGATCATATTACACCGCCACAATATAAAACATATGAACTAACCTCAGAAAGAAATTTTAATAAAGATGGAGGTGTTACAACTTTCAAAATAGAAGGTTCTGATAGTTTTCTTAATATTAAACAAAATATAATATTAGAGGAAAGTACTTAAACATTGATAATATTGAGTATGAAGCTAAGAATAATGTGCAATTAGATGATAATTTTTGTTGCATTTTTATTCTCTTAAATTTAAGTAACAAAAAATGAATCGTTAGTAGATCAAATTGAAAATGTTGGTAGAGCAAGCATTATCAAAGGATGTGTTAGTTTTTCTTTAGATCAAAATGGTCCAACAATTAATTCAGAATTTTAATCAAGATTTATAGGTGGAAGTGGATTCGAAGCTGTTGAGAATTTATCTAATCTATGCTCAGGTTTTTTTTTTTTTTATAGATATTCAATATACAATTTTCAAAGAAGAAATTAAAATAAATTTGAAAGCTAAGTGTTACAAAACAGCTTCATAAATCAGAAAGATCTCGATTTCCAAAAACGATAATATAAACTCTTGTATTGGTGATTTATGGGCAACTGATTTAATTTTAATGAGAAATTACAGCAATGAATATTCAGGTTATTTATACATGTTGAATGTTATAGATACTTCATCAAAATTTGCTTGGGTTGAATCTTTTTTAAAAAAATGGGTAGAATGTTAAAAAAGCTTTTGAAGAAATAATAAAGAGAGCTAAATTACAAAAACACAATTTACCAACATTACTTCACACTAATAAAGAAACTGAGTTTTTAAAAAAACAGTTTAAGAAAATATTATAGAATTACAATATCAAACTAAATCATACACAAAATAATGAGAAATCTGTAATTATTGAACGGTTCAATAAAACTCTAAATGGGAAAATGAGAATACAGTTTGAAGTTCAAAAAATTAAAAGATGGATTGATATTTTACAATCTTTATTGAATGAGTATAATTTTAAGAATATTCATCAAACATTTAGAATGAAACCATTTGAAGAAAACAAGGATAATAAAGAAAAAGTTTTAATTAAATTATTGTATAATGATATATCTAAATCCCAAATTAAATTTAAGGTTGGTGATAGAGTTAAAATAAAGAAGTTGAAAAAATTCAATTTTAATTGTACTCGAGAAATATTTATTGTTTTAGAAATATTGAATAAAAATCCAATTACTTATAAAATTAAATACTTAAATAATGAAGCTATCGAGGGAAGTTTCTATAATGATGAATTGCAGAAAACAAAATGTTGAACCTTAGTTAAAAAAAATGTTTACCATAGTAAAAATAGAATCTAAATTAACAACTGAGGATCATATTTGAATATTAGATATAGGTTATTTTGACTGGGCAACGATTTTATTATTGAGTTTAGAGATAGAGTAGATAGGAAAATTATTTCAAAATTTCAAACACATTTCTTATAACTTAATTAATTTGGTAGATTGGGATAATATTTCTAAATATCAAAAATTATCAGAAAAATATATAAGGGTATATAATGATTATATGAAATGACATTTTATTTCAAGTTATCAAACGTTGTCTGAAAACTTTATTCGTGAATTTAAAGATGATGTTGATTGGAGAAATATTTCAAGATATCAAAAATTTTTTAAGAGAGTTTAAAAATAAAGTTTTTTGGCATAATATTTCTTTGAGTCAAAGTGTATTATTGAATTTAAGGACAAAGATGGTTTATTATTGAATTCAACAAAAGAAAAAAAAGATAGTTTAATTTTTGTAAAAATGTAGATGCATTCTTACATTTTCAAAGAGCAATTTCTCTTAAGCAAAAATTGAATAGAAAAGTTAAATTGTTTTAACTAACTTAAATTTGTAATTTTTTACAGATTGAAGATTTGTAAAACTCAATTTTAATTAGTCTATATATTTAAAACAAGATTGTCTAGATTTGATAATTTAACACAAGTTAGAGATCGTGATCATTGAACAGGATATTATAGAGGTGCTACTCATTCTATATGTAATTTAAATTATAAAGTACCTAAATGTATTCCAATATTTACGCATTATCTATCAGGTTTTAATGCTCATTTATTCATAAAAGAGCTTGGTATTGATAAAAATGACATCAAAGTAATTGCAAATAGTGAAGAAAATTATATCCTATTTTCAAAAATTTTATGATATAAGAAAATAGATACGATAACTAAAAATTCTGTTTTAATTGAAAAAGGAAAATCTATTTTTAATCGAGTTGAATTAAGGTTTTTAAAATTGTTACCTAGTTTTTTTTAGAAAAATTAGCTAATATATTAACACTAGAATAGTTTAAAGAGTGATTTAACATTATTCTGAACAATTGGATTTAGTAAAGGGAAAATTAGGAAAATTCTTATGAATACATGATTTTTCCAGAAAAATCTGATGAATCTCTACCTCCTATAGATAAATTGTACAGGTCTTTAACAAGTGAACAATGAACATGTTGCAAAAAAGGTATATGAAAAAACTAGAAAAAATATAGAAAACATTCAAAATAAAGAATATGGAAGAGTTTACTACACTATAATAAAATAGATGTATTTTTACTTAGTGATATTAATGGGAAATTTTTGAGATGTTTCATTAAGAGATTATAAATTGGATCCTGTTCATTATCGTACAACTCTAAGGTTCACTTTCAATTCTAAGCTTAAAATAACAGGAGTAAAATTAGAACTATTAACAGATATTAATATGTATTTAATGTATGAACAGGAATGATAGGGGGTATGTTTCAATGTAGTGATATTCCAAAGCAATTAATAAATATATGGGAAAACAATATAATAAAAATAAATATAAATAAATATATATTAGATTTGGATGCAAATAATCTTTATGGAAACGCAATGTGTAAATACTTATCTCATAAAGGGCATAAATGGGGAAATCATAAAGATTTTAATACAGAGAAAATTTTAAGAATAACAGATAATCAGGATATTGGTTATGTATGTTTTTGAAGTAGATTTAAGTCATCCTTAAGAACTTCATGATCTTCAATCAGATTATCCTTTGGCGCCTGAGAATATGTTTGATAGTGAAAAATGACCTAAGTTAACAACTCTATATGATAAGAAAAAATATTTTCTCCATTACATTAATCATAGATTGTAATTAAATTTAGGTTTAAAACTGGAGTAAATACATAAAGTAATACAATTTAATCAATCTCCTTGGATGAAATCAT